GAAATAAAGTAATTTTTATATTTTCAATACTATGTAATTATGGTTAAAAATAAAAACTAGTCTTGTGTTGTTAATGTGTCTTTTTATTTTTTGAAAAAAGTTTGCAGGCTTTAACTGCAGTGTATTCACAAAGTTTCGACGATAATCTCAAACGTGCTGTCAGGCCATCAGTCAATGATGACACTATTAGAAAAATTCCTCGTATCGTAATTGTCATACACGTGTGTTAATAATAATGCTCTCTTTAATTCACCCCCTTACGAGTTAATTTCAACCCCTGAAGTCGACTGAGCGACTTGTGTAGGGGAAGAGACGGCTATTATTATTTGCCGTGGCGCTACGGGGTGACTTAATGATTGATGGAGCCATTTGACTCACCCACCATCATCGAGACGGAAACGGATGGCGATTTTATCATAAATATTCGTACAATATAATTACTATTCATTTATATTTTAGAATTTTAAATATAAAGGCTTGGTTTTTAAGAACTAGTTCGTCGACTAAAGCGTTCGCCGTATTTTGAAATATGTATAATTTTAATGGAATGTGCCGGCGTTATTCGTTGTTATCAAATACATTTGATTTCAACGAAATTCTGCTGTCATTGCTCGTCAGTTCTTGCCTGTAAGTTTGTGAAGCTTAGACATTACAGGTTAAAAATGCCCAATAAAAGTTACCAAAAGCTGCAATTTTCCAATGAAAAGGATGAGAAATGAATAGATCTTGTTTTAAAAATGTTGTCCTGTTCTTCATTTTTCAATAGTAGCCAGCAGCCAGGAACAACTCGTCTTCTCCATCTGCAAATTGAGAAGCTTGGGCGTAAAACTTTACAAGTCCAGCATAACTCAAAAGTCAGAAAAGTAATAATTTTCATACAGGGAATTTCCCATTTAATTAAAATTTTGCTTTTAATAAAAAAAGTTTTAGGATGTATTTTGAGTTTTGAATACCAAAAACTTTTCCAAAATTGTACGCAGTTTTCGAGATATACAAAGAAATTAGGGAGAGTATTATTATTATATTATTATTAAACAGTTTTGGACTTATTCAGTTTTGCTTTAAAGGATGGGATTTGTTAAGTTTTGCTACAAATATTAATATAGGGTCCATAAATAATTGTTCAAATTTGCGGTGAAGGGGTTTATTTCTAATTTAATAACATGGATTTTAGTTGAATTTTGTTATAAAATAGCATGTACATTTTTGGGAACGTAATTTGTTCAGTTTTGTTGAGCAAAAGGAGTTTAAAACATGATATTGTCTAATTTTGGTGTAAAATTGTTGAGGACGTGTTGAGTTTTAGAATTTTAAAGCGATCTGACACAATAACTCATTTATTTCAGGTGTTGGTCTTGTTAAATTTAGCACGTAAGCTTTTCAATTAGATTATTATTCTAACAATAAATTTTCAGAGAAACTTCCATCTATCACATTGAAATTTATAATTTCTATCGAATTTAACGGTCATCAGAAATGTAAAAACAAGGCTGAGATGAACTTCGTGGACGCATTTCCTCGAAGAACTTCGTCGGAGATTTTCATTATGGAATGTATTAGTGTCTGCTCTATCGCCACACATATTGATTTCATGTAGTTTTATTTAAATTTATAGTTCATTTGTAAATTTAGACCAAATAAAAATGCTACTATTTATCGATTCTACACGAGAATAACTCATTTTAATCTAGATTTAATTTCAATAACTAAAAAATATACTGATAATTTGTTTGATAGAATTGTCACTTATTTAAAACATAAAAAATAATAGTAGCTGAGTGAACAAAATACGAACTGTGATTGGTGGATTTAATTTAATTTGTGGTGTTCTTACTAAGTAGAATGAATATGAAATAAAAAATAATAGTAGCTGAAATGACAAAATACGAACTGTGATTGGTGGATTTAGTTTGAAGTGTTCTTACTAAGTAGAATGGATATGAAATATATTCGTTCAGTTGAAGCAATAGCATACTTTTTCGTTTTGTAGTCTGTGCGTAGTTAAGCTAATATACATGTAGATGTAGAAAAAATGTATTATGAAGGTATGTATTTATAGTAATTGCAAACCCTATAAAAATGATGCGACACTGGTTATAGTGTCCGCGGGAATTTCTTCTCTAAACCCAAACGCTATTAAATGCAGATTCCATCAAATATATAATAATAATAAACGTATTTATATTTCAATTTCACAAAAAAAAACAATTACAAAAACAAGAATATTTGAAATATTTATAAATTACATTTATAGAAAAGAAAAGTTTTTTTTTAATTATTTAGTTTTATTTTATATGCTCAATTTCAATTTTAGCTATTTGTTTGCAGAAATGTTGAAAAATGTTTTTTAAAATTTTGACTTTTAAGTTGTTTCATGTACTCACGAATGCTATTATAAATTAAACAGATTTCATAACTGAAAGATCGTCGAAATATTTCTAGTTTAAAAGCAGGACGACTTAATAAGCCCTTAAACCTTGTATTGAGGATATGCACATCAGTACGGTATTTAATTTTGAAGTATAAATATGGAAGCGTTTTTTTTTAATGGAAAAGCATAGCCAAATGTTTCATGTTCAACCACCCAATCTCTTTTAGTTTATATGAAATTCGTTCTCTTCTTCTAATTCCAAAAATTAGTCTTAAGCACTTTTTGTATTTTATACTGATATTCTTTTGATAGACATGGACCATAGAGGGTATCAGAATAATTAAAAATTGACAGAACAAGTGAATCACATATTTTTTTAATTTCTTAAGAAAGAAAATGTCTCTTGCTATATATTACTTTAATAATAGAATAAGCACGCTTTATCATTTGGTTTATTCGCTCCGTGCGAAGTCATGGAAAGGGAAGCAAAAGCGATACTAGCGCTAGCTGCGGATAATTCGTGCATTTCAGGGCGATATTTTGTAATTTTGGCATATCAAATACACGTATACATTTTACTTTTTTTCAAAAAAGTAGGTACAGACAATACAATAAGCAACCGGAGTTGCTGTGTAAAGTAAAAAATGTCAGTAGCAAAGTGGAAATGAAATCAAAGAAATAAATGGATAGATGTACAATAAGAAGAAAAATTAGCTTTATTCTTGTAATAATAACAGTAATGCTGTAAATAGTAGACATCAGAAACTTGAAAGGTTTTAAATAAACAATAAATTATCATTTTACGATGTTCTTTAATGTCCTTTTATTCTTAAATGTTCATTCAGTAAGGACTGGATTTCAAGATTTCTGCCTTTGATTATTATATGTGGATGGAATGTAATTTTGTGACTTACTGATGAGAAACCAGTTTTAATCATTCATTCTATGTTTTCTTTCGAACAGAAATGAAAATATAAATAGCGATCCATTTTTTATACATTTTAACTTCATGCTATTATTAAATGGTATTTTTTTATTTTGACAACAGGATAATAATTCTTCAATGACAACTTATTAGACTTAGGCAACTTCTCATACATTTTCCAGTAAATACTGTTGCCTGCCTATATTTTATTATTGATTTTGATTGATTATACATAATTTTCTTTAATTTAAGCGTTAAAAATATATAATAATAATAAATTAATGTTTTACTTGTTTTACAAATCCATATACTTTTATTAAAACTAACATATATACTTTATTTCTTTTATCAAAGGATACTAAAAGTTTGAAATAACAGCACATAATTGAACATTTACAGATATATGTGACTGTGAACTAAAATAGTGAGATACACATCGTAAAAAGTTATCACACTTAATTCTCCATGTGCCCCTTTCTTACTGTATTTCACAGCATATTCCAAAGTATTCTTGCTCTCATGGCTGATTTTTGCATGTCCAAGTTTACTAAAAAATAATGTGTTTTAATAAATAATAGTATTTTGTCTAAATAGGTAAATCGGCTTCATCTGTATTTTCAAATTATTGTTTAATTGTAGATAGTATATTAATGTTTTAATATGTACTTATAGGATTAATGACCCAGAGCATGTAGATGTTTTAAAATCGATGCACAGCGAACGTGTTAGCACTGATTATTTGCACCAAGAGGTAACTACATATCTTTTAAACATCGTCATATGTATATATCGTTCATGCTTTCTATTTTGCTTCTTCTGACATGGGTTTCTACACGGGAAATACAAACGAACAACCGTTTTCAAATATTTTATTCAATAATAATAACATTCATATTTAAACTTTAAAAAAAATGTATATAAAAAAAAACAGAATTGCACATGTAAAATTAAAACTAAGAATAACGAGTATTAAAATGTACTACGTGCCAAATTTTATTATTTTTGATAATGCAATCAAGTTAATAAAAATAAAATTAACTACACACTACTCGAATTTTTAAGAATGATTATGTTAGATAAATATTGTATGATTATCACTTAAAAGTTCACCTAATATTTATTTAGTAAACGTTGAACACTGGGAAAAGGTTCCATGTTTTATGTAAAAAATATAGTCCGAGTCCTCAAGCATTTTTCAGGTGCGATTTTCTACTAGTTATTTTTTGTTAGATACGGTTTTCAAAATAAGTAAAACAAGTAAAATTGATCCACTGAACATGTAAGTAAATCGAATAATTTATTACAAGGTGAAATCAATATTAACAGGTAATATAATAAGCGATATCGGGACTATCGATAATGGCATAAGCTAATACTCGAAATGTCATGTAAAAATTAATATTTGAAAACACTTTGCATTAATATATGTGATTATCCATCCAAAGTCCAGATATCAAAAATTGTATTCAATAGATTATATCACGAATTAATAAAATATGATGACTCAATAATTTATAAGTAGTACAAAAGCAATGCTATAAGACAAGTGTGCCTACTAGGTATCATTAAATGAAATGGGTGGTATAGTAAAAAATGCTATAACCAAGTTTATTGGAGAATAATAAAAAAATATTTCAAAAATGTATGTATGTTATGTTGAGAATGGGGTGTTAATACACTGCGACCTAAAAGATCTATTGTGCCCCCTTCTGTCGCCACTGCACTAAGGAAATGTCTCAATGCCTATAGCGACCCTTCCAATCCTATTTTCTCAAGGAAGTGTAGGATATGAAGTGGCTTCAAGTTAGGTAAATCTCCCTCTTCTATTTTATGTAAGAAATAAGAGTTAACAAAAATGGCATAACTCTTGTGGTCATTGGAATGAGGTAACTTGTCTAAAAAATGTTGATTTATTCTTTGTTGCATAATACCATCCATATTTACCAAGTATAATTATCAGCTATTAGTTAAGTACATGATGTATGATTATCGATTATTAATCAAATAAAAGTATAGGAAATTATTATAGTGTGAGTTGTAATCTCTCTGAACAATAAAAACGCAACTCAAACAACATACAATCTTATTATAACAGTTATTACAGTCCATACTGTAAAAATTTGGTTAAAGTTAACCATAGGTTATATAAATAACCAATGTTATTTTCACCAGTAAACTCCCTAAAGCTTAGATTACGGGAATTTTTTTCGAATACACAATTTTTTGAAAATTATCCCGAGTAGTGAAATTAAATATTTTATCTTAAAAATTAGCAGCGGCATTTTTAAATATAGAACTAACGAATATTTTGAGAGAACTAAATTAAAATAGTTTTTTTTCATCACATCATTATATTATATTAAAATAAGTAAATAATAACTTAGCTATTCATAAATCTGAATCGGTTTTTCGTTAATTCTAATTTAATACTAAACTAAATAATAAATAATTTTGTTCTATAATGATTCAATTCCATATTGTCATACGAAAAATTATACAGTATGTACTTCTCCCGGATTGTGCTTATCACCACCATTTAATGAGTTATTTTGTTCCATTGTAACTAAATCGCCATTACTAACTGGTTCAATTTCATTATTTTCCTTATCACTATTAATACTTGAAGGAATGTTCGTTAAACTATCAGTCAAATTATTTGTGTGTGTTTCTGTATCCTGGGCCTCAGAGACTTTTTGCCCTTGTTCTGGGTTAACCATAAAGTTGTTCCACCAAGACGATAGGGCTCCTTTTGCTTGAGAAAGAGCGCCTCCTACAACAAAGATGTAATTTAACTTTAATTCAATTCAAAAGGCTTTTAAAGTTAGTAGAATAATTAACGATTTATAAAAGTAGATCTTACCTACAGCTTTACTTGTTGTAACAACAGCCTTACCGGTAGATGCCATTGCTTGATTTAGCTTTCTTCCGCTTTCTGTGTTCTGCATGGTACTAAAAAGTAATTAAAACAAAGTAGTTTGTTAAATTGGATGAAATGTAGATAAAAAATAAGTTACACCAACCGGATTATTGGAGGAATAAACAGAATAGAAATTTAACAATTGTTTATAGATTTCATAGAATTTAGAGAAAAGTAGATGTCATAGAAATACAATGTCATAACAATAATAGTAAAAAAAACAAAAATTATATACTATGGGGCTGACAGACCCATACATGACTAATGAAGAGTTAAGAGATAAATACAAAAACTTACTGAGCAAAACGCAGCTTCATGTCGGCCACAGAAAGCTGACCAGCAAAAGGATGAGCAGGATGTACATCCAAAATACCTGGATTTACTCCACTCAACCAAATTTTGTAGTTATGCGTGTCTCTCCAAGCACTTACAAAACTTGAATTATAATGGTCAATCTCCCTAGAGCCATCTACAAAAAAAATACAATAAAATAGTCATATCTGTTCAAATACTTATTTTATTATTCCTTGTCCTTTTATGAGACCAAACCTTGATTGTGATTATGTTTAAGTCAATTAAAAATATAGTATATCTTGACTGAAATATTAAGAGCTTTAGGGGTTTGCTCTTAAGATGTATTATTAAATAATAGAAGATTAATCTACACGTCAAATAAGTTCTTTTAAAATTATAACTATAGTAAAATGACTACAGTGTCGGCCACTGAAAGTTTTCAAATACGTTTTGGACAAGTGCATGTGAAAACTACAGAGAGTTAGCATTAGGGTGAACAGGAAACGAATATCACTATTGTAATGTTGGCTGCGCTGTAAAAACTGGCATCGCTAATATTCGTTTTCTGCTCGCTCTAATGCTAATTATCATGCCCGTTAAGACACATATTTAGAATGAACAACAAAATACAAGTAAATAGAATACATTTATTTAATAGTATTAACCTCAAAATAGAACAAATATTTTCAATATTGTTTAAATAATCAATAGTGAGTAATTGAGACAACTAATTGCAAAGCATTTGAGGAGCTGCAGGAAAAAACGATGAGGGTGCAACATTTACGAAAATCGAGATACATGGGGCAATCTAGGTATTTGTATGTACTATTGCGCCAAGTAAATATTTGCGGGAATATTGATGAGTCGCCATATATAGCTAAAAATATTTTAGTTAGTTGTGGAAAAAACGATGAGCTTACTTGGCGTTTGAAGGAATATAGATGAACGTGACTTTGTATTGAAACCACGGCCGTCTTTATATAAAATATATATATTTACTTCAATCGGTACAAAAACGCGTGAGCTAATTGGTGAATATAATAAAGAAAACCGACTCAATTTAGATAATGACCCTTTATTGTGGTGGAGAAATACTACTAAATATAAAGCTTTTTCTCCCATAGTTCGCACGTATTTATCGGCGCCGCCCAGTTCAGTGCCAAGTGAACAATTATTTAGTTCAGCTGGCTTAATTTATGATCCTCTTAGAAATCGCCTGGAAGGTGACAAAGCCGCAAAACTAAAATATAATTTACCTCTCCTTAATTTTGATTACTAGTTATTTTGATTGCTAATTTTGATGTTTATTTAAAGTGTACTAACAATGACCCTATTTGAAATAAAGATTTTTTACTTTTGATAAACCATAAATTCATATTTTTCCATATCCACTTTTACCTCCGCCTCCGTTAACCTCCGCATCCGCGGAGGCGAAACTCCGCTAAGAAGGCCTCCGTTACAACCCTAATATAAAAGCCAACACCGCATTAATACCTCTACCAATACTAAAATGGAAAAACAAAAATCTGTTTTTTTATGATAACCTGCCATAAATCAATAATTAAAAAAATGCATCATAAACATTTTGTGTTACTAATTAAAAAAAAAAAAAACTGTGTCTATTCTTGTTGGCAATTACTGAAACATGAGACCGTAAATACTAAGTTCAGAATATATTTTTTACCTTTTCCATGAGACAGAATATATTTTCTTCAGTTTAAATTTTATGCGCATTCATCGTTCTTTCCGCCTAAAATAGGTACTTATATATAAGAAAAATCAAAAGCAATGTAACCTACCGCACCCAGGTATGTTAATAATTTATTAATTCCATTTATTAAATACAATATTGCATTCTTATTAAATTCAAAATCCTTCATTTAACGAAAAATCTCCCAGATAATTAAATCTTATTTACGACACCTAATAAATAATAGCTATAACCACGTCCGTAATATATTCAAATTTCGTGCACGTGTCTCTGAGAATCAGCCCAAGAAAACGTATTTCTTTTCACGAAGTAATTATCATTAAAACACTTAACTCGCTTATCTTGCTAGTTTCGGTGTTAAGGCCGATTTCGACAATATTTCGATACACAAAGCCTTCAAGGCACATAATAAATAAGTCACCCCCTGCACCCACATTATTTCGATGGGAACTTAAGATATAGACGTCACAAAAGCCATTAAAACTTTATTATAAAAAGCCAGACCCAAATGAGCTCGGATTCATTCATTTTTAATTATTTGATGTGCATGCATTCATCCATTTTTATTAATGTGCAAGCATTCATTTATTATTTGTAGCCAGTTATATTTCAAGTTCAGTAGTCAGTACCTTTCCTAAAACGCTCTTCCTAAACGACGTCTATCCTACAATACCTCCTATCCCCGAAGGTGTCAACGTCTCGACGCCCAACGTCCTGCCGTCCTACTCCCTACGTCTCGAACGATGTCACATTCCTCACCAGCTAAGTATTTCCTACCGTACATTCATTTCGACGCTCAACGTCCCACGCCTTATTTCCGACGCTTGCCGTCCCTAAATATTTCCTTCATAATATCACGTCCCGCACCACCTACATAATTCTACCGTATATCTGTCCCAATGCATTACCTTATTAAATACCTTCCTTTCCACCACGACGCTCGCGAGGCGTCGCTCAACGACGCCGTCACAACGCTAGATGAAATTAATACATAATCTAATGTCTGTATTTTCAATGGTGAGTCAAAAGATTTATGTAATTTTCTTTGAGATACCACCGGGGTTTCGTGTAGACGAGGGCTTTTGACATTTGCTGTCAAATATTATCAATAAACCACATGGCCTTCAGGTCATACACCTCGAAAGACAGTAAGGATAAACAGCTGTTTTCGATGGGTGAAATTTTGAGTATTTCAATAGAAATTATAAAAATCAATATTAAGAAATATACACATGGTTGTATTAAGTAATTTCAATAGAAATTATAAAATTCAATGTTAAGAAATATACAGAGTTATATTAAGTCATTTCAATAGAAATTATAAAAAAATCAATATTTTGGAAATATACAGGGTTGTGCTATCTTAGATAAATTGTACAAACCAAGATGATAAAGTTTAATAGTAAGTTAACCAACTGGCGAATACGCTGTTCGTTAGCTCAAGGGGGGACACCTATACGCTAAGCAACCCGTTCTACTAGGTTTGAAACAAAGTATATGTGAAATCAACATAGTAAGGTAATTAACTGGCGAATAGGCGCTGTTCGTTACTTCCGTTGGTCACCACCTCTATACTCATCGAAATATTTACCTTAGAGGGTGCAACCTGTGTATATCTAAAATAGAATCAAATCAACACAATGGTTAACGAACTTGCGAATTGGCGCTGTTCGTTAACTCCGTTGGTCATCAACTTAAATAAGAATTTATACAACAACACAGTAGTTAACCAACTGGCGAATTGCCGCTGTTCGTTAACTCCGTTGGTCATCAACCTAAATAAAATATACACTGATAGCAAATGAATATGGTCTGCGTTTGAACGGGACACAAGTGAGATCTCAGTAAATAGTAACAATTGTAATTTTTAGCAAAGTATGAAAATTAAAAGAGTTTAAACATAAATTTGTCTGGTTTTATTTATCAATTTGCACCAAACTTTGCATCGAATTCTGGTTTACCTTAATTAACATTATCACAACGTGGGTATATAAATTATCAATTAATTAACTAGACGATCACTTTTACTACTAGAGGAAAAAAGGCCAATTACAGTAAGTATAGAATTTAAATTAAAACTTGTGAGGTAAATAATAACATTTCAGAGAGTAAAATAAAACAAACAACGAAACAAAAAGGGGGTACCGGGGGTGGGCCGTCACAGCAAAATATATTTTTTGTACTACTTTTGTTGTTAATTAATTAAACATGACACTGCACTGCTAAGTTAACATTATATTTACACCTTCCATGAGACAGTGCTCAAAAGTTAAAAATTCAATTTTCTCCAATTCCAAGTTTTTGCACATTCATCGTTCTTCCAGCTCCTCATTTGTATATAACTGATTTATCTCACAACTCCAACTAAATCAGTTTCAAATTGTCAACAAAAAGTAAAAAAAATGATTTCTAATAAATATCATTGATAACACATCCTTGTGATACCCTTGATTTCAAAGGGACCTGAAACAACTTGGTACATGAACACACTATACAGATATATGTGATTAAGTCAATTAACTTTCTAATCATTTATATAAGTTATTTATAAGACTAAAAAACTTTTTGTTCTGAAGATCCAAAAAAAATTACAAGGAAATATGGGAGACAAGAATGAGAAAAAAATATCAATGCACTTTAAATGATTGAATATCTCACACCTAGAAATACATACATACAGGTAAAACATGACAAAAAAAGTATAATTAGCTGAAGATAGAAGAACATTTGCAGTGTATATATTTTACAATACCTTGTAACATTGAAGTTCTTAGCAAACACAATAAGTAAATTCTAAATTGTGTTCTAATCCATTCATCGCCCCCTTCCCATCCTACTCCATCGAGAAAAACGTCATGCTTTTCTTCAGACACACGTTTAACTATGTAGTCTGCAAATCTAAAATTATTCGATATTAAAAAAAAAAAAGAATAATTACCAGATGAACGATTCCGCATTTTTTTAGAGTTTACAGATTTTAAACTAGAAGGATTTACAAATCATTACGTGATAAGTCCAAAACAATTATAATAAATGCTTCATAAGGTCTCAACTAAATTTTGTACTTACCTCAGATCTTCTGTGGTTAAATGTAAGTACTTCCTTAAATTCATATCTTGACATTCTATCCTATTTCCATCAATGTCTACTAATATATCGTAAAGTTGGCGTTTTTGTTTGAAAAGAACATTTGTTGCCCCTACTACATAACTCCTTACATTGACGTCTGTCAGTAAGTCCAAATATGGCAAAGACAGGTATGGCAGGCATAAGGATCCTTAATAAATAAAAAAAAAATATGATTAGTATATAATAATTTAATTAGATAACGAACAGTTTAAAAGTTAGTGGTCTGATTTTAAAGCCCATTAAAATTAAAGTGAGGATATTTTTGATTAACAGTTTTTGGAAGACTATGACTTTGTTTACAATGCTTAAATTGATTTTTGGCCAGAGTCCGGATTAAAACATTTCACAATATTTTTGGCAGTTTTGGTAGTTTTAGCAATACAGCCCTAAGATATTTAACATTGGAATGAATTTATTTTTAGATGAATTGCACATATAATATGATCTGCCAAGACAATTTTTTCACATCCCATCCACTTTGATTATCCATTTTTTGTAATTAATTTCCCGTTTGTTTTCTTTTAAAACTGTAATTTCTGAAATTTTGGTAAATTTTGAACGCATTTTTAATGCATCTGAAACTTTCAAGGTTGGAAAATAGGGGCGAATACCATCATAGACGATTTTATTATTGTACATTTATCTGCAGACAATTTAGACCTATTTACTTTTTTTGCAGTATTACTACTAATATAAACTGATAAGTTATTATAAATTTAACTATTTCTGCTGACGCCAATGCACAACCACCTAGACTTGACAACAGAACGGAATATATCTCTGTTGGGCACTTTTAGTGTGCTATACCTTTTGTATTATTGTTTCAAATGGATCTGTGAGAAACAGACAATAAAATCTAATAGATATGGCAATGTAAAATTGCTCTTCGACAGTCGGATCGCATGGTTGAAAATCATAAGATAAGTTTAGCAAAAGCAGGTAAGTTTTTATTATAATTTATTACAAAATGAGTTGAAAACGAAATTTGGAAAAATAAAATCAATAAAACTTTGGTGAAAATAATTATTTAGAAGTTGTATAGAGGTATTATATCAACAATTCAATTATACTCAACCATTTTATAATTAAATTTCTTTACCTTTGGTAAATATTGCTAATGGAAATCCACAACTTTCCGTACTGAGCTGTGTGAGGTAAGTCAGATTATTATGAGCTACATCGGAAATTGTATCTAAACTAATATCTCTATGAAGACTGGGTTTTTCAAATCCATTTAGAGTTTCATTTTCAGTGCCCAGACAAACCTTTACCTGCTAAAATTAAAACATAAAAATTACTTTACACCTTATTGTATAAATTGTGTCTACTATTAAATTAATAGAAAGTAATATAGAGAAGAATAACAAAATTAAATAAAGCATAACTAAATACTCAAAAAAGTTGAGAAAACAAGAAATGATTGTCTACTGTATCAACTATTACATTATTTTTTTTAATAATAATATTTCGTACACTTAAGGATTCTGTAAGTTCCAATCCAACTTCACTTTGATTATCATTTCTTAAGCCATTTTCTACGGAATTTCCATTTTCTTTTACAGAATTGGTTTCTTGATTGTCTCCGTTATCTTGTTCTTGTACTATTTTTGATTCTTTGGCAATTTCCATTTGTAAATTAGTGTTAACTTCTTCCTTAAGACTAATATTTGTACCGATTAAACAAGGAATATTTATTACATTGTTGATTTTTACAGGACTGGAATCTTCATCTGAATATTCTGGCATTGGAGACATGGGTCTAGATAACCTAAAAGAACATATTTAAGACTTCATTAACAATAAATATGAATTTAAAACAATTTGAGGCATTTAATTTTACTGTATTTGGAGTATACAGTATATCATACACTTCTTTATCATTATTGCAGTAAACTTTGTTCTGTTATCAGTCAATGTAGTAGAATCCAATACAGTAAGAAGTAGATTGCTATGTCATTTCAAACTTTTAAATATATTACATTATCTATAACTAGAGTGACCATAAGTACACCATTTCACTGTATTGTACAGCATTTTCAACGTTTGTCCAGAATGTTAATCTTTTACAGCAAAACGTCGTTATTGTCCAGCAAAATGTTGTTATTGTCCAGCAAACAATCAAACATTTAGGTGCTACTCAGCTGACTCTCCTGTTGCATGTTTTGTCTCTTTTTACTAAGTGGATTTTTGCCAAAGATAATAAGAAAATTGTTTTTTTTTTATTTTATTTGTGCTGTTTATGTTCCTGTTGTTTGTGTTTTTTATAAGATAAGGCGTTTTCTAATATTCATCGATGCTCTAGATTTCATCAAAACTGTTCTTTTATCCATCCAAATGTTTTAGATTAGTCATACATCATATTCTTAAATTCAACCTAATTCTCAGATTGTTGTCACCAAATCCATCAACTCGATTATGTTGATGCACTGATGGATCACGTGACATAACCTTAAATGATTAATTAAAATTAAACAGAAAGTTTGCTTAAAATTCCTAATATGAATGAAAAAACTCACTGGGTTTTTTTTAACCAACCTATAAGTGGGCTAACTTTTAAAATAAGATTGTTAGCATTAGATATACAGCAAGCAAATGAAGACAGGTATATATTTTTTCAATTATTGTACTTGTCTTTAGTTTTTATGCTTATCAAAAGTCTTCGAATTGTTTGTTTTCATTAAATAAAGACAGTTTGACAGTTAAGATTATAAAATCACAAATGTCAGTCGTTGTCAAATAATTTTCATCAGATAAAAATCATGACTGCAGCAGTTGGCCATTTATTGGTCACGTGATCCATCATCAGTACATCATTTTGTTGAATATTAGAAAACGCCTATTATGTAAAAACATCGACCTTGGCCGATCTAATTTGTTTAAAATGTAAATGATTTTGTGGCCTCTCAAATTAGTTGAGAATAGTGGAAAGTATCAGCTAAGTAGTGAAACAATTAATATTCTGAAAATCAACCGAAAAAGTACTCAAATTAATTATTGAAAATACAATAAATTTATCACACTGATTATTGCAGCCTAGTTTAAATGATCTTAATTCATTTTTAAATTCAACTATGTTATGACCTGTAACATTTTTGTAGTATATTCTGTACAAATATTGATGCCAATGAATATGTAATAACTACATGAGTTTGATTTTGCATTAAAATAATCCGATTTAGTAAAAGTAACTATATTTTAGTAATATTTTTAGTTCAACGGTATCGGCACCAGAGTTTAGTGAATTTTAGTGGTCTCTCCTTTAGATAGGTATACAGCTAATGGGCAAACGCGCCAAGTAAAATTTAAAAATAACATTTAGAGGCCCCGTCCTTAGGTAATATACAGCTAATGAATAAATATGATTCATGTAAAAAGCCACATGTAAAAAGGAGTAAGCTTTCATGTGGTTTAAACCATTAAAGTGAAATTGCTATTTAGGTAAATCAACCCATTTAAAATAACATTAATAATAATTAATTATTAAATTAGTTTTTATTCTCTATAACCAGTAAAGAATGTATAGAATTCATGATTTTTTTTATATCTAGAGTTTTCCATAGATTTTTATGTTTTGGGGTCCTTGAATCCATTTGAGCATTTTTGTGATGATGTGTGTGTGGGTCCACGATAACTCAAAAACAGAATAAGTGAATAAACTAAAAATATGAAAATAATGTTGTTTACCTACATACCTGATACATGCAGAATTATTCAATCCACTTTCTATCATTTCTGGAAATAGTGAAATGAGTGTTAAAATTGTAGAACATAGGGGATGCACTGGTGATTTATAAAAAATTACCCTCTTCTCTAAAAGCATCAATTTGAAAAGTAAAACTGCTTTATGCTTCCATTGTAAGACAAAATCTCTTGCGGATAAACCTTTAAAAAAGGGCAAAATATATTATTTAGGCAATGCATTTAGGGAATCTATTGTATATTTTTGGTTACTATTATCTTTGAAAAACAAAATTAATTAAAAATATTGTAAATTTAGTCCATTTCATGTTTTAAATACAATAAATATATATTTATTTTTATTTATATATTTAATTTCATCAAGAAGACGATTTAAAAAACTGACATGTAACAAACATGGGCGCTAAAAAAAATAATATAAAATTATTAAAAAATGAATTAAAGTTTATTTTTTTTTTAATTTCATTTTTACTTCCCTCTATAAAAGGGAAGTATTGTAATCGTGAAATAGTCACCTTCCGAGATTATTTCAAATTTTCACGTTTCAGGGTCCTTAGATTATCAAAAACATGTTTTCCCATTCAGCTAGCCTGTCTGTCGTCTGTTGGCGCGATAGCTCAAAAACAGCTTTATAAAAAAACTTCAAAGTTTGCATGCATTTAAGATTTCTTTCTGGCTCAAACCCAGTTATACTTCCGATCAGTTAAATACAGGGTAAGCAGTTTTTAAAATGAAAATTATTTTTAAAAGATTTCGACTAAATTGGTATCTGAAAATTTTAGAAGTCAAAGATTACAGATCCTAAATAAGTTTTTAAAAATTCAAAATGGCGCTGAAAGGAATCGTATTTAATCAAAAAAGGTCCCACTTGAATGAAAAAAATAAAAATCGTCCTTTTGGTTTGTTCAACTGGACCATTTTAAAAGCAGCCAATCATTATTGTTCAATAACGGTGATCGTGACGAAGAATACTGAATGGACACAAAGTGGGAATTCAAGTGGAATCTAGAGGAAAATCAATGGAGAGAGAAATGTGAAAAGGGGTTTTTGGTTTGATGGTTTTAATTTTAAATTATTAAAATTTAAGTGTTTAGGACTTCCCTGCTTTTACAATTTCTATTTCGAGGGAAGTTCTGTGTAAAATACCGATTTTAAAATTTTATATATTGATGGCTAAGAGGACAAATAATATTGTATGTTTATTGTGTCAAAAATAATAACTATTAATTTTAAATGTTTACAATACTCTTCAAAGTTTACACCTTAGACTAATTTAATTACTGTCTTTAAAGTTTAAATATATCTACAAATACCCAATACAGAAATACTTTTAATTGAAACAAACATTAATTGAAAATTTTGTAAACAGAATACATTATTAATTTTCTTAATCATGTTTGTTTCGGTTTGTAATATAATAACAGAGATAAGCAATGGTGTGATTAATACATTAAATATTTGTGAAAATATGCATACAGGTGTTGATTCAGTTATAACACATCTAAATTTAATTATTTTTATTGTGGTATATATATTTAGTTCAAGCATAGATACTTACATTCATTTGGGTTAATTCTAATGCAAATCAATTTGCATAAAAAGGGAATAAGCAGCATTTTAAAAGGTTGACTTAATAAATGGTACATCTTTCTGTATCAAAAAATAATTCAAATATTGAAATTGTTTAAAATTTGATATAGCTTAGAAAAAGAGAGCAGAAAGTATTTAACATATTTTCTTATATACTACTCTGGGTATTTTAGCCTTTCTGTGTCTATTTTGTTATTATACCCAGTGCTCATAGATACCTTTCCTACAACTTTACCTAATGTTAAATATTAATTGGAAAAATAATCTTCTGACCTCTGGGTCTAGAGGATATTTCTATAACCACTGAGCTATCTACCCTCCTCAACAAGGTAGTACTTGATGTATTATAGTACTAAAAACATACTTAATACATTGTTATTGAAAAAATATTAAATCTTGCTGGATTTTCAGCAAACAAACTTGAAATTTATCAAGTATGTATGAACTATGGTGTCTACTAAAAACAGTCACTTTTTGATAGATGATGGCTCTTAATCAAAATTATTAAGGTTAACTAAAAATCTTAATCATATTTCAGTAGGTACCTCAGAGGTAAACTGCACTATGTCATTCTAGTCAACTTTTCAGTAGAGCAGATTGTATGTTATTTGAACATATATTAATTATATTTCGATAAGAAATGCAGTTAGACCTAATTATTGTCACAATATTTACTTATTGTCTACTAATCTAACCAATAAAACTTCATATTTTTTTAAAATTTTAATAAATTGTTGGTTTTTATGACATGTCTATGTTATGATAGCACATTTTCTATGACATAGTATCATATACATCCATGCCTATGAATAATAAGACTAACATGAGAGTTGAAAACACTATGTGCACATGGCTTTGTTTATCTCATAAGATTATTGAACAGTGTTATATTTTTTGGTTCTTTTATTGTGACATCACTAATACATTGTGTAGTACCCCTGGAAAGGTCTCGATGAATTTAAAAATATAACATAAAACTGAACTGCCAACATAGTGCAGTTTATCACTGAGGTATAGATTTAATATGTTAAACAATGTTATGAGTTTAAAAGAACATTTACTTACCAACAAAAGGTTGCTGTAAGGAATCACTTTGTGTCATAACAGCATTAAGGTGATAGTAAGTATCTTTTAATATAGAAACTTGACTAAAATCTCCTTCATCAAAATAAGCATGTGTAATTAAACATATTTTAACCTGTATCTGTCCATAAAGTGGTACCCTGCTCAGTACACAGACTGATTTTTGAACTGTTCCTCTGGTAATATCTGAAGTTTTATTCTTTATTTTCTAAAATTAAAAGTAAACCAGTGTTTTAACAAATACAGTACATTCAACACATTTATTGTCTACAAAAATATAAAAATATTCTTACTTCAACTGGTATCTGTCTGAAACAGGAGATACCATAAATAGTTTGCATAGGTTTGGTTAAACTCGGTAAATGAAAAAATACTGTGTCTTCGTCATAATTATGAGACCCATCTGGTAAAGCCAATGTTGGTAAATATTTCCAACCAGGCGGACATTCATTCGGATGACCGGGAACTAGCTCAGGAAAGGAGTATTCCACCTACATAAAATTATCAATTGATAAAATTGCTGATGCAAATAAAACGCATTTACTTACCTGACAACCTCTTTTATGATGAAAACCAATTACTAGTACATGTAATACGGGGGCGTCTTTTTCACCCATATTGATATAATATAAACTTTTGATAAAACATAAGAAAAAACAACCATAAACTTATTTGTATTGATGTCGATTCCACGGCAAGGCCATGAACGCAGTTTGACATTAATGACAATGACATTGATTGACAAGCATTTGTTTATTTACCGATTGGTAGTTCAATTGGCGAGTAGTTCTATTTCTAGTTTTTCTACTTTCTAGGTAGGCCGGTAGGGAGGTATAGAACTACTAGTATAAATAGTAAATAATGTAAATAGCAGAGAGAACCCAGCTAAATAGGAATAAAGAGAAAATCTTTCTTTGGTGTAGTATACTTTATAATAAAAATTTTGAACATAATAGAAATTGACGGACTCGTTTTAATCATTAAAAAAACTTGGTAGATACTTTAAAAAATAACAGCAACCTGATGATGCCCCAATTTGATCGAAATAATCGGTTATAGAATGATCGGCTCCTTACATGCCAAATCAAAGGGTTTGCTAATAATAATCTCCTCCTACAATTCATCCCATAAGAAGAGATTGTATAATTAATAATAATACTCTACCTAATTCATCCCCTGCTTACGAGTTAATTTCAACCCCTGAAGTCGACTAAGGACCGATTCCACCGTTGTGTTAAACGAAGTTTAAAATGACATTTTTACATTAACAATGTCATTTTAATCTCCGTTTAACATAACGGTGGAATCGGCCCTAAGCGTCTTATGTAGGGAAAGGGACGGAAATTATTATTATTTGCCGTGGCGCTCCGGGGCGACTTAAAGATGATTGATGGTGCAATTTAACTTACAGGTGAGGGAAATCCCACCCACCATCTTCGAAAACGGTAACGCATGGCCATTTTTGGGGGCTATATGGTTACTAAAAGCAGTGCTCTTGGTCGTTTTACAAATGATTGATGGCACCATATATTTGACTTGCAATTACTTTTAGGAAACCCCACTCATCAACGTCAACATGATATAGGCAACGTGCATGTGAATTTAAATTTGGAAGTTGTATGACCCGAAAATATGTTTTACTGTTAATACGCCACCCATCATTTCTTACAAGGAACATTCTCGAATATTCGATCAATTATAAAATAAGTAGTGATCCACACAAAGTTTGTAAAGTAGCTTTCTTTTTAAGTGCCAGTTTGAATTTAATTCAGAGTCGTGCGTAGTTATCGCGGACATGACTCGTATACCGAAAATACATCCAACATATTTTATTCAATACATCAGGCTCTAGCCCAGCCCTGACTGCCAAAGCAGCTAATCAATTAAAAATCAAACAATTCTTCAATAATAATGAATCATCCATTCAATAACCAATAATTTTAATTGAAAATCCAAATATAATAAGGCGGGTACCCTGTCGCGAATTAATTAAAAGTACAATAAAACCATGTCGGTTGCAGGCATAAAACATGTAATAATTTACGTTTTGTAAACACTTATATGAAATTTTGACTAGCTCTTAGATATTTTATACCAAACATATTACTTACCTTTAATCAAATGAAATGAGAAAATGAAATGAGCACATATACCATATCCATATGGAAAAATAGTTTTCGGGAAAGAAAAGGCACAATAATTCTTTATTTTTTTTTAAAGCTAGTTAAGAATTATAAACTCTAGCTTTACCAAAAAGACAATTAATTCAAAATTATATAAAATTTAAGTAAAAAGAGATTAATTGTAACCTTTAAAAATAAGATTCACACGTATATAAATAAATTTGTTTGTTTTCAAATTGTGGAAATGCAATTTTGACAGTGAATAACTATACCTAAATTTTTATGAACATAAATGATCTTATTTAATAATAATAATAATAATAATTTTTATTGTTCATTTGTACATAAAATTACATAAACAAGGAGACTAAAATGGAAATGAGTAGTTTTACATAATATACAAAAAAGAAAAATTAATTTGTGATAAACAATAATCTGTATCTACCTAAATAAAATAAAAAATGTAAAAAAAAACGAAAATGATCTTATTTGCTGGTACCAACACTACATTATAATCTCTATCGTACGATAATTTTAAACTTTAACCTAGTGAATTATTTTACAATAATAATTGAATAGATATAGCACCTGATTATCTGTTGCGACAGCAGTCCTCATAGATTTTATATGCTCAACGAGCCCAAACGCCAACCTCTGCTTTCAGGTAAATCGATAACTGGTCTGATTGTAAAAATGTGGTCGTCTATTTTTACCTTCAAATATTGCACTGCTTGTATTCGCTTCCTAAATAAAAATAATTTTTTTTTCACGAGGATTTTGTATGAGATATAAATCAAACTTTTAAAAAACTATTTTTTAAAAAATTCCAACAATAAAAAATTAATACAATGTGTAATTCCAGCAACACAAAAGGAATTACTAAACCATATTGAATTAATTCAAATTGACTTTTCAAAATTAAACTTCAAAAAATAGAAATATAATTTCTACTGAGATCTTTTTTAATGACAATAACTCACCGCTAGTCGCAGCCAAAGACACTGTGATTGATTCAACGATATGATGTTAAAATGAATTTCTAGAAAAGATTTGGCATTGACTAACCAACTAAAACAATCACTTTGCGAAATTTTCCTTTCTCAGGATTGCATGCGGCGACAATTAAATTTTAAATTATTCGAATACTATTTTTATACAGGTTGTCACACATTCAAAATAACATTTTTAAAATGTTACAAACAATAAAACAGTTTTTAAAAATGCAGTTTTAGATTGCTCAAACTTGAAGCCACACGTTACCCCACACGCCCAGATGATTCGAAAGACCATTGAAAGAGGTGCAACAATTAGTTCATCTCACAATAACCAACAAATACAAGATGTTTATTAAAGTGGAGGCATTTATACCCTGCAATTATGCTTTAACTGTTCTTTTCAGCTCGTTTAGTTTGGTTACCAAGTGTATGATTTTTTGGGAAAATTAATACTTACGACTTCGGTATGAACTCTCCTATTTATACTACACCCTATTTTATAAACTTTTTGTGGATCACTCTTTATCATGTAAACTTCTGACAAGAATGTGAAATCAATAAAGTTGACAAAACACCTAGCAGTGCCAAATTTGGTAACAGGTGTTTTGAAAATAAAATGTAACCTAACCTCTAATTTGATGTTTTTATTTAGGAATATATTTAATAAAATAAGGAAATACTTCCAACTATGTCATCAGGACATAAAATAAAACTCAAGAGCCAGTGTCACATAATACGAGCGACCACTTCATTCAGGAAAACAACTACTCTTTTGTTTCTATTTTTCGTTTTCCTTTGGTTATAATTCAATACCAGTTGTGTATTAACCAAAGTAGTTGTTTCCCTTAGGGAAACAGTCGCTGGTGTTATTAAGTGACACTGGTTCGTTTTATTTTATTTTACGCTCTAGTTACATTTGAGTTGGAACTATTTCCTTATTTGAAAATTGCCCGCCCATCTTTTTTGAACTGGGTACTGCGAGCGACCTTTGATTTTGCTTACTAAGGGCAGTTAGCGTTACCATTTTTACTGTGTAACTACTTATTCTCTCGCAACCTCCATCAATACAGGTGAGTGAATTTAACGCCTTTGCAGATTTCAGAGATTGGAATCGAAAATGTTTATTTCTTGCTGATGAGTCCTAATAAGGACCAAACCAGTCCAAGAATGACGTTCTCCTTAGTAAGCAAAATTAAAGGTAGAGTCTTGAAAATTATTTTCAATCTCTGCCGTTTTGTTTTCTTTTTGATATAATTCTATGCCTGTTCCGGTGTTAGCCACTGTAGTCTTTTCCTTAGAGAAACGGCCGCTCGCATTATTATGTGACACTGGTTTTGAGTTTTGTTTCTATTTTATTTATTAAAAGGTCAAATACTATTTTAAGTCCATAAATAAATTCACTGAACTCAACTTTATTTGGTCCGACCTGTGCAATGAACCGTATTCCATCTGTCTTCCACAGAATGCTGAGTAGCACCACACATCATCTACATACATTAAAGTCAACCCCCATTCCTTTTTAGGACTCTTGCAAACCAAACAGAACAGAAATGGACAGAATCTTGATGCACCTACCTTTATTGTAAATTAATTCTTCAGTGGCCGTCCTCACATGGTTTTTAAAATTTTCAATGATAATACAAAAAAAAAAAACATAAAATTTTACCTTGAAGTAAAAAAGTAAAAAACAATAAATATTATTTATTTCATCACAATATACATACAAAATACTTAATTTTGGTAAAAAATTACAAAACAGGAAAAGAATAACTTTTGCGGTGCTTCTGCGCCAAGGCTAGCAAGCACAAAAAGTAGTTTCTACTTTGAAGGTTTACATAATAGGTTAATACTGTTGATTCCTCCGAAACGTCATTATTAGCTCCAGGGGAGGACATAGGAGAAATATCAATATCAGAATGCTCAGAACTATCCATGGGAGGTGCTGGATTGATATACTCAGAAGTATTCTTAACATAGTCAGCCACTCTAGCTCTGCTATCAGCGTCCATCTCTTCAAACTCTTCTTCACTTTTGATAACTTCTACAGAAGGCGGGGTCAGTTTAAAAACTAGAAGAGTAGGGTCATTACTAGGAATTACTGTCAAATCTGACAGACTTAACACTTTCTGAGTTACGTCTTGATCTAAGTTAACTATAACAAGAACTCCTCTAGTAAGAATTAATGCCACTGCTTCATACTGGGAAGTATTAGATATACTAGTAGCTTCACAAATATAAAGTAAGTTAGTTGAAATAGTTTGTAAATTTTTCCAAAGGTATTTTAATCGTGAGTTGGCGTTTTGTTGGACTTTATCTACGAAAGGAGGAGATCTTACTTCAGGTAGATTATTCCAACCTGCTCCTTGCAGTAAACCTGAAAGAAATATTGATATGGGAAACTTTTAAAGGATTCATAAAAAATTTAATTTTTTTTTTTTTAAGTTTTTTGAATCCCGTCTTTCTGAACCAAAATAACAAAAAGTCGGTGTATGATATTTTGATATATTTTACCTTGGCCCGTTAATGCCACGAGTTCTGCAGCGCCACTTAAAGGTTTTGTTACAATGCCAACAAGTCCAAGACCCACTCCAGTTACAAGAGATATTGGGGAAACACCTTCTGTCATCATGAATTGTAGTGGATGGTGTGCTACGCCTCCTATTGCACCCAACATACTAATCCCAAGACCTGTCAAGCCCTAAAAAAATGTTTCATAGAATCACTTTATAAATAAACGATAAGAATGAGAGTTAGGGCCTATGTGTAAGAAATATAATACATGAATAGTATTTTTTATGCTTGTTATACAATACTACTACAATACTTTTATGTTAATAAATAAAGAAAGTATATTCTTTTTATATAAAATACTGGATGAAGTTCAAATTATATTAAATGAAACATTTTGCACAAGAAAAAGAATTGTATTATTATGTGCATAAAGTGTAATTATTGATAAAAGTTGTTTGGTTTAATTGCAAAAGAGCTTGACGGATGGTGGTTTGTCGAATTTAAAAATATTTCTATACCCCTTAGAAACACTTTCATAGAAAGATTAAAATAAATAAAAAAATTGGCTATAATTTGTAATATTTATACCTGCATAAAACCTTGAGCTAACCCTTGAGGTTTTAGCCTTCTTTGTTCCTCAGCTCTTCTAAGGTGCTCATCGTCCAAAGTTAGCCTGTCTAAATTTCTAGCGACGCTAGAAGCTAATTTAGTAACGGATTGTAACGTTCCTGCAGTGACGTGCCTCATAAGAGATGCAGAGCCTTGAGTAATGCCTCTTAGGAAAGCCATCGGTCCGATAATAAAACCTAAAAGATGGGAAAAATAAAAATTAATTCTAAGAGATAAAACAATACAAATTATTCAACTAAACTTTGTAATAGGCACGTTAGTTTGGTTACATAAAAGGAAATTTATATAAAAAAAATCAGTTTTGAAACGTGTTTATCTTCTATTTACAGTTATTCCTGTGAATCTTTGCTTACACCGCATTAAATTGTTGTTGATAACATAAAACATACTGTTTTTGTATCATTATTTTCTGTTATGAGGAAAAGCAAGTCAAAATTAGTTTGTTATGATGTCTTTTATATAGAAAAGTATGTTCATTTGATGATCACACTCAGTAGACTTAAAAGAGATAGATAACTAACAAGGACAATTTCTGCTGTGTTGTTCTAACTTGATAAGGACAGTACTTTCTGTTGTTTGACATCGTTTAGTTTTATGACATTGTTTTTGTTACCTGAGCGAATTTTGAAGTCGCAAATATTATACAGATTAATGTTCACAGTATGTTAATAATAATAAAAGTACTTTATTGGTTATAAATAAATGGCCATCGACCTAGGTCTTTCAGACAGTACAAATTGTATGGTAATATGTGAGGATTTACACGCTATGTGTAAGATGAATAGGAATATTAAAATACTTAAAAAAAATTATGTGTCACTAATTATTGTTTATCGGCAAATTCTTTCAAGATTTCTGTTATTGTTCTCACTAGGTATTTAAACTTTGCTTGTCTAATTTGGCGTTGAATCGAAAAAATGTTTATTAGCATTTGATTGTTTCGTTTTTTCGAAAATGTTTTCGACAGTTTTCTGATTCTTTCCAGGATAGGCTGAATCTTAGTTTTTTCGTAGAGATATTCATTCGCTGGATGGTGTGTGAGGTTTTCTGGATGTCGCATCTTGGTAATGCCCAACTTAATATTTTGACATTCCAGTATTCCAAACACTGTACTGCATAACCAGAATACCTTTTGAAAATGTAAGAGAAGTAGCCACGTTGATTTTAATTTTAAGAAAGATACTGGACCAGTAGAAAATAGTAGTTTGTGCAACTAGAGTGGATATGGAGAACCCACTCGAGTTGTACAGTATATTTGTTCTACGACCCATTCATAAAAATCTACAAATTTAAAAATAAAATAAACATGAAAAAAAAAAATATTTAATTTTATTAGTTACCAGCCGAGATTAGAACTCGGGTCTCTCGCGTGATTTAGGGTTTTAGTTCTAATACTGGTATTTAAATTAATTTCATATAGTTTGATTAAAATTTTAAATTTATTTCAAAATGTGGACGAAACAAAAATAGAAATGCTACTATTTATCGATTCTACACAAAAATAACTCATATTATTGTATATTTAATATCAATAACTAAAAAACATACTGATAATTAGTTTGACAGATTTGTCACTTATTTAAAATTTTAAAAATAATAGTAGTTGGGTGACCAAAATATGAACTATGATTGGTGGAATAGATATAAAATATATCCGTTCAGTTAATGTACTACTTAAATTATATAAAATAAACGATTTGAATTTGAGTTGAAGACAATAGCGTACTTTTTCGTTTTGTAGCCTGTGCGTAGATAAGCTAATATCCATGTGGGTGTAGAAAAATTGCATTGTTATATTTTAGTAGATAAAATTAATTATATTTACCTCTTAATGGCAGACTAACAAAGTCTCTTAGGCCAGTACCCATTGCCCTAGCTAAACCTCCAGGGCTGCCTAAAAGTTCCAATGAACTAACCACCCATCCAGCTCCAAATATTGCATCAGAAAGGTAGTGCATAGTTAAAGCGTGTCCCAACCTAAAATATGTATGTTAAATAGTAGGTATTTGAGAAAAGAAAAAAGAAGCACTATTGTTCACCTTTTTTTTAATTTTACAGAGCCAAATAGTGTTTTAAATTTTATATTTATTTACATGTAACTAATGTTAGTGCTGGTTAAATAACTTGTATAAGTTGAGACCAATAAATGAAAAAAAAAGCACCTATTACATTTTTAATGCATTACCTGTAAGGTGTTGTGAAAAGTCTTCTTCTCTCTAATTTTCCAAATTGCAGAGGTGATTGGTCCAAAGCTATGTACAATTTTACAGAATAATGAACTGACAGTGACAGCAATAGAGGTGAAATACTTAAACTTCTTATTGTTAAAGGTCTAGCAAGTATGGCGCACTGCCAGAGAATAAAATCTGGCACAAGAACCTGAAAAGAAAGGTAAACGTGTATGGTTACTGTATGGTTAATAATAACTGGGAGATATTTTGGAAATAATAAATATTTTTCTTACTGAGCTGGAGGATGCCAGGAGTCTTTGCAAGTTTCTTTTCTTTTGCCACAAAATAAGATTTGTTGGAGCAAACACATTGAAGTATTCCATTAAACATGAAACATATGTATCTTCTATGTACAGAGATATTGGATTTATATCTATTTTTATTGATTTCATTCCTAAAATAAAAATGTGATTTTTAAATGGTATTGAATAAGCTAGGCGTCCTTAAAAACTTTTGGATTAGAGATTATATGAAAAGTGACAATACCGTCCTCTACTGTGAGCACAAGTTACTACTCATATACTCGTATATATAATCCACAAATGTCAGGCTCACCCGTGACCATTGTACAGTTTACATTTTTTGTTTATGTGTCTGAATGTGAACTGATTTGGATAATTTTGACCGAGCTTGCGTTTTAAAGAGTTATGATTATTTGATTTGCTTTCTAGCCCATGACAATCTAATAATTCCGTTTATTTACTTGTTTTATTCATCAATTAATAAAATTTTAGCATTGTTATTACATTTTTTGCATAGTGTTTTCCTGTTTTTGCACCTTTATCTGTATCAAAACAGATTCAGAGAACCCCAAAACGTAAAAACCTGTCAAAAACTCGAGTACTTTCCTTCCGTATATAGACAGGAAAGTAACACCCGTATGCATAGTCGATCACCAGCGATCCGCTGGCGAAAGCCCGAAAAGGTGGCGATTTTCACCGGCATCTCTCGCATATTATTCATGATTCATTTCTTAAAACTCAAAAAACAAAGAACGAATATAACATTTTTCCCCATAAAAAAACATGAAACCCAATTTTTCCTATAAAATAAAATGAAAACTTGCGAGAGATGACATGCCGGTGAAAATCTCCAGCAAGTCGCCAGAGATTCATCTCGGCGGTATCAGCAGCGATCCGCTGGCGAATCGCTGGCGATCGACCATGCATACGGCTGTAAAAATAGCATTTCTTTCAAATCTTAGAGTTCCATCAATATATTCATAGGTTCTATTGGATTTAACCTTATTTTAGACATTTACGATAAAATATAATAAATGTATTAATATTTTATCAATAGTATCTAAAATTAACACAAGTATATAAAAGTAACTGAAAAAAAAAACTACTAGTTATTTTTCAATAAAAAAAATTAAGACTATTCTGTCACCGAGTTATAACTCGGATTCTAGATATGTCCTGTTGGCCGAGTTAGCAAGGCAACGTGTATATACAGGGTGGCTCACGCTCAACGGGACGGAGCTTTATGGGAAAATTACCAAAGATATAAAAAATTCGTTTGGGAGGAATACGTAGGTTACAGACGGCTACAATTTAAAATTTGTTAGATGTATACAGGATGTCCCACATAAGAGAAAATATACAAAGTTATATTATTTTTAATGGAACACCCTGTTTTTTATTTTAGAATTAAAAACTACATCAAAAATAATGTCAGTTAACTAAAGGTTCCCTATTACTATTATTATTAGTTTTCGATTTATTTGAATTTTTAAGTCTCCCAGAAATTATTTGTTTACTCTTGTTTGAATAATTTTTAATGAACTAATTTTTTTTTCTTATGTGGGACATCCTGTATACATCTAACAAATTTTAAATTGTAGCCGTCTGTAACCTACGTATTCCTCCCAAACGAATTTTTTATGTCTTTGGTCGTTTTCCCATAAAGCTCCGTCCCGTTGAGCGTCAATGTGAAAAGTCCGAATGCTTCCCGGGACGGACGGTTCTTAAATTTTTCAGTAAAATTGTTTTCACTTTGATGGTTTTAAAATGGTGTCCATTTCGTAGGAGTAATTATGAAAAATTTATTTGGGAATGTTGTCCAAAGAATTGACACGGCCCCCATAGCCCCCTCTGGAGCCGCCCTTGGTGTAAAGAGATCTATTGTTTATATTATATCATCAGGCTTAACAGTCTCCATTAGATCCTTCTTGGAAAAAGCCTACAGACTATCTTAAGGTAAGTTTTAACAAATTTACATATTGGTTTATAAATAATACGAATGACTTTCAAAGCATCTTAGACTAATGCTGCGTTTGAGAATCCACATCGGATGCATCTGAGATGTAAAAATCTTTGATCACGTGATTCAGTATACGTAAATGTAATGGGACAGATGTGTCCGATGTGGATAAAAAAACGCTCGAGATGTAAAAAATGCATCCGATGTGGATTCTCAAACGCAGCATTTGAAATGATAAAATCTGTCGATACTTATTTCATTTTTTTTTTTTTTTAGATAGATATGGCTCTGATTCCATATAATTTTTTTTCATATTGTTAAAAATAACTCCGCTCCGCTCTAATTCCGATTTTTTGACATCTCTTGTATATGGTAAAAAAATTAAATTTATTACTTCAGTGGTAAGGATACCACCTTCAAAAATATAATGGAAGAGTAAATTTTCTTTTTATTGTTTCAGAAATGTTAATTTCTCCTGATTTAAAAATACATGAAAAGGCCGAAACGGACCTGCAAATGCACTTTATGCGCAGGGCGAATTCAATTTGGCTTACTTTTGTTATTAAGGGACTGTTGTTTCATTTTAAATATACAGTTCACTGGATAGTGGATACCATCCATTTGAAAATAATTCGTTTCGTAAATATTTATTTACGGATAAACTCCATACTGCAAAAAAGGTTAGCTTCATATTTTACTAAGGAGAAGGCCACGTGCGGATTTAGTAGGCTTAAAGCCACGTAGTTTTAAAATACCTTGACAACTTAAAAAGAAGAAAATCCAACCAATAACATAACCTCAAAAATACAAATATTTTTACCAGTAAAAATTAAAATGTCCTATATTCGGGGTCCAGATTTATCAGACAGCGATGATGATGATGGTTATGTTTCTTATAGCCAAGCACCAAAATTTACATATAAACAAGTTATAAAAGAACTAACTCCTGAAGAAAAGCTAAATCAAAAGAAACATCAACTTTACAATGCTATTTGTACTGGAAAAGTGGATACTGTAACACAAATCATTGATGAAGGATTAAATGTGAACATAAATTTACAATCAAATTGGACACCATTACTTTTAGCTGTTTCTGTAGGAAATGCCCAACTTAGCGAGTTGCTGTTAAAAACAGGAGCAGATTCCAATTCAACTAGAGATGGTTGTACAGCTTTAATGATGGCCTGTAGCTGTCCTAAAGAGACCTCGCCTTATTCAGAATCCTTAAAAGTTATAAAAAACTTGGTCGGAAAAGGGGCAAATGTTAAAGCAACGAACAGAAAACGAATGACAGCACTAATGTTTGCAGCTGATACAGGTAATCTTCCAGCAGTAAAATATTTATTACCACTAAGTGATAAAAATGCTGAAGATAACCAAAGATGGACAGCATTATTTTGGGCAGTTAACAATAATGAGGTAGACGTTTTTAAATATTTACTTGAAGAAGATTTAGAATTTACCACTCCAGATGTAAGAGGAAATACACCACTAGATATTGCTAAAAGTAATGATTTTACAGAAATAGTAGATCTACTTTCAAATGAAGAAAATGATGAAATATTTCATGTAATGGATGCAAATGTTCTCTCCTTTGAAGAAATGTTTGCTTTAGCAAGAGAAGGTGAACAACCCGCATTTTTTGTAGACATTTGTGATATGTTATGTGGTATGAAAAGTGAATCCATGATAAAAACATTTGCAGATAAAAATATTACTCTAAAACAGTTTTTATCTACTTCTGATGAGGAATTAAAAGAAATGGGTGTTACAATGCCTTATCAAAGATATCGAATTTTAGGGGGCATACATAAATTTCACAAATACCCTTATCATCCAAAATCTTTACATGTAGTGCCTTTAAATGAAACATATAGCAACATAGATGTGGGTATTCAAATTTTATCTGCAATTAAACAGATTAGTGTCATGGAAGCAGGGTTAAATTACATAATGAAACATTGTGATATGGAGGACATTACTCAAGAAGAATTAGTTTCAATGAGAAAGAATACTGACAGTATTAAAAAGAAGATAAGATTGTGTAGTAGAGTTGCCAAGAAATTACATGAAAAAATTAAAATTTGGGATAAGCAAATTGGTCCTACAGATTTAATAACTAAGGATTCTAAGAAATACAGGTGGCCTTGGAGGAAGATAGTTTTTTCTCTTACTATTATTACTATTGTTACAATTTTTAAAACAAGAAAATGATTTTTAAACAAAAACTGTTTGTTAATATTTATAACATAAGTTTATTTTCAATATATTGACACTATATGTAGTTCAAATATAAGACCTAAAAATGTTTTTCGATATTGTATATTTTTATATTGGTTTACTTCATTGGTATAAATTCCTTTCTAATTTCTTGACTTTATTGATCTTATTCTTTAGGTTAGTTCTCTAATAAAATAATTTTCTATTTTTTTCCACAGAATTTTTAATAAAATGTGTCCATATAAAAAATAAAATTGAAATGAAGATTTTGAAAAGAAAATATTGTTTTATTACTTTAAATATAAAGTTCTACAAGGTAAAGCTGAATATTTCTTTAAACTCGAGATGTATGATTTGTTTTTTATTTTCATAATTGATGAAAATTCTAAACTTCCTAAAACCTGTGTAATTTTTCTTTAATATAGTGGCGCTGTCTGGTAAAATTTACAGGAATGTCGTGGAATTTTAGGAAAAATGTCAGAAAAAATGAGTGTTTTAATGAATACAGGATTTCCTCAAAGTTGAATATATTATAACTACACACAGTATGTTAAATTATCTTTCCTGATTCCAGTAGAATAGTATAGAAACACAACAGTATTGATTAGAGAGAAATAGAATAATAGGCGAACCGCAATATGCATGCAATATTCTATCCTATCATCAAAAGAGTAGTCCAAACCAATTGCTTTCTTTATCTGTCTCACGTCCAAATATAATTAAGCATCTAATCTTTATTCTGCCAGATGGATCAATTAACTTACTATAGTGGTAATTCTGTAATTCAATGCGTTTATTTTAAACAGGTGTTAAATTTTACGATTATAACAAATTGTAATTCTGTAAAAATAAAATTAATTTATGTAAACATAAATATGTTAAAAGTAGTTCAAATTTGTAATAAAAGTATCTCAATATCTGTTAAATAAATGCCATTCTTTTTGTCATATTTATTGTATCTGTCTGTTTTTGCACAAAAATATTGAAAAAAATAGTGATCAAATGTACTTTATAAACTATTTGGTAGGTCATCAATTTTTCACAGAAACAAAACTAACCCCAGTAACCCTTCTACAGCCAAATCAATTACTAACTACAAAAAGTTTATATAAATAAATTAGAATTTGGGTAATTTCAACTGTTAAAATTACTTCAGTACTTTCAAAATGGTTCTCTTTTATGTTTTTCTTGTATTATAAGTTGAATTAAAGAATCAAAAGTCATAGTTTCTTGTATACAAGAAGATTTGTGCTGAGGGTTTATATAGGTACATTAGCCATAAAATTATATTCTTGGATAATTCCAAATTAACTATAAATATTTTGGTTTTTATATTTCATGTAACAGCTCTACAACGCATGATTGATGATTGGAGGATGAGTATTTATAAAATCAAAACTACAATAGTTGTTTTTCTTGATCTGCTGCATGTATTTGAAACAATAAAATGGGGGTAGATTTATTTGGGTTAAACGGCCAATACTGATTTAATGAATTATTATTTAACTAAGAAAGTTGAAGTGCAAAATATTAATGAAGTCTAATGAATTAACACTTAACCATGAATTTAAGGATAAAATATAATAGCTATTTATGTTACCAGTTCGTGCAACAAGTGAACATTTGCGGGACGCGTAGAACAAGGTCCCTCTAAATAAACGAGTTACACAAAACGGCATTTCGTTACATACAAGATTTTTTGTAATTTTGACTAAAATATTTATTTATTACAATGTTCTACATGTAATCCCAATTACAGAGCAAGAATAAAAGAACACATACACTATGTAGACTAAGTGGTACAAAATATACAAAAATTTGTAAACAGCTAGTAGGTAAAATACAATACAATTCAATTTTTTTCTTAAGTTAGGAAATTACATTTTATTTCCCTAAGTTTGCATGAGAAGATGTCAATGTCACTACTCACACTATTCACAACGCGACTAATATTATGAAATGAAGAATTTTTCAGAACACTTGGGCGAGGTACAGATATGTGAAATATGTCAGAATTTCTAGAGGATACTCTCGGAATGCAGATATCAATTTTTCTCAACAATTCAGGAGAATCAATTAAACTGTTAACAATTTTGAAACCTAACACATAATAATGGTATTCACGTCCTTTTATGAGGCTTAAAAAGTGATATCTTTGAAGAAGATTTTCGTGTGGTACTCCGATTGGCGGATAAACACCATCCTCCTTTAAACACAGTAATTTTAGAAACCGTCTTTGAACTGCTTCAATTCGATCCGTGTGAAGTTGGTAAAATGGACTCCAGACGACAGACGCATACTCAAGCTTTGATCTTATAAGAGAGTAATACAACGGTTTTAATGTAGCTACATCTTTGAAATCCCTGGTACAGCGAGTTATAAAACCATACATACGATACGATGTTTCAATCATTTTATCTATGTGACATATAAAGGTCAATCCTGGATCAAAAATTACCCCAAGATCTGTAAAAGTATCTGGTCGCTGAAGTGAGAGATTATCTATTAATTATATTTTATTTGGTCGGTTTTTAAAGTAAAAGACATAATTTTACATTTAATTGGGTTAAGTTCAAGTTTATTATTATTACACCATTCAACCACTAGATTTAAGTTCATGTGAAGTTGTTCACAGTCGCCAATACTTGTCACACGCTTGTATAATTTTAAAGCATCTGCATACAGTAAAAACTGCTCTTTAATTACACTCGAAATATCATTGATGAAAATATTAAATAGTAACGGGCCCAGAATGGAACCCTGAGGAACTCCAGAAGTTGTTGCAAATTTGACAGACTTAAACCCATTAAGCTGTACAAACTGAGTACGATTTACTAAATAGCACTGAAAGAGATTTGTCAAAGGGGACAACCCAAACCCTGTAAGTTTTCCAAGAAGAATACCGTGGTCAAGTCTGTCAAATGCCTTTGAGAAATCTGTGTAGATGACATCAGTCTGGGCGCGCTCATCAATAGATTCAGCAATGTATTGTGTGACGGTAACCAGGTTGGTGACTGTTGAGCGACCTTTCATAAACCCATGTTGATTGACTGATAGCATTTTACTAACGTAATGATATAAGGTTTTCTCCAATAAAATTTCAAATATTTTGGAGAAATTGCATATTATGGATATTGGTCTGTAATTGGTTATATCTCTTTTATCCCCCTTTTTGAAAACTGGACATACTTTTGAGGTCTTCCAAATATCTGGAACTGTTGATGTCCCGAGGCATATATTTATGAGGGTGGCTAAAGGAGGAGTAAGTTGAAGGGCACAATCCTTTAAAATAAAAGCTGGAATATGGTCTGGACCAGTTGTCTTTTTAGGTTTAAAGTTATAAAATTGTGTGGCAAAAATGACTAATAATTAATTTTTTGTACTTTTTTTAAAACGTTAAATCGTTTGAAATTCATAAATAAAGCTAATTACATGAATAAGTATATTTTAAATTTTTTATGAAAGGCTATAAAAAAAGCATTTTTATTAATGTTCTAGAATCTCCAGAATTATTGACTCTATCAAATAAAAAGGAATTTTTATTATTTGTTTTTAGTAGTTCAATTATATTTATTAAGAACATTGATTCCCAAATTTGGCCTAAGAGGGTTTTGATGTATTAAGGGTTATTGTATATTTGTCATTATAGACCAAATAAATTATACATCTAAAATACTATTATACCTAATGACCCAATTGAGGAGCCGCTACTACTTTTATACAGCAACAGTATCATTTAGTAACTTAAAATTAATTTATCAACAGTTTTAGATAAAAGAATTAACATATAAATAAAAATGAAAAAAAGAAAATAAAAACAAAGCCATGTGTCATCATGGTAAAAAAAATAAAAGGTAGGATATCAACAGTGTCAAAAATAGGACGGCCACGCGCATGAAATCACGAGTAGAGTTTGTATAGGCGCGAATTTAAAAATACTGACGAAGTGTCAGGAAAATATATGCTACTTACAGAAATTTTATGAATATTAAGGGATAATATTTTAGAAATTACATGAAATATATATGGATATTATTATAGGATAGTTAAGGAAAGAACTATGAAGGAACATAAATGCAAATAAAAGAATTTGAATAGTTTTTCCTTTTTCTTTTTTAATGTTTATCATATAATTATATAAATGCGAAAGTTTGGATGAATGTATGGATGGATGTTTGTTACTCAATCACGCAAGAACAGCCGAACGGATCTGGATGAAATTTGGCACAAATATAGACTATAGCCTGGAATAGCACATAGGCTACTTTTTATCCGGAAAAAATAAACGGTTCCCATGGGATCGATTTGTTTTTGTTCTTCACAGAGCAAGTGATCGGACATAATTTTTTGCATAGTGGTAGTGAAACATAAAAATTTGAAATACTGCTACTGAGCATAAATAAATAATGACGTGTTTCAGGGCTCTTGGTTTTTAACATTTTAAGGAGGGGAAACGGGGGTTAAAAGTTTGCATGGAAGCATCGATTTTTTTTATAGGTAGGAACTTGAAAATTGGAATTATAGCTGCTCATCACAAATAAATAAAGGTGTTTCAGGTTTTTGGATTTTCATATTTTGGGAGGGGAAAGAGGGAAAATGGAGGTAAAAGGGAAAATGGGGGAAATAGGGAAAATGTGTGAGGAGTGAAAGTTTGTATGGTAGGAACTTGAAAAATAGAATTATAGGTACTATTCATAAATAAATAGACATGTTTCAAAGTATTTGGATTTTACACATTAAGAAAGGAAACGGAAGGTAAAAATTTGAATAGGGCTTTCGGTTTTTAATTGTAGAAATTTGAAAATTGGAATTGGAGCTACACATCATATGCAAATAATGACTCAATTCAAGGTTTTGGATTTTTACATTTTAAGGAGGAAGCAAAAAGTAAAAATAAAAAATAAATAAAAATAAATAGAAAAAAATAGAAAAAAATAGAAAAAAATAGAAATAAATAAAAATAAATAAAAATAAATAAAAATAAATAAAAATAAATAAATAAATAAATAAAAATAAATAATAATAAATAAAAATAAATAAATAAAAATAAATAGAAATAAATAAAAAAAAATAAAAAAAAATAAAAAAAAAAAAATAAAATAAATAAAAATAAATAAATTTATAAAAATTTGTAAAAATTAATAAAATTAATAAAAATTATTAAAAATTAATAAAAATTAATAAGAATTATTAAATATTAATAAAAATTAATAAAAATTAATAAAAATTAATAAAAATTATTAAAAATTAATAAAAACTAATAAAAATTAATAAAAATTAATAAAAACTAATAAAAATTAATAAAAAATAATAAAACTTAATAAAAATTATTAAAACAAAAAAATTATTGAAAATTACTAAAAATAATGAAAATTAATAATCATTCATTTGTCGAATTTTTTTGGGAAGGAGGGTAGAATTGCTTATGTAGCATATTTTTTTTTTTATAAAAGTCTCATGGATTTTAAGAATTTTAATCTAGGGAACGGCATGCTCCCCTGAGCCTCCGCTGGAGCCACCCTTGGGCCACTCCTCACTTCTGACTAAGCTCTTACTGTCGAGGAAAGCGAAAAACCACAATATCTTTCTTGAATCCTTTGCTTTAATTGTTACTGTTACATCCGTACCGCAATTTTTCAAAGTTTTTCACTAAAACCACTCACAGAAAACAAAGTTTACAACATAATATAATACAAAAATATGTTTAATACCTTATAAATCACTATAAACTACTGCAACTAATACAAAAATATGTTTAATACCTTATAAATCACTATAAACTACTGCAACATGCGTCTGTCATATGATATTTATTTTGCGCCAACTCTACTAACTCTACGCATGACGTCAGCGCCGCCATGACACCATGCGTGATATCCCCCCTGATGTGTCATAATAGTACGATCGGTCGTTTCTCTCCTGAAAACAACTACTTCTTTGGCTAATACCGCAACACGCATTAATTTACATAAAAAGAAAAACAGCAGAGATAGAAAATTATTTTCAACAAACTCTGATATTGATATCTAAGAAGAACGTCATTCTTGGACTGGTTTCGTCCTTATTAGGACTCATCAGCAAGTAATAGACATTCTCAATTCGTCTCTAATTAATAAGTTATAATATCAAGTTTTGAATATATTGTTCCGATTCAAAATTACTAGACTACCATGTTATTTGAGTAAATACATACCTGTGATGTTTGTGGACCTAGCCCTATCGTTCCAAGTCTCTAAAGTAAAATCAACCATTAATAATGCATTTTCTTTGGCATTTTCAATTAATGTAGCTATTGGAATGTTGAGTGTATTCATTCGAATGGGTTCTTTTATTTCTTGTCCTATCAATAGAACAGGAAAGTCGTAGGATTCCCTCGAATACAACTGATTGTCAAACTGGATGTCTGATATTAAAAACTTAACTTTCATGATCTAGAAATTAAAAATATACCATATACCTACCTATTTGCATTTTATATTATTCAAAATTGCCAACACTTTTATATCAAAGATGTTTTACATATAAAATGAGTGATGATATGATACCGAAAAAACAAGTTACAGACCAGTAAACTATAATTAATGTCTAATAGAATTACGCGATATTTCACAAAGTGTTATTTTAAAATATCGGATAGCTGACATTCATTACATGGTCTTCTATCGATTTCATAATTTTAAGGAATGTTTAACTAATCTGTGATTTAAAAATCGCGATATCATCCAACTCAATTTTTCGTCTGCATTGACGGTTCTTTACAGGTCAGTGAATCTTTAAATACGTTTTCTGAATTAGGCTGTAAGTGTGACTTAAATTTTAGAACATTGGGTGGCAGTATATAAGTGAATAGCTGTAAACATTTATGATACAACGAAGAATACAAGCAAATAAGTTTGTTTGTAAATAATAATAAAATAAAACTTTACAGTTAAAAGTACTTCAGTTTAAAATAAAAGCATTGATTAGAATTATTAACGTCTTCCTGTCTTTTTTGTACTTACATCAGTTTGTGTGGCATCCACGATAATATTATCACAGACAAGACTAGCAACTTCCCATCTTTCCAATCCTTCCGATTTTAAATCAGAAATAAATATCACAGAAAAAGTTTTGATGAACATTTTTATTTTGAGACAAGTCCAATGCTCCTTCATCGGCAGAGTGCTAACCAACATCGATTTCCTTAAAGGCGACATCATCGAGAGGTTTGACTCTGACAAACTTTTTGGCAAATTTTCATCACTAGGACAACTACACCTATCGAGATTGTTTTTAATAGCTGCAGAGTGTCTTTTATTGGTATCAGCATTTGCTGGGCTCTTTTTTTGATCCGCTATCGAAGATAGGTCATCAGGGTTAGTAATTGACAAATTAGGTGTTGGTAAACCCTGTTAAAATCATATAAATTAATTGATGAGTCACAAGATAAGCGTTTACTATAAATTCAGTACAAAAGCCAAAGCATTATAAGTTTGTAATGTTATATTTACTAACACTGGAGGCTGTGAATGCTATTTAGTATGCGGTAGTGTGTAATGAAAAAAAAAAAAAAAAATGATTTTTCTCCTAAAATACACACAATCAAACTTATATGGAATCACTGTGCATTTTCGAATAAAACTTTTTGTAAGGAAAAAATTTGGTATCCAACTTTAAGATAAGGCTTCTTGTTCTAAACAAACATGATAATAAAGAAGAAACGACTGCTGCGATTTATTATCTTGTGAATTTTGGGTTCAGAAGTAACATCACAATCCTCCGGTAATTTTATTTCGGTCCAAAAAACAACAAAATGCCTTCATGCTGGACTAACAGATGTGCAGAGGGGAAGAATTATTGCTCTCATTGAACAAGGAATGCCCTAATGAGACATAGCAGAGGTAGTAGGCGATACCCAGGGTGGTGTATCGAAAACATATAATCATACTATTTTATCATCAATACTAAATTTTCTTCGATTTAGTGAAATATCTCATAAGTTATTATCATCTTACTTGTACAAGCGAAAGCAATTTGTACAAGTCGATGATAAAGAATCTGCTCCATTGGAAATTTTATCTGGTGTTCCGCAGGGAAGTATTTTAGGCCCCTTATTATTCTTTCTTTATACATCTAACTTTCCACTTGCACTAGAGTATTGTCATTTTTCATTTCAATATACGGACAGAGTAGAAGCTATTCAACGTATAAATTCAGATTTAGAAAAGATCTTTAGTATTTCAAAAGATCATTGCTTGAAAATTAATCCTAATAAATCATCCGCTCTAATATTTGGCAATGAAAATATTTTGGACGCCGCGCAACTAATAATAGAGGGTGCTGAAATACCTATTACACCTCAATGTAAAAACCTAGGTCTTGTTGTAGATACAAAATTGCGATTTAAGGAGCACATCATGGCTAAATTAAGAAATGCTTATAGTAACCTCAAAATGATTTACTTTCAAAGACAATTTTTATCTTTAGATTAAAAAAAATGCTGGGCGATGCATTGGTAATATCCCACTGTAATCACTGTGATGTAGTTTACGGGCCATGTTTAGATAGTATTGACTCTCGAAGAATTCAAAAACTTCAAAATGCATGTATTCGTTTAATCTTTGGGATACGCAAGTATCAACATATTTCTCATAAATTTAAAGAATCGAAATGGCTTACAATGTATAACCGAACAATAATGCATATGGCATGTTTACTACATAAGTTATATAATACTCATACGCCTCCTTATCTACATAGTAAACTTACATACAGAACGGATATCCATAATCTAAATATTAGAAAAAAACTATCTTGCGGATTCCTACACATAATAAAGCAATATTTAGGAGATCCTTCTCGTACGCCGCCGCTGTCAGTATTAATAAAATATTTAAAATGGACCCAAAACTTCTTCAAAAATCTCTAGGATCATTTAAGAAATCCTACAAGGAGATTTTGTTAAGGTCTCAGTGATTCTTAATAATGTCTCTTTCGGTAATATTAACTCTCTTCCCTTTTCTCCCTCCCTTTCCTTCCTTCTTTTCGCTACTTTTTTATATATATATATTTTTTTTATTTAAAATAATTGTTCATTTGATTAACTATTTTATTATTTTACTGGCGCTAGTGGAAGAACAAGAGTGAACTCTCATTCACGACTGAACTAGTCTGTCCAATTACCTACAGTGATATATATTATGTATAAATAAAAATCTGATAAAATGTACCCATCTACTGTAGTTAATAAATGATTTATTATTATTATAGGAACTTGGAACTAGAAACTCTCAAGAACAGGCTCAGACAAAGTCGTCAAATAGTCACAACTGAACAACAGGACCGCTTTGTGTGCCAAATTGCTAGAAGAAATCCCAGTGTTTCTCATCCAGAGCTACAACGACAACTTCTGGAAGCTACAGGTGTGAACGTTTCAGTTGAAACCCTAAAAAAAAAGACTTTGCGCTCGAGAGTTGTACAGTAAGAGAGAGTTACTGGTACCCACCGTCATCTACGCAAAACAAAATTGACCGGCTAAATTGGTGTCTTCAATACCAAAACTGGACAATTGAGAATTGTCAAAATATTCTTTTTTCAGATGAGACCAGAATTGGCCTAAGATCAGATGACCATCGAATTCCGGTTTTTAGAGCTCCAGGAAGATAAGCGAGACTCCACGCTGCTAGATCTGTTCCAAGATATCAAAGAGGAACGGTAGTGTTCTGGGGAGGTATCATGCTGGAAGCAAAAACTCCATTGTTACCACTTCAACAAACTTTAACCGGTCCAAGGTATGTTGATTTAGTATCAGAACCAATCGTCAGGCTTTGGAGAGCTGCAATTGGGGATAATTTTATCTTTATGCACGATAATGCACTTCTCCATACCAGCAGAGTGGCTACAGAATATCTTTAAACGAAAGGTGACACAGTTTTAGACTGGCCTGCATGTTCACCAGACCTAAATCTTATTGAACACTCCTGGGACCAGCTCAAAAGAAGTGTTAGAGCACGTCGAAACAATGCAGGAAATGTCGCAGAGTCTATTAATGCAGCATTAGCAAAATGGGAAAATATACTCCAAGACAATGTTCAAAATTTAACAAAAAACATGCCAAGGCGAATAGAAGCTTGCATAAGGGCTAGAGGTGGTAACATGGATTGTTAAAATTACCACTTTTCATTTTTGTTTTTGCTTTTCGGCTATTAAAAATATAAGTCTCATTTCGTTTCAGAAACCAAAAAATACCATTGTGTTTATTTTGCCAACTAATTATTTATTTTTATTGCTATGTGGGTTATTTGTCATTAAAAGTCTTTGGTAAGGACTGTGTTTTATTCATGCATCTCAAAAATTATGAAAAATAATAGATGATTCCATATAAGTTTGGTTGTGTATATTAATTTTGATATCGAGACAGGCAAAAGCCTAACTAGCAATTATTAATTAATTAGTTAATTATAGACTGACTTTGAATCACATACAATTTTATTATAGAGCTATAAGCTACTGTTGAAATGTCTACTAAAATAAGAAGCCATTTATAAAACCTAACAAAATGAGATAAAAATGGTAAGAAGTTCAAGCGACTTCCGTATCTAAAAAAAAATTGGAGGGTAGACTAAACACTACTGCACTTGGGCTTCATAGCCTATTATGCATCCTAGAAGAGCAAATTGACTTTCTCTTAGCGTGTCAACCAATCACTAAGAGTTGTCTCTTAAGGCGCCTTTTGTCCTTTTAGTCGTCTGTACGACAGACTTAGAGGATCTATTTTTTTTATTCAATACCCCGGGGCGACTTTCAAGGTACTTACCTGGCTGTTCTGTTGATCATTCTCTCTCATGCTCAATCTTGTACGAATATCACTAGCACTGATTTCCATCTAAAAAAAGATGACAAACGAAATATAAACTATTTGTAATAAGAGACAAAAAAATGTGATTACCTACCTCACCAGCTGAATGTAAAGTTATAAATGTTGTGCAAGCCGTGTTTATAATTACAACTTTAATATCTCCATATGATGGAATTTTGACGTACTGTTCATAGTTATGTGTTACATTAATAGCTTGCGACCACTCACAATGACTAATAGTACCTAAAAGATAAAAGTCTAATATGTACAGTTTTGTTTTCCAAATTAATGGATATGTTTGGATTGTAAGCATGTCACCTACGGTTTAGTTGCAGAAAAGATTTACATAGAAATACAAATTCAATCTTAAATAACGTTTCTGCACAAACTGTAATTAATTATTTTGCTCATAGTGATAAAATAATTAAAAATACTTAATTTATTATGTAAGCATCAACATATATCGTCGGTAAATCCGCAGAACCTCGCATGAGAAGAAAACTAAATTTTACAGGCTGTTGTTTGTTTAGCAAAATTCTGGTTACAAAAATGATGAAATATATACATAACAGGAGTGTGTAAGATGGTCTTAAAAGATTTAAAAAACATATTAATTAATTAGATACGAGTAATCGAATAATGTAAAATTCTCATTTTCGTCAAAACTGTCTTGTAGGTTTTGTGGATTTACCGATGATATAGTAATTATTCTAACCTGGATCACGTGACAGAGATAATTGTTCTGGAAAATGGTACTGCGGTAATTCAGGGAATTTCTCGCCTAACAATGGCATGTTATAATACTTTTTATGTTTACTACGGATTTTACAGTGCCAGTTAAAGTGTGCAGACTCATCCGCAACTCCATCTTGTACTGATTGGCCACACAATATTGATGAATCTGTAGATGCAAAAAAAATATATTTGTTGTTAATTTTATTTTCAAAAAAATATTTGCTTGATTATAGGAAACAATTAGTTTAAAAATGTTAATCTTCTTAAGGACTGAGAAAAAAAAAATGAATTGCTTTTATTCTACAGTAACAAAACAAATTCATACAATAGATTGAAATGGAAAATGTAGATGCAAGAAGTTAAAAATCCTACTTTCTATAAAATACTTGTACCTGTATTATTATATATTAATAATTGTGGATAACTATCATAGAGCAAAGACAGAAACAATTGTCCTTTGTGTTCTTGACAGGTCAGCACTACGGCGAGCGGATGGGGTTCCGCAGTTATACAAAATGCTTTTTTCAAAAACGGTTTGTCAACTCTTATTGGACACGACCATCCCAAATTTGCATCAGTACAGAAACAAAAATATAATGCGTATTCTGTTGTGAACTCTGCCGAATTTACTAAAGTGTACCAACTGATTATAGAGACACCGCATTGGCTAAAACATAAATTGATTTATTAAAGTATTAGGAAAAATCATAGTTTAATTTTTAATAAAGTTTTCACTGTTAAGGTTTAAAAAATATACTTCCTGGCCTTAATTTTAATATTAGTGTGCCTAAGGGATGTAAAGACGTCTTTAGAAACGAAGGATTATAAAAAATGCTCGAATAATCACTTTTACTTTTGATATCTAAACCACTTGGAATCATTGATTTGCCTACGAATTTCCTTCGAAACAAACATTTTCAAAAAGAATATCTATTTCTTGCTTATGAGTCCCAATAAGGGAAACACTACAAAAATGATGTTTTCCTTACTCTTTAATAAGCAAAATTAAAGTTTGAGTGGAGAAAATTATTTTAAATATCTGCTGTTATCCTTTGGTTATAATTCAATACCTGTTGCGGTATTAGCCAAAGGAGTATTTTTTTTTTTCGAAGGAAAACGGTCGCTCGTATTATGTGACTTATGAGTGTGAGATTTATTTTTCTATTGTATTATTTATTGTTAATCTTTTTTTTGTTTTTATGTCCGGAATGCGACTTTAATTTATTAGAGAGATTAATATTCATAATATATTTTATTAAAAATTTGTCATTCTTTTTTGTCCAATATCATAATTTTTTGTTGTCTGTGTCCTCCTTTTGTAAAATTACATCCGATGACCCTATGCATATAGAAATTTGTAAAAAAAACAGAAAAATGAGTTAAAACACTTTTATAAAAGTTGAAAATGGATATGTAAGATTTTGAGGATGAAGCAAATGCGGCTTTAAGCAATGTAATACCTGAAAAAACTAAGCCTATGAATTTTTGGGAATGGCGAGACTAAATTTTAAGAATAAATAATGTACAGCATGTTAGAGGACAGCAGAGTTTCTGGGCATTAAAAATGCATACGAATATAACGGGTATTCGCGATTCAAATTAATTTTCGCGCGCCTGTCATTTGTCACTTATAAGTAGGATGTTTATTTACATGTGTTTGTTTTTGGTGGATTTTGTATTTGTGACTTTTTTAACTGTTTTTAGATAATATTCTCATTGTAATAATATTTTTGAGTTTCATTTAGTGTTATTTTAAGAAGTCTCGTGCTTTCGTCATAAATATAATATTTATCATGTGTATGACTTAATTTATTGGAAATATTCACCTATTGGTTGCTACCAGAACATCTAGAAATATGTAGGTATTTACTAAACCCAGGACATGTTTTATTATGTGGTTTAAAGGACATTCCAGGTACCAAACGTTTATTATTGATGAACTTATTTAAAAATCTTACTAGACTTATTTTTATATTATGAAGTGAATTATGTAGTACTTTGTATACATGTAAATGGTAATAAAACAATCACAAATCAGATTACAGATTGATTCTAAACAAAGTTTTGCAAAATTTCAATATTGTGAATTTGTAGATATCCATTTATCGTAAGAAACAAAATTTTACGACTTGCACTTGGAAAAAAATGAATACTTGTTTTGATTTTGACATTAACACCATATAGATTGCAGTTTGCTGGGGACTTTTTCGCAGACTTCATTTTTAATATAAACACTATCACATACTATAAGAAATAAATAAATTTAAAGCTAAAAAGTAAGAAAAAACTCGAATTGTAATTGATACAAATTAAAATGTAAACAATGAACACGAACGCCAATGTTGCCAAATGATGAACTGATTTTAAAACAAAATTAATAAATGAACTGAAATTTAAAAAAAATCCATATAATAAATCGGTTTTATAAAAAAATCCTTAAATAAATATAGAGTATGATTACATATTACAATACACAAATTTTGATTCTTAAATAAAAGGTCTCATCCACTTCTTCAAAAGCTAAAATCCGACGACGTAGCGTAATTTTGCTACTTCTGGCAACACTGAACGATATCCTACTTATAGGGACCTTCTACAAATTTCCTCCAGAGGGCGTATAATTTAGCTTGAATCGCGAATAGTAAACTTAAAGAATAAATAATGTATGGTACAGCATGTCCGAGGACAGCAGAGTTTCTGGGCATTAAAAATGCATACGAGTATAACGGGCATAGTTTTAGATCCTCTGCGACTGTGCTAGTAGAAGCAGGTGCTGATTTTTCGGTACTAAAGAGACACGGTAGATGACGTTATGGAGAAAAATATAGGGCAGTAAAGCAGCAATTGCAGCACCTGTAAATGTTAAAGTAACTGTAGCCAACACCAATCATAGTATATCGGCGAATAAATATACTACAAATTTTCATTAAACAATGAATGAGAAATGGTAATTTTGATTATAAAAAATAATCATGCATATATAAAGGACCCCACAAACCGCATATGGAAAAGTGGCGACCTGAATAGTATCCATGGGACGACCATTCAAATCCTATGACTGGTTTTTGAGATACAGGGTGTTAAACTTAAGAAATACCACTTATTTGATAACGGTTATTTCAGGAGAAAGCCAATCGATTATAATTATTTGTGCCAAATCTTATTGTGACATCCTTTGGCATTCTACGAATATAAAAAGAGGTTATACATTATTTTATTTTACAGGGTGAGCCACAAATAAGTAAGGGCGTGTTTTTGATAATTACGTTTATTGTTCTAGAAGGTGAAAATATTTATTAAAAAATTAATTATTGCTATATTTATCATGTCTAATGATAATTAATACAAAAATATTAGGTGATACAGGGTGATTCGTAAATATTGACATAAGCCAATATATTTTTTTATGAGTATTAATGTGAAAAGCAGTATTTTTATATTCGTCGAATGCCAAAAGATGTTACAATAAAATTAGCCACAAAAAATTGCAAATAATTAGCTTTTTCCTGGAATAAGAGATAACAAAAAGTGGGTATTTCTTAAATCAGATCCTGTATCTCAAAAACCTGTAATATTAAAAAGCTGTAATTGTTGGGAATTTATTTTCTACAAACTGGTTGATACACCAGTAAAAAAACACCTCTATAGGACTAAAAGTACAGGATGAATCACTCTGTATAAATGGCACCTTAATTCTTTTGTATTATCACTAACAATGAGAAATATAGCAATAATCATTTTATTGTACATATCCCAACTTCTAAAACAATGAAAATAATTATCAAAAAACTTGTTACTTACTTACGATTCACCCTGTAGAGACAAATATTTTTGGACTCCTGTGTATATTCGTGGAGTGTCGAGTGATGTTAAAATAATAGTAGATACACAAAATTATAATTGAATAGCTTTTTCCTGTAGTAATTGGTAATAAAAAAGGGTGATTTTCTAAATTTAATACCCTGTATCTCAAAAACTAATCATAGAAAAAAGCTATAATTTTGGAAAATATCTTCTACAGGACAAATGATACGCCAGTGAAAAAATATGTAACTTTTACAGGACTAATCAAAAAGTAAAGGGTGCTTAAAAAAAATTGTTTTTTTTACACATTTAATAAATTAACTATCAATATATTTAATAAATCACCCTGTACTCAATAAATTAGATAATTGTACACATGGTAAATACACAAAAGTCCCGTAAAATTACTGCGTTTTACATTAATAAAAAAATATATTGGCCTGTCGATATTTACGATTCACCCTGTATAAATGGCACCTAATATCTGTTGTATTATCATCAAATATGATAAATATAGCAAAAATTTATTTTTTAGTAAATATTTTCACCTTCTAGAACAGTAAAAGTATCTATCAAAAACATCTCCTTACTTATTTGTGACCCACCCTGTAAAGGAAAATTACTTTTGATCCCTTTTTATATTCGTAGAATGCCAAAATATTTTACAATAAGATTTTGCACAAAAAAATATAATTGATTAGCTTTCTCCTGAAATAATCGTTATCAAATAAGTGGTATTTCTTAAGTTTAACACCCTGTATATTAAAAACCAGTCATAGGATTTACATGGCCCCGTGGACACTATTGCTAAGGAGGTCGAGAACTGCAACATATCAAAAATTTATGACATTTAACAGGTCGCCACTTTTCCATAAGCGGTGTGCGGAGTCCTTTGTTATTGTTTCTTGTTGTATTTTAGTAATAAAAGTTTTTACTAAATTGAATTGTTTATTATATTGACTCTACATATTAACGAAAATAGAGCGAATATCGATACAAATACAGTGATTCCCACAGGCGAATACTGACAGTATTATGTTATGTTACTTATTAAGTAAGGCTCACTAAAAATATTTACTAATGAATAAAACTTTATTTGTTAATGTCATTTTAATATATTAAATTCGAAGAAAAATATCTAGAATACAGTAAAATAAACAAACCTTTTATCCAAACAAGGGGCCACCGTGAAACTATACCGTTCTCCATTTAAAGGAAAATCAAATTTACTATCTCCTTCAGGCACTGCCAAACACAATACTTGTAACTGTGTTGATACTTGATTTGTTAAAACATGAGTAGATGATACCTATGATAAAAACGTTTATTACTTATGTACAATTTGATGTGAGTTTACTTTATGTTTATTAACCATTTTGAGGCTAGTATACTACTTACTTTTAAGAGCCTGATTTCGTTTGCAACAGAACTTAATATGGATACACTACAAATATGAGAATCACATTTAATAGCAGTTTTAATAGCCCCATCAATGGGAAGCGTACCAGAAATTGTCGGCATATAGAAAGCTTGGCTCCAATCCGATTTGGCCAACTGTAACGGTTCCGAGTAGTACCATGAACCTCCCATAGAGACGCCTAAATTGAAAGTTTCCTAAAATAACAAAATATAAAGGATCTGAAAATAAATATCGATATATGCATAAATAACATTATTTAAAAAAAAAAAATTTACTTCTAACTTAGGTGGTGCCACTATTCCATGATGAGGTATCCTGCACAATTCTGTACCATTCAGCATTAAAGATATCGGAACACCTAAAGTATTTGCAGTTAAACACCATGGCAGTAGCTCCACTAACAACGAGCATGAATTTGGACATGCGTTTTGATATCTAACCTATAAGCATTTAATAATCTTAGAAATCAGGGTTTGTTAAAAATATGTATTCCAACATATTAATTACAGTTTAACATTTATGTAGATTTGCAACAGAAAGCAAATAAAATAGATTCAATTATAGTAAGAAGCATATATGCCAAATATCAAAATTGTAAGAAATAAAGATAAATAAATTTTATGTTTTTAAGAGAAGAAAGTATCAAAGTTTATTCACTAACAAGTAACTTCTATTCTAGTGACCCTAAGTTGGTTGTGTAATGAACTATTTCTGATATACAGGGTGTTTTAGTAGATATTAAAACTGATAACGTGAAATTCTCAAATTTAAATATTAAGAATATTCTCCTTTTACCGACCAATAGTCTACGCTTCATTGTTCCTAAAAACAAACAAAAATCACACATGAATATCATTTTCCTTAAACACAGTAGGGGTGGTCGCGAACGTGGAATTAAATTTACGTCAAATTGTAACAAGTTTGTCACTCTAAAGTTTAGAGTCTAAACTAACATGAAATATCTAATTTTTTCTAACGAAAACAAAAACAATCTTAAAAATAAAAATGTTCGAAATGCGACTCGTCCATCATAATCAAAACGCTTTGGCAAAATTGTTAACAACGTACCTACTAGACAGCTGTTGACATTAGCCTAAACTCAGCACAATGACATATTTAAATTAAATCCTTTCTAACTAAGCTACCTTAACGTGGCATAGGTATATGTATTTCAAAAACACCCGGTATACCAATTATGTATTTTTAAAGCTTGTAATTAGTTTCTGTAATTAATTTATAAGCCATTGATAAAATAAAAGAAACTTTGGCTTTACGACGCCCTGAATAATATAATTTAAAATTAAATTGAGTGCATAAGGAATTATATTACCTGAACGTGAGTTAAAGGTTGATCGTCCACTACCCACTCAATATCATCCAATTCGTCTCCGAAAAATGGCCACGTTACCTCGGAAAATTTATCCAGTACTGACAAATTTTCTTCAATATCCCCATTTTCAGATTTCTTAAAAAACGTTGGTTGGTCCACGAGACTGTAGTTTAAGGGTATGTAGGGGTCTGAAGTTGAAGTTTGATTACTAAAAGGAGTTAGAATTATTTAGAAAAATGTCTAGTTATGTAGTTATAATAGTATATTACCCAACGAGGCGTGAAATTCATCATTACTAAGAGCTAATAATTTTAATAATTTCCGCCAAGGTTTGTACATTATTTTATTTCCAATCATTTAATTGTAAATCATAATAATTAAAATATATAATAATAATATAACAGTATAACATCAATTTATTTAAGTCTTTATCTACATGTCAAAAAATAATTAATATTTACAACACTACCGAGATTCCTCTTTTCGTGTGGGTCCAGGAGACCATGGAAGACAAGTCCGCCAATAATAACCATTTTTGATTTTAATTTGCAATGTTTTGCATGTTTTGGTATCGGTAATGGGAAATAAGTAAGGATATGTCGTGTTTTAGTTCTGATTTTTGTTCCCTGAAAAATCTAGAAAAAACAGGGTTGTCCTTGTGTGTGCGTTTGTATAGTCTATTGTTATTTACTATATCCCACAGGCAGAGTGATCTTTGCACCTTCCATCGAAGCAGCACTCGCGAATGTAAAGTTTCGCGTTTGTTGCCTCGATGGCCGATCCACCGATCAGTTGCCGTCCGACTAGTTTGTGTAAATATCTAGTCGGTGTGAGATATTATTTAGTATGTCTGGGAGTGTTAGGGAGGATGTTGCTGTCTGCGTTGGTAGATGTCGAGTTTTGCGTGGATGCAGCCGTGTTTTCTACGCACGTTGTCTCCCCGTTATATGTTAAAGATATCATCTCTCACATTATCGGGAAGGCACCGCTTGTAGAATTTTTCGGCTGTATCTAGTATGTAGTCTTTGATGAGTGGAGTCTCCATCTGTCTGTGCATGTCGGCTATTCTGGCATAGCGGTCGTATCCCTGACTCTGCTTCATTTAGTATAGGGTAGAGCGTCTTGATTGCAATGTGGTTTTTCGCCACCCTGTCTTTAACATGAAGATCGAATGTTAATCCCCTATCTAACTGAAAACCCAGGTATTTCATTCTATCGCCTGTATGTATGTTTTGATCACCGATTTTTAGGGGAATATGAATGCCCCTAGATCTTCTCTACGTTATGAGCATGCTTTCCGTTTTTGCGGGGTTGATTTTCATTTTGTTTTTAGTTAGATAGGGTATTAGTATCCTGTTTATATGGATGTCAAGTGTTCTTGTTTCACTCTCAGCAGAATGGTTGCTTTTGAAAAGACAGATGTCATCGGCGTATAGTGCCGTTTGTACCCCATTACAGCCCATAGGGATGTCATGGGTCATAATCGAGTACAAGTGAGGCGACAATACTGAGCCCTGGGGTACTCCCGCCAGCGCAGAGTAGGGTCCTGTGATTGTACTGTTTATTTTAATGTTGAAGTGTCTGTCAGTTATGTATGAATGTATTATTTTTACAACGTGCACGGGAAAATCATTCTTAAGCATTTTATGAATTAAACCACAGGTCCAGACGGAGTCAAAAGCTTTTTCGCTATCATGCGCCACAAGCAGCATTTGTTTGTTGAAATTTGACGCCTCTTTGGCACTATGAACAATTCTTACGATTTGTGCAACGGTGCTGTGTCCACTTCTGAACCCGTACTGTTCCTGTGGGATAATTTGTAGTTGTTCCTCTATTTTGTTTAGTCTATTTAATACGATTTTGTCTACTATTTTTGAAATTGTGTTTAACAGCGAGATGGGTCTATAACTGTCTATTCTGTTAGGATTTTTACTCGCTTTTAGAATGGGTATAATATTTGCAATTTTCAGGCAACTAGGATAATGTTGCAGCCTGAAAATTGCATTTACTATGTAATGTAGTTGTACAACCCCCTTTTTAGGTAAATTTTTAATTAGGATGTTGCTAATGTCGTCCGGGCCTGGAGCTTTCCTATTTTTGAGGAACTTGATTATTTCCCCGATCTCCTTAGGGGAGGTGTAGAGTGTGGCACGTGTACCGGATCCATCGCCCCCAATTCATTTACAATTTGTTCTATTTGATTCTGATGGTCGTTGTTTATTTGATCATTTCGGAAGTTTGTTTGAAAGTGCTCGCCGAAGGCTTGAACTTTCTCGTTGTCTGTTGTGAGTGTATTTTGTCCTAGTTTCAAAGTAGGAAGTTGTGAGGAGGGCTATTTGTACCTTTTCACAACCCCCCACAGTGAGTTGTCCTTCAGGTTAATTTCGGACAGGGTTTTTTGCCAAATATTGTTGCGATGTTCGTTTATCAGTTTGTTAATGTGTTTAGCGATGTCCATTAGTCTCACCCTGTCTTCATCTCTCCTGTGTAGCTGCCACCATTTCCGTATTTGATTTTTGTTTGTAATGAGGTCAGTAATTTCGGGTGGCAGCGTATCTTTGTGTGGTGGGGTAGTTTTAATTTTTGTCGAGTCGTCTCTAGCTTTTTGCACGACTGTTATGAATTCTCGTGTTTTTTGTTCTAGAAGTTGTGTATTGTTTATGTTGTTGTTTATTATTAGTGTTTGTTCAATTTTTTGTCTGTATTTGTTCCAGTTTGTTGTCTTGTAATCGAAGTATTGTTTTTGTCTTCTGTTAATTTTCTGTGTCGTTCGTATTTCCAAGTACACTGGATCGTGATCTGAGTTTAGTGTACTAATTGTTCTTATATTTTGTACGTCAGTTATGTTTTTAGTGACTGAAATGTCCAGTGTACTTGGGGTGTCCCCGTTGAAGGGTGTGCATGTAGGTTCGTCTGTGTAGTGGATTATTAGCTCGTTGTCTTCGGCGAAGTCTCTCAACAAATTACCTGCAGGGTTTGCGTGGATACAGTTCGCGTCTCACTCGGGATGTTTGCAATTCAAGTCTCCAGCTAGAAAAACTCCTTTTTCCTTGCCGGGGGGTTGTACACTCCTATGAAGATGGTATTATGGCATTTAATTATTGCATGTTCTACATGTTGTGAAATATTAAGGTTTGGCAGATGCGCGAATTCGAGATTGTTTTTGACAATTATAGCAACCCCTCCTGCTGCCATTTGTCGTACGTTGTGTATGGCTTGTCCTTCTCTGTCTTGTCTTATGATATTGTAATCTCTGATTTTAATTTTGTCCGTTTGTTTTAGGTTAGTCTCCGTAAGTATGATGATGTCAAACTTATGCTAGTGAATGAAGTTCGTTACTAAGCCGCGTTTGCTTAACAGCTCGTTCAGGTTATAAAAACAAATTCTGAGTCATTGTAGTTTGTCGGATTGAATTTAATTCCTAAATTTATACGAGTTTAGATTTCTTACAAAGTTATTGTATGTGGTAAATACGTCTCGTTCGTCTCTGCATTGTCTTAGGGAGTTGTTGAGGTCCCTAACGGCTCGGGTGAGTTCTGAAATATTAACAAGGCTATTAAGTATATTGAATTCATCATTAAGGGCGAACATGTCATCCATGGTTCCCTGTTCTGCATTGTTCGCGGTAGGTCTGCTTTGTTGTTGTCTCGTAGGTAGTTGGTTGTTTTGTTTGGGTGGTCTTAGTGAGGGTAGGGGGGAAAATTCCTCTTGATTTAGCCTGGTAGCGCTAGGCTGTTTCTTTTCCCAGGCGGTCCCTTCTGGAATTGGAGCCTGCACATATCTTCGAGGCTGTTGCTGCTTCTTCCTCTCTTCCATTCTGTCTACCCTTTCTAGGTAGGCCGTACACTTTGAGTAATTAGCCGGATGATCCCCTAGGCAATTTACGCAGGTGGCCAGCGTCTCGCGGGTTTTCACACAGGTTCGCGTGTGGTGGTTCTCTGCGCATTTCAAGCATTTCGGAGGGTGTTTGCAGTTTGCCGTGGCATGACCCCATGCCTGGCAATTGTGGCACTGTATTATGCTTTTGGTAGATTTCCTTAGCTCCCAAACAACTCGGGTGTTTTCGACCACCCTGATGTGCTTATTGAGGAAATCCAGGATGATATCCGGGTCTGTTATTATAAGGAATAGGGGTCTATTTTTCGTTGAAATTTTGTAGATTTCTCTTACATTAATGTCATAGGAATGCATGAAATCTTCCTCAATCTGTTCGGTGGTGATTCCCGTTGTTAATCCCCTTAGCACGAATGCATGGGATTTCTCATTTCTGCTAGTGTAAGTGTGGTAGGAGATTTTGGATTCTTTTACACTGCTTATTAGTTCTTTGTAATCGTTTTGTTCCTCGACGTATATTATCGTGGAGTTGTTAAAAATTAAATTTCTGCTAATACGGCATCCATCAAGTCATATGCAAATAAATTCACATGGTCTTCTGTAGAATTCGAAGCCGGTGTCTCTTTACAACAAAATTGGCTCGCAAATGAATGCGGTGCCATAGACACCTACGCTACCATAGTCGATATTATAGTTATTTTTAAAAGTGCTGCCAAGTATATTAAAATACTCTAACAAAGTTGGCTTTGACATTTTATAACATTACTTTCGTCATTATTTAATAGCTAATATGCCAGTTTAGTGTGATGTCATTTTGGTTCCACTGACATTTAATTCTAACCAAACTTTGGTAATTGGTATCTAAACGATTGTATATTTGATGCATGTTATCTACTTACTTTAGGAATATATTTATAAAAGTGAAAAAAAAAACGATATAATTTAGGTAAACAAAACGCATTCAAAAAATCTACTGTCACTTTAATTGTCAATTACATCATAATTAAAATGGCATATTACCGGCAAAAAATGAAAGAGTGTGATGGATTATTTGTACAAGATACGCCACAAGATATACAAGAAATGGCAAAAATGGGCCTCTCGGTTCGGGGAGGTTTTGTAATATATTCTATAAATCGTCTACTGTTGTTAAGATAGGTATAGATAATTGGTTCCCAACCACGGGTGGAAACCAACATTTGAAACTCGTAATAGCCTCCTTTCCGACTTTTAAAAATATTGTAATTATTGAATTGTTACATAATTAAATTACCATGATTGTGAATAATAGTTATTTATGTACCAAGTCAGCAAAGTGATTCTTTATCGAACTAGTCTGAGACTATGAGCACAGCGAGAGAAGCGAGGCGCTAAAGACACTTTGCTGACGTGGTCTATACAAACTTTTATCGCCAACCGTAAATAATTATAATTAATAAAAAAGGAGATATTATAACTTCATATTTTAGTATGACAAAGTAAACAAACAGAAAAATAACACCGAATACAAAACAAATCAGTTAACTACTATTTCTGTCAGACGGACATGGCCCTGTTGATAAATATTTGCGACAGACAAAATATTTGATTTTTATAGTGAGATAAAGTGTTTGTTTACTTCCGCAAATCGCTATGGTAATGTATGGCTTTGTTGACGTTTGGTAATAAAATAGATTACTTATTGATAAGAGATTTCCTATAGTAGTCTCTAGCTGATATAGGTAAAACCATGTTTAATTAAAAAACATTCTTTATACTTACTCTATTTTGAACGTAAGCTGATGAGAATGGTCAATTGTTCCAGGACAATAAAGTTGCTGTATGCGCCCTCTACCTTCTACAGTCGAATCTAAATGGACGTTCAAAGTGGGTGTTTCGATGTGAACATTAGAACTTATTGGCAAATTTGATCTGACAGTAAATAACGGCCATAGAATAGCTAATATTCGTTTGGTTTCATCAACTTCTTGTGTGACAATACGACACCAGATACTTAAAAATTGACCTCGTTCTTGTAAAGGTACTGAAAATCATTTACAATATGAAATTATAGGATATGTACAAGGTGAACACTTTGTCATAGAGGCAGTATTGTTATCTTCTAAACCATAAGAGATGCATGGTCGGTTACTCAATTGAATAAGCAATTTAAAAATAACAAATATTCAACGTTTTCAAGGATGGTTATAAGATGTTTATTTTATTTTGGATACAAACCCATAAAAGTATTCGCACACTACAAATCATTTACAAATTGTAACAAATTGAAATATAATTAAAACTATCTACAAAACTAAAGGAAAAAATTCATCTAACTAAATAGGTTGCATTATAATATGTGATAAAATCAGTAAGTAATAGTTTTTTGACCGCAGATGCGTTATGAAAAAAGATATCTACTTTCACAACATTAGATAATTTTTTTTTTTTTTTTAATTTGGTGTCATCGGTGTCGACTACTACGGCTATTAGCCTCGTGTTCTGTGTAGGTTTTGTTACTGTTTCCCAGTGCCACTTTAGGAACAGCACTGTTAATTAGAACCCAACAGTGAATGGTCGAGTGGGGAATCCTACCTATGCATTAGAATATTTAATTTTTTTTAATTAATTAAAAATCCCGGTGAGATTCGATCCTGAGACCTTCCGATCTTAAAGTCATGACTCTAACCACTGAGCCAACCCACCCCCCCCCCATTAGATAAAGTAGTGGAGAATTTAAAAAATAATTAGTAAATGCTTGATATGTAAAAAAGGTGTAATTACTTCTAGTAGCATGGTTGGGAGTAATGAGTTTCACGCAATTCGTAATTTTGATACAATCTATATTATTTAAAATTATAGGAGCAAACATAACATCTGCAATTTGCCTATTGTGCTAAAGGAGAATTATTTTTAAAATAGAACGAATCCGTTGTCTATCTGTTTCAGGGATAAAATTTCCTTTTACAGTAAAAAAGGAATCTATTTGAAAATGTACACCAAGTAATGCGGAGTCCAAATGACAGAATTGAACATTAAAATACTATTGACATATGCCATATGCAAGGTTCTAATTGTGAAAGGATTTCGTAGCTCAAAACAAGTTCTGTATATGAAACCTAATTGTAAGTAGTTACACTTATTTTTTATACAGTAATCGAATAAATTATTTAAGTCTTGTTGAAGTCGAATCCGGTCATTAAGACATAAAATTGAGTGATAAATTTTTAAATCATCGGCATACATAATGAAATAAACAAATTTAAACTAGGTAGAAATATCATTAACATATAGATTAAATAGTAAAGGACCCAAATGGGACCCCTGAGGTACCTCTGATGAAGTGACCTCAATATTAAATTTAAAGGTTCCTAAAGTTACCTGTTGTGATCTATTTCTGACGTACGAGTCAAACTAACGCAGTAAGCTACCATGTATACCGACTTTAGCCAGTTTCTAAACAAGAATCGAAATCCTTGCTGAAATCAGTATACACGGCATGAACGTTATTTCTATCATTTAGACTTTTTAATGAAATGAAATGGAGTACATAGATTCTTTATGTACAGACAGAAACAAAATTAAAGGGATGTTTTGTTTGGTTCTTAAATCTTCTTAAAAATTGTTGAAGTAAAATTCACAATAAGTTTTGTTTCAAAAGAATCATCAATTACTAATTACCAATAGTATACCTGTAAAAAAGTCTACACCCTATATAAGATTTTTATAGATTTTCCTATCAATAACAGCATTTGTGGCTTTAACAATCATTAGCCAAAATAAATACTTAAGATATTTGTTTTGTTGCTTTTATCACAGTTTAAAGAATATATATATATATAACAGTTGCCGCACTTGTCTAAAAGTTCGAAACAACATTTTATCTGGTCGGTGGTATAGCAGTCTAACGCGTTTATATTCATTTATAGGCAAGTTTATGGTCCGAGACTGCCGGGCTTCGAATCCCAGAAAAGACCATGTGGATTTTTAATTAAATTGCATGGTTCGGTATAGGATTTAATGTGTGCCGTATTAATAGAAATTCAATTTCTGTTGATATGACATTCAGATTATAAAATCGCCATGCATTACTGTCTCGATGATGGTGGGTGAGGTTTTCCTCACCTGTAAGTCAAATGGCACCATCAATCATCTTTAAGTCGCCCCGAAGCGCCACGCAAATAATAATAATAATAGCCGTCCCTTTCCCCGCACAAGCTCAGCTTTTGGGGTTAAAATTCACTCGTAAGGGGAGGAATTAGGGAGAGTATTTTTATTATTACATACCCTCTGTCTCGTCTGGCCGCGCACACTGAAGGCATACTGGTATCAGCCCTCTGCCGTATCGGGTGGACCAGTTATTTGCGTGCATCGTTTGAGATCGCATTGTACACGGTGTCTCAGATAATTTTCGTATTGATTTGTTATTTATTTTGTATTAAAATGGGCAGTAAAAATATTTGTTGAGTGGACGGTTGCGAAAATCGGTTACAAAGCGTATTGTCATTTTTTAGATGTCCCAAAGATCAACAAAGGTATGTATATGACCACTTTGCTACTTTTTTGAGATAAAAAACATTTTATTATTTACATCTACAAGTGGTAAATTAATTACATATTTACATAATAAGCCATTTGTATACAAAACATTTACCTTTTCCCAAACAATATTCACACAAGTATATCAGTCTATGACATGCCGATATCAAACCCTACCTATGTTATGTTGGGAATGGGGTGTTAATACACTGCGACCTAAAAGATCTATTGTGACCCCTTCTGTTGCTAATGCACCAAGGAAATATCTCAATGCCTATAACGACCCTTCCAATCCTATTTTCTCAAGGAAGTGTAGGATTTGGAGTGGCTTCAAGTTAGGTAAATCTCCCTCTTATGATTGAATGACACATTTTTTTGAAGCAAGTTGCGATTTTTTAATGTTGTTTTAAATGCCACTCACGTTTAAATACTTTGAAAAAATAAACGGTCTTTTAAACACACATTGTCGAATATTGTTAGGTTCCTATTAAAAATGATTGAACAAAATATATTGGTTTTGAGGAAAGACATTGATAATATCGTTAATTTCAGAAACCTTCTGGTTTTTTCCAATTAGTACTATTCAGTTTAAAATTTTTTGAAGCCGGTGCCCAAATGACACTAAGGCTTTCCGAAAATTCACCAAGAAAAAGAACATTAAAGGAATCTGTCAAAACACTGGAAAGGGCCATGAGTACTCACATATGTAGAAGGAAGCTAGAAACAGAGGTGAACTTGGAAGATGTTGTAAAGTTTTTAGAAACCAGATACTGAGAGGAATCCTGTCGATTTTTAAAAAATCAATTATATTTGCGCTAAAATGATCCAGGTATACTATACGAGTTTAAGCAGTTTGCTTTAAGTGTTTCTATTATATTTCTATTTATCTCCGCAGAGGTTCCATCTTATTTTAATTTTATTTCTCTCAGTTCATGGCCAACTTCAGCTTCTTAGCTTAACGTTTACTACGAAAATTCGCCAGTGTTTTATTGTAGCTAGTTACCTATATCATATATACCTAAATCCCAATATACCATACCAATTTTCACGGCTCATCAAGCCAACTGTGGAGTTCTGTAACACAACAGCTCACTCCGTACAACTAAGACACCTTTTCAGGGAAATGATGATTTGTCCTTTGATCCTGCATTGACGAACCCTAGGGGTTCTGAGCAGTCAAGAATTATTACTGATCCTACATTCTTTCAAATAAAGTTTTAATTAGTTTCAAATAACACTCCTAGTCCCAGACACTATTCCTTTTTTCGATACGTGATTCCTATTTGGTCCAATTTCGAGTTTTATGTTAGTTTAAAATGTACATATATATTATCTTTATATGCTAAAACTACAGATTAAATATTTTTTAGTAATTCAATAACTCTCTTTATATTTCACATTTGCGAAACCCCTCGTACACTAATATTCGCCGGGCGAAACCAACCTACGCTTGGAAGTCCCCTGTAGAGACGCCGTTTTACGATAGAAAGCAGATGGCCACGGCCCGTTTTTGATCACGAAAGATCTAACGCCCGACGGAGAGTGCAGCAACTGATATATTCTTTAAACTATGCTTTTATGACCAAATTATATAAAGCTTTTTTTGCTTTCTCTTGTCGCCTTATGCAATATAATAATAAAAAAAACCTTTTCGTAAAAATTTATGCCGAAAAGTGTTCTTTAATGAGTTACAATATCTTTTTATAATTTTAAAGACTTAATGAAGAATAAAATGATAAAAGTATAATTCAGGTAAAATAAAGTGATCAGAGAAACAAATATACTGCCTTGGTAAGTTTGATTGCCTCAGCTTCGCTAGTTAAACAAACTCTAAACATTTACCTTTCACTAACCAAGGCTGGGAGCCGGTATAATGAGCCTTCAAAGGAATATCTCCAGTCCAAGCTGAATCCAATCCATAAAACCTCAACCTCAAATGATATTCTTTTTCATTATTAAGAAAAATTGACGGAGTCGAATTATAAGACGAGATAAACTCTGTGGGAGTATTTCTAAATTCCGCTTCCTTATTTTCTTTAACCGCTTCTACTACTTTCATTTCAAAATGTTCCATCAACATATTGGCTACAATCAACTGACCAAAAATGGTGATCATCTTCTGAGTGGCTGACAAAGATTTTACTGATACAAATACCGAAATTTGACTGTCTGTTTTAAATTCAATCACTTCCATACCTTTAAAACAATAGATTGGTTAACTTAATGTTCTCAAATAAAACACAAATATAAGGAAAAACTTAAAAAAAGGAAATAAAGAAGATAGATTTAATAATAAATGGCATACAACAAAAATACTAGTTGAAAATTAATAAATTAATGTGTGAACAGAAGAAGCACAGGTATACCAATAGATAGGAAAAAATTAGATTTGAATTCAAAACCCAACATAATTTCACTTACCATCCTCAAAAACTGTAAAAGGCTCCGACCATTCAAAATTATTCAGCTGCTCCACAGCTATTTTCAACTGTTGCTTTTTCTTCTGAGATCTCCAACTATATAAATGAAAATGCCTATAACGTAATTCGATCTCCTCATCTGTTTGGTACTGTCCAAACCTCAAAATAGTACTAGTATTATTGCAAATTATCAATCTAGTCATTACTATAAAATCCTTTTCTTGATCGTCGCAGTCTTGATAAGCTTGATCCCAAACTTGAGCGGCCACGGCCAAAGTGTGAGCGATATTAGGACCGAATTTCATTTGTATCGGCTTAGAAATCAAGTTGCAATCCAAATGATCAGAAAAATTAATTTCAAGTTTACAAGTAAAAGGTTCTATCAATGGTTGCTGAGTCAAAAAATTGTAATCTAATACGTTACATTTAATTGATGTATTTATTTCTGTCGAAAAGACATCTAGATACCAACCCAGTAGATAAGCACTAATGTTGTATAGAGATAGTTTTAAAAATTTTTGATTTTCTGGAAATACATAGTCCGTATGGTAATTTTTTAAATAGACTGGTTTTTTAAAATCGCAATTTCTCTCAAAATAGTTGAATAAGGAAACGTCAATTTTGGATATGTAAAGAGCGGCAGTTATGCTAGGAATAAGACTTCTGTTGAAGTACGAATCGATTCTCATACAAGCTGCTAAGGCTCTCGGAGATATCTGACTGGTTGGATTTGGACACGAACATGATGTAGGGCCTCCGGCGTTGTTTATCATAGTAATCACCTAAAATATAGAAGAAAAAAAACCTGTAATTTATAGTTTCTATGATTAACTAGAAAATTAAAGTCAATAGTAGGAAGGTAAAACAATTTTAGACAATATGATGATTATCTATCATTATAAAAATAAATATTAATGAAACGAATTTGGAAATTTATACCTCTTGCTTTGATTACAATAATTATTGTTGAAAACATACCACTCTCCAAGAGGAAGCCACTGTAGGTTGAGGGTTAGCACTTGGCAACTTTAAATGACACACTTCACTTTCTGACATATAGAACTGAGTAAATGGCAAATAACAATTTCTACAATCAGACCAGTACTCCAAATGGCACAAAACTTGTAATTCGTCCTGTTGATGAGAACCCAGCGTTATCTTATAAGGTACTGGAAATACTCGGACTTTGGTCAAAGCTCTAGGTTGTGGATAACGCCAAGCCATCGCAGATATGTTTTTGTTCCAAAACATAACCTAAAATATTTATCAGAAATTACAAAAATATAGTAACGAGAACTGGTATAAGGCTTTGTTTACGTGAAAATTGTCGCGAATAAAATACATGTAAAAACAATGACCCTGGCCTTTCCAATTCGTTTAAAAAATAACTAATTTTGTAGGTTCTCAAATTAGTTGGCAATAGTTGAAAGTATCAGCTAAGTTGCGGGGCAGTTTGTACGAATTATTGAACATACAATAAATCTTGAATGAGTAAAACCAAATTTGGTAGATTTTCACAAAACTTTTATTTTAAAAAATAAAAATTAAAAACACTACACATGACATGTTTCGAAGTACAACTTCTTTTTCAAATGTGACTAATTTACAATTCGGTATCCAATATATATGCGAAATAATTTAACAAAACAAAGTACTTATAGTCCAATTAAATGACGAAAAAAAGCCCCTTCGAGCTTACATTAATTTGTAATTGGATGAAACAAAGTGGACTTGTGTATTTTGATATGATCTTTCCGAAAAAAAAAAAGAAAAAATGATGTAGCTGTTTTTCAATTTTTTTTTAAATTAGGAAAGAGGAGGCAAAAATAGTTCGGAATTTCATTACACAGGTAGTTTTAATGGCGAATTTCTCGCCGCCAGAAGTGCTTTTACCAAAAAGTTGTTTTTTCGTTTCTTTGATCAGAATCATGAACATGAAATTTGCGATGAATTTGTGGCGAAATTATAAATGGTAGACATATGTGCCCATGAGAGAAGTTGCGTATTTTTTTGTGGGCAAATAAAATAAGTCCCGCGGCGAAATCTGCCATAATTTTTCGGGAATTCGCAGGAAACCGGAAGGCGTAATTTTTTTTTTTATTTTTTTCCCATATGATTTTCTCCGGGTTTTCCGAAAACATCTAACAAAAAATATATTTGAAGAAACTAACTGCGCCATCGGAAAGAGCACAAAAAATATACAAAAAGGTATACTTTAAAAATGTTAGGAAATTAATCCTAAGCTTGAGTGTAAGTTCCAACTTGGTGATAAGCTTGTTTTTTGTTCTCTAACATCTGGTTTTCTTCTCGGTTGATGCTCCATCCTCCTTTTTTTTGGCATTGTCAATCGCGGCCCTTTTATGCCTATCCCAGGTTTTATAAATAAACTCTTTTCCGTAACGTCGAGCTACGTAATGTTTGCGACACCTCTCATGCAATATAAAACTTGGTTCTAAAGAACTGAAAAAATCATCTCCCCTCTCTTTGCTGACCGTCTGCAGACCTTTCAGTCCTGTCGGTCTAATTGGGGTAAGTTCACCCTCTGCAAGTTTCTGATGACATAATAAACACAGGCCAGATATAGCAACCTGGAAACAAAAAAATTATAGCACTGTGATAGAATTTTCTTAATTTAAGAACGTACTTTCTCAATAAATTGCTGAAGAAGTCCGAAAAACCACGTGTACACAGACCTTGCTGAACACGGTTATTAAAAATCTATGCCGATGAACACTATCAAGCGATTCAATTTGTAATAATATGACCGTTTCAAGTTTAAACTTGTCGGCTAGCGAACGCTGAGACCTTGGCTATCCTTGATACGACGTCCGGCTAATTTTACGGTAATTCTATTTTTTGCACAAAACTCAAGAAAAGTCTTATAAGTCAGTAAAATACAATTTTAGGCCTAATAAGTTTAGGTATGTAAGAAATTTAAAACTGGAAATCACAAAAAAATCAAATTACAGAAATGCCCGAGTTTTGGATCCCGCGGAGCGCGTGTAATGGGACCTTTGTCGGAAGAATTCTACAACTTAGAAGAAACATACACACTTTAAACTTTGTATACACATTCAGAAGACATGAGATTTGAGTTTGCTCAATTTTCAGACCAAAAAACTGAAAATCGTCAATTTTAGACAACTTTTCTCAAAAACCGTGTTTTTTGGTCGTCACTCAATGAACAGTGATCAAAAAAATAGATAAAATATTTTTGCAGAATTTTCCGTAATGTAGTCGTATTCTAGACATAATAGAGTATTCAAAAAAAAAGTTTTGAGTCATTGAGTGCATTTTTGGCATTTTTGTGCCACTTCAAACTTTCGAAAAAAAAAACTATTTTTTTTTAGGGAAAAAAATTTGTTAAATTGTTTGATATCTTGGCCAATTATAATCCGATTTCAGTAAAATTTACACACCTATAAGATATCATATTTAAGAGTAAGCTTTGTAAGTGGCATTAAAAAAAAACAATGAAATTAGGCTTGCGGTACACTTTGCCCTTCCGCCATATGCCCAATTTTGGGATTTCTCTTGCCCCCTTCTGAAAATCAATAGTCACATCCCTTAAGTTCAAAACGAATTTTTGTTTCTTCAAATATCTTAATTTTTACCAAAGTTATGAAGAATTTAGTGTTTGAACATTTAACAAATTCAATTTTTCGACCTTCGCCGCCTCAAAATACTAAACAAATTTCAATCGTCCATACCGCGAGAACGGTGTATCGGATCAAAATTTCTCAAGAGACATAAAAATTAGCATTTTTTCTAAGCTTTCAAATGTCGTAAACTGCGTTTAAAAAATATTGATTTATTTGCGACATGCGCATGCGCAAAATTGAAAAATTGACAAAATCCAAAATTTCGGCACTTTCGAAAAACTGCTACATTTTGTTTTGTCTTTTTTCGAAAAGATCACCTCAAAATACATAGAATCCATTTTGTTTCATCTAATTACAATTTAATATAAGCTCAAAACCGGTAATTTAATTCGATTATTAAGAATACATCAATAACAACAAAATAAACTAACTATTTAAAGTAAATAAGGGTACTTAGGTAATTATGATATCAATCAGATAACAATCAGATAACAATAAGATAGTAACATTACCGGGATTATCTCACAGAAAACTAGGAAAGAGATTTAATAAATTTAATAAATGTATCATACTGATTATTGCAGCCTAATTTAAATTATCTTAACCTGTAACATGTATTGCAGTCATATTCCGTAAAAATATTGATGCCAATGGATATGTAATACCTATACAATTTGGATTTTGCATTAAAATAATCAGATTTACTAACGGCCTCCATTTTCAGTCCATTTTAGTAGTTCAAGGGTATCGCCAGGCAGAAAGCTTAGATAAATCAATAAATTGTACGAAATGTTTGGGTTTCAAATATTATAAAATAAATATAAAATAATCTAATATTATCGAATATTATCAAATATTATCGAATATTAAAATCCTATAATATAATAGGTCACTTTTTAACATAATCCAAAATAATTCAAGATATTAATTTTTTTCGGTCCAAATCATTTTTTTTTTAATTTTACGGTTAAAAATTACCGTACAAAGTTCTTCAGATACTCAATTTTTTCGTTTGACATATAGTTTTTGATAAAATTAAAAAAAAATATAGTCACGATTAAAAAACATGCTTAAAAATTGATCCAAACAAAGACTGACACTAGCAATAATGAAATATTCCTTAATTATTGATATAATTTGTTTAAATAAAATAAAAAAACTGCACCATTCAATTGTTTCTCTTTTATTAATGGTTTTAAATTTAAAGCCGGTATTTTAACTATATAGTACCGACCCTTGACCAAATCGCATAAACTTTGAAGCTAAACTAAAGTGATGAGGTAAATTCCACACCAATATTATCCAGGGCCGGATGCTCCCGTGTTCAGTTTTCGTCTGCCACGCGCATGACGTCACTCATAGCCCGACTCTTATTAGGGAGATGGGAGTACTTATTTTCTCTGTAACGCATTTATTACAACAGTTACAACAAAATGTTTAATACAAAAGATGTTTATTAGGATTCGAATCAGAAAAGTATTAAAAAATATAAAATGAATAATTTCATGTATCTTTACTTTACGAGTTACTTTTGCTGTAAAATTGGTCTCTGAGATTTTTGGCACGAATCTTGCGGGAAAGGTTTTTTATATTAAGTTTATCTTTCCTCTTGATAAGATGCAACCACTTTTTGCTAAGGTTAGGGCCTTTAGGAAAACTAAAAAACCTAACATCTTTGCACGCATTCCGTTTAGATTCGTTGTTGAAATGACATCTCACAATAACACACCGCATTTTAATATTTAACTTCTTTAACCAAATATGCACGATATACCCAACTCTACAATTGATTAAGCACAACGTAAGCACAGTCGCTATGAATGACGTTGCTTAAGGACCGCCCCCTGTGCGCGACATCCTACCTTTAGTTGGGTATATCATGAATACTACCTGTTTCCTTAATCTGCTAGTTAAAATGTACACTCTGAAATTGAATGTTTTAATTCTACAGGTACCTTACACTCTTATTAGGTACTTTCACTTTTATTATAATGTTATTGAGAGAATCTGATTTTCCGAATACGAAAATAGAAATCGACTTGTCTCAGAGTTTTTTTTGAAAAATTATTAATACAATTGTTTATCAAACCTTTAGTATTATTGAGAGATTTCAAATACTAAATTTCAATTCATCAATAATTTTTTTCCGATACCTCATAGTCATTAACCTTTTTCATTGCACAATATAATATGATAAACATTCTTACGAAATATTAATATTATCATGTTTGTTCCCCAAACAGAAAACATAAATTTTTAAAATCCATTTGGGAGCATCATCCCTGTTCCGGCTAATACACAACCTTCCTTCATGTGTAAAGCGAGACGATTTTCTACTATAAATTGCAACAGACTATAAAAACTAGTTGAAACTGTGTGTAAAACTAGTTGAAACGCGTTAAAACTGCGAATTATGCCCCTTCTTGATGCAATAATGTTATCATTTTTCAACTATTTAGCAGTCCAGGGTTGCCATATTCAAAAAACTCCTAGATGTAGGCAATACGTATTTGTAAATTTTTTTATGGGATCTCAATTTACAGACTAAAAAAAGTTATATAAAAAAATGTCTATTTCATTTCTGCGCAAGTGGCAAATCGCATTCAAATCAGTGATCTATAAGTGCTAAAAATTGAGATCGCGTTTTGGGCAAAAATGGCAGCACTCCTGGGCCCTCTTAAGTCGAATGATGAAGCCTCATATAATTAAGAAAATAGCAGCTTGTGCAACAAAAGTGTGAAAGTGTAATAATTTTGTACTACAGGCTTTTTAAAGAATTAAGAGAAATTTTTATCATAATATTAAAATATTTCAAGGAGCATCAAAAATTTGTATTTGACATTTATAGATGCGGGTATCAAAAGAAAGGTCTACGATGTACCGAGTTATGTACAAAGTCGGAAAATATTTCGACTAAAATCAAGCAACCAAGTCTTAGCTTCAACCCGGAAAACCAATTACCAGAGGACTTTAATATTTGCGAGGAAATGATTGAAAAAGATGAGCTAGAAAACCATTTTAATCAAGAGTCGGACAATGAAGATCAAATGAATTTGGCAAAAAGAGCAAGATTGACCTAGTAAATTAACTTTTTTTCATCCATTTTGATATCTAAATTTTAAATACATCCATGAATTCATCAAAATTTAAAAAAGTTCATAAGGTAATCGATTCTACAAAAAACAAATATTTGTTTGAATATTAAACATTCGACTTAAATGTTTGTAGCAATACTATATACAAAAATAAGAATTCTGGGGAAAAAATAAAAACAGTTCCTTTTATATTTTTTTTCCATGCAATTGAATGGTGCAATCAGTTTTTTATTTTTTTTTTAAATTTAATCAAATTTGATCAATAATTAAGGAATAATTCAATGTTACTATTGTCATTTTTTGTTTTAATCCATTTTTGAACTATTTTTTTATTTTGTCAAAATAAAAAAAAAATAATGAGTACTTGAAGAAGAAGATTTTACCGTAGAATTTCTTTAAAAAAAAAGTGTTTTAGACCAAAAAAATTAATTATCTCAAAAAATTTTGTATTTTTTATTTAAAAAAAAGTGCTTATTTAAGATATACAAAAGTATAATTTCACTAAATTTCATCAGATTTAAATTATTTTTGGAGAAATGAAAAATAAAAACGAAAAAAAAAAAAAAAATCAAACGAACTTTTACATTTTTATGGAAAATTTTGAGGTTATGTTAAAAACTAATCTATACAAAAGCTGTAGATTTTTGCTTGTACTACAACTTTTGCACAATAAATTTATGTTTTTGACGTCAACTTACGCCGGAAATCGCGATAATACCATTTTTACCTCTTTTCAACCCCTATAACTTCACCCAAGTAGCATTATAGTGACAGAAACTTATATCGCCACTTCGATTAAGTGACTATTACGTTATAGTCACTAAATGTACCCCTATATAGTGAGAAAAACTTCATTTTATATTTTCCCAGTTGTAGCCACGTGTATTTCGCCACTGGGAATCACCTCAAAGTTTTATATTATTTAGTTGCCTCTGAAGGAAACGTTATAGCCACTAAGCGGGACCACTTTAAAGTTGCACAAACTTGAATGTGGAAAATAAGAGTTACGGCCACCAAATCATATCACTTAAATACCACCTAAAAGTGGCAGTAATCTTAAAGTGGGTTTGATAGTTTTAGTAACGTTTCGGAAACCATAAATATATCTTTAAAGTGGCGGCACTTGATTGTATAACTGCAGTAGTTCTTGCCACGTTTTTGCCACGCTCTTAAGTGATTTCCACATATTGCGTGGAACAAAAGCCACTTCAAAGTTACTATTACCTTCAAAATTCACAATGAAGTAACCGTTGCCTATTAGTGGCCTGCTTTCTACATTGTCCGCCTTTACAATAAAGAAAAATGCACTCCTTCTGCGACCAACTCACCTCGGGGGAACTTATTGGATTTCGCCTCAAACTTTCTCGTTGTGAAAAATTTAAATGGACTGGCCAAAATAAGGTTCCTTCGTTTTCCCACATAACGGAAACAACGCAGAAACAAACACCCCTCTTTTCTTGAGTCGATACAATTTTAAAACTCATATTTAAATCTAAGGTGTGCACACAAACACAATATCATGGAGGAAGGACAATATAAAACATTAAATACATAAATTTAAGTGATCTGTGACATAAACAAATTTAACCGGCGAAATCTACTGTAAATTTTGAGGTTAAATGGAATAATACTACTATTACAGTGTTGCGATATCATCAGAGCGCAATTTCCCTGAGAAAATATAGTATACAAATTTTTCTCATAATCTTCTTGAATGTATACTATATGTGTACAGGGTGTTGTTATTTTTAGAATAGCACTTAAAACGTTTATTAAAAGAGATAAAATAAATTGTTAAATACAAAAGTTATAAGTGTTTACTAGAAATTACTATTAAGATAAACAAACGGTAACCAGAAAGGTAACTAACAAGTATCAACTTTGCGAATTAAAATGGGATTCCTATATATTTTTAACTATGGCGATTCCAAATATACTGTACCTTAATATTTGATTACGCCGTTTTACGCTATTCAAGATTAAAATTGCTTTAAATTTACATTACCTTGATCTATGTTGATGGATGACATATTTGTAATCTAAGGTAAGTTTGATTTTCCCCCTGACATTGACCTTATTGAACAACTCAAAAACTCTGAAATAAGTGGAGAAATAGCTGATCTGGCAACAATGTAAATAATTAACTTTATGGTGGCAAACACTAGGTGGCTGCCACGTAACCGCCACTTTGAAGTGGTGAAAAATATTTTGGATTAGTTCCAGCTGTCACTTATTTGATGAACGTAACTACAAAGTGGCAACTTTAAAGTTTTTTGTTTCCTGAAGCAGATATATTTGTAACCATTTTTAAGATCGCCCTTATTTGAAAATATAAAGATGCTATTTAAAACATTTTTTTCGTCCGTATAGCTTCAATGCAATAAAATTCAAATATATTTAATGATTTTAATTAACCAAGATTGATAAAAAATACTGTTTAAGGCATCTAATAAATAATTTCTAAGATGAAAAATTTACAGATTTGTAACTTTTTAATTAAATATAGAGTATTCCAATGGCGCGTGGCCATATTTCGAGCTACAACACCTATATTTGACAGTTAACTTCTAATCGTTCCAAATTTTTGCCTGTCAGAATTCCTGAATCAATATTTTTACTTATTATTATTATTCAGTATGTACCTACTTATTAGTTTACTAAGTATGTCAGGTTAGAGAATAAGCAAGGAGAATGGGAGAAATAAATTGCAGGACGGAAACCGAACTACAAATATCAATCAAAAGACAAGGGCATTAAGCAAAGTTCAGCGTTTAGTGTCGGCCACCGTGTCGCCAAGTTATCGCCACGAGACATAAACGTGATTATATAAGTTCCGGAAACTTGGCTGGAACGTGGTTGCCACCACACTTTAAAGTTTTACTTGGGCACTTCAACCCCCCCCCCCTCCAGGTTGCCTTATTTTTTTTTACTTAATACAAGCCCCTCTACCATTTACACTATCAAAGTTCAGTCAACAAATTTTATTTTTTCCCCCTAAATGAGTTAATTCAACTGGTGTAATATGGGAGAAAGTTTGAGACATTCAAATCTCCAATAATGACAAGTTTGGAGTAGAACGATACACAAAATTGGATATTCAATCTAATGAATATGTTTTTCATTCAAAGTTGTAAACAATAACATCAACCATTTTTCGTGTGTTTAATTTTGATAATATAAATGGTGTTATATTACAACATTGAAAAATACGTTCTACAAGTTTTTTAAACTTACCTGGTAAGGTAAAGGCAACTCATCAGCATTCTCGGAAGCAGCATCAACAAATTGAAAAGCGCCCGCTCTCAAATCATCCTTGTAGTGCTGTTCTTTATCAGAAAATTTTCTTCCTAAACTTTCTGTTGATGAAACAGACTCTTCTAATTCTTCATCATTACTAGATGAATTAAATTCATGTATCTCATTAATAACTACATCCAAACATTTTAGTTGTTCGGGGCTGATATCAATCACTAGGGGACCACTGTCAACGATTATTTGAACCTGCAGAGCGTTAGAAATAAATATAACTATTTACAAATATTAAAATAGTTAAAGATTATTCTCGTAAGCTCGCAATATTATAATTTACCTGGGGATCGTTTTCGAGACTCTGCCAAGATTCCCAAAAAAGCGAAATGTCAATTGATAAGGTCCAAGGGTTTAAGAGAAGTTTCCTGTACTTTCTGTCGACAACGGTTAGTGTTAGACATTTGAAATTTGTTTTTATGGAAAGTTTTTCTGGTCGGGTGGTAAAAGCAAAGTTACTTAAAACGTTTTCCATGCTAATTTGAATCTATGAAATAAAACGAATAAGTCGAAATGTAAAAAAATACGTCATAAAATGTCTTACCTCGTTATTCACAATATCAGATGTAACACATAAAACAACTTGATCAAATTTAGCGTTGATAATATTGATACCTTTCAACGTATTCTTAATTTTTATAAAGTTGCTGTAATCATCATAAACACTTGTTTTTCTAGATGATGGTTTACAATACGAGGCTTTCTGTGAACTAACAGAAAAATCTATTCTTTCAAGACTTTCCGTCGTTACTGTTTGATTCTTTCCCATTCCTTTAGTATTATCTATGATCTAAAAAGAAAAATTATGTAACTTTGATACTATTTATGGCCCTTTATAATTTTTATCGAAGCAGATTTTCTTTAAACTAATCTCTAAATAAAAAAACAACTCTGTGAGTCGGTAATATTAAGTCATAACAATTATGATAATTTTGTTACATTTAGATGTAAACCCGTCGGCGAGTAAACAGTAGTGAGAAATAATACTACCTACTTTAGAAAAAAATTAACATTCAGTTCAAATGTTTATAACCTAAACAAAAAACAAATCTCTACAAAATAACTTTCTTATACAACGCAGTCAGTATTATAACTCTCTACCAAAACAATTTAAAGTACTGAAGAAGTAGAGAGTATTATTATTATTATTATATTGTTTTAATATGGATTGTTTATGTTTATGCAGGTACTGTTAATTTCCTTAATACTTGTTTCTATATATAATAAAATCTTTATTAACTAATTTAAATCTAAATAACAATGTCTATTTTTATTACATGAAGTGTTTGTATTTGGTAGAACAGCTATGCTGGACTCTTTTAGTGTTTCTATGCTGGACTCCGTCGAGAATTATTAAAATAAAGACGTTTATTATCATTATTATTTGTAACTTAAAAAAGTTATACTATAGTGTAAGAGCTTATGGAGATTCAGCTTTAATATTAGTAGAAAAGCTGACAAGAGTGAGTATACTTTCTATTATATTTATTAATAATATTATTATTATTTTTTTTTAATTTGGATTATTATTATTATTATTAATTATTACAGTATCTATTTTGATATTTTCTCAACTCATTGGAATAGTTCATAGATTAATAAATAATAAACGATAGGATGATGATGAAATTTTGTAGTTTGATAAAAAATGACATATTAATGAGATAAGGATTTATGTATAATTGTGTAGATGTTCGGAATTTCGCAAGCAACTATTTGTAAAAATGTTTGTTCACTTTTTGGGATTAAACATTAATCAAAATTCCACAAGAAACAAACAGAGTATAGGCACAGTTTATTGCTAAAGAATCAGTTAGCTCACTTGGACCAGTTGAATGTTCCAAAATAATATCCACTCCAGGGATACAAATTCAGGATGCGCAGAAGACTGCTGTTTGAATATAGGCGGTTGTCATATTGTAGGTGAGTTTGGGCTACGCACTCTTTTCACTATATTCACTCCTAAAGTACCTAAGGCGTTCGGGAACGGAAGGAGTTAAAATAAAAGTTCTGTTTTGACCGTTCGGAGATCGTGGAGTGGAGTGTGGATCGGGCATGCGCATAAGTCGATTTAAATCGATAATAAGATAATTATGACTAATTCTTAAGTGAAAATACTTTGTATGTGGTTCCCGTGCATACCATTAATATGGAAGAAACTTATACTGTTGTTACTGATAAGTACGATTAAATTTTAAGTATTAATATATCACATTGACAACTGACATTGAACTCTCAGAGTTAAAGGAGTAAAACCATATGCGCACTCCGTTTACGCCTACTTACTCCACTCTGGAATGCGCAGCCCAAACTCACCTTGTATTGGTTATCATTTGATTCTGTATGCGCTAGGGATACAAATCCGAGTTGCGCAGTGTATAAACTGGAACATTGAGATCAAAAGTGCCGACGCAGAGTGAGCGAACTGATTCTTTAGCTATAAACTGTGGTATAGGTATGCTTTCTGTTCATTATTAAGTAGGTGAATTTTAAAGAAATTATGTCGCCATCAAAAGTGTCCTGAGCCCAATTCTATCGTATGGCTAGTTTTTGAGACGTTAGAAATCCCTAATTATTTGAAATGGACCCCAAAAATCACCCTTAAATATTTTTGGAAGTTATCCGCTCATTAGTAGTAAAAATACATATTTAACTACTATAATCAAAATACATATTGTCACTTACATGGCGATTCATGATTCCGCAGATCTTTTTCGGTCAGAGTAGGTATTTGCACTGAACAAAAATAGCTGAAATACCGAAGAAAAATAAATATAGTTTAAAAAAACTAAAAAATACGCTTTTAGAGCATATCAAACTAAAAAGTTAAAAATAATTTTTCAAATAAGCTTAAAACAATAATAAATGGAAAATACTAGTATTATTGTGAAAAAAACGTCGGGCGCTCGATGTACAAGAAATATGGATAAAGCGCCCTACGCTTTTTTCACAATAATACTAGTATTTTCCATTTATTATTGTTTTAAGCTTATTTAAAAAATTATTTTTAACTTTTTAGTTTGATATGCTCTAAAAGCGTGTTTTTTAGTTTTTTAAACTATATTTATTTTTTACTTTTTAGTTCGATGTATTATAAAAGCGTGTTTTTTAGTTTTTTTTAAACTATATTAATTTTTTACTTTTTAGTTCGATTAATTATTAAAAAAAATTGCTGAAAAAAAAAACAATTATTTTTTTTTCAGCTGTGGACGGGATTAGAACCTACAATCGGTGAGTCTGGCGATCGACAGACCCGTGCCTTAGACCGCTCGGCCAACGAACGAACTTGAGGTAGTGGGATATACTGACAGTAATAAACCACTCGCTTTTAGTCCAAAGGAGAGTTACAAACATACATACATACAGGTGAAGCTAATAAAAGCGTGTTAAAAAATACGACCATCAAAGTCTCTCAACATTGAATATTGTATAGTTCTCGATATGTACCTAATATATGAATTTTAAACAATAAATATATCTATACTGACATAAGTAGATATGTTCAAGAGAAATACCGTATATTAAATATTTTTACACACTGTGTTGGATTAGGAATATACCCCTTGTACTATTTGAAGCATTGAGATAGAATAAAGAGATGATATGAGGATGCTAAAGTGTCCACACCATTGCATTGCATCAGTGAACAAATAATTGCTTTTAATTTTAAACCAAAAGGGAACATATACTTTTACGACATATTTGGCAAATGTTATTAATATATCAGAAAGATCATTTGACGCTACATATAACCGTAATATCGTACTCGCACAAGTCAACCAACGAACATGTGACAACTTGCCAGGATTCCTTTTTCCAAGTTCTTCTAAATTTTTTTCGGAAGCTACAGCTAGAGTAATATCCAATAAATATTTTTAACTGTGCTTAAAGTGGTTGGATCTAATGTTATATTTATAGAGCTTATATATTACTTTGCAACAAAACACCAATAGGTCCTGTTGTTTTACCGTCTAATTTATTAATTAAATGTCGAAGAGGAAGTTCATTTCCATGAATTTGGCAAATGAACCAATGCAAGTGTCGTTTTAGGTTTAACTCAATCAGTCTTAGTATCCCTCCCTTCGTGCCGGTATTAATCACAGTTCCATCAGATCCTAATATGACAAGTTGTGACAGATCAATGTTTGATCTAAGATAATTTTAGAATAAAAGTTTTTTTAAAAAGGAGGTATTTTTTGAAATATTTGCTATATTTATTCTCTCATGCGGACCCTGAAGATGATCGAAAATTGGGTAAATATTTTTTTTTTTGTTAAACTGTCTAGTTATGATCAAGATTTGTGACCTAATGAGTAAAGCAAGAAAAAAAAGTTTGCTTGCTCTATTAAAAAAAAAACGTATTTTTTTAATGTTTGGCCATTCTTTGTGTTACATGCTGATCCTGAAGATAATCAAATATTTAGTAACTCTTTTTCTATTATTAAACTGTATAGTATTGAGCAACTTTTGGCTCCAAATAAAAAAAAATTCGCTCCACCCTAATACACATACATTGATATTATCAAACCTTGGTAAACTGTCTTAGTTTTTGGAATAACTAGAAATTAAAAACATTTAATGGATCCTAAGTATCAAGTAGTCAATGAGATGATAAATCTGTGAAATTCTTCACTTCTTAATTGCCTTCTTAATTTTATGTACATTGATAGATTTTAATAGTAAATTCTCAATCGTCTAAAACTTATAGGTTACAAAATATACAGGGTAATTTTTGTGAAAATGTTCGGAATAATTATATATATTGTAATAGTAGATATAAAAAAAACCAAAACTTGCAGGCACGCAGGCAGTCTAAAGCTTTATATTTTAACATTACTAATATATAGATAGGGTGATCCTTAACACGGAACCAGATCAAAGCAGATTTAAAATGCTCTGATTGTGTCGATAACAGCAAGCTATAATATTTTAGGTCTGAAGTGACAAATTATGGAGTTACAGGATGTTAAAGATTATCTATATTTCCAAGTTGAAGTATTTATGGCCTTATAATCGTTAAATACTTGTTTTTTTTGTGTCATCGGCATCGACTACTAAGGTCATTAGCCTCGTGTTCTGTGTAGGCTTTGTTACTGTTTCCCAGCGCCACTTTAGGTTCAGCACTTAATTAGAACCCACCATTGAATGGTCGAGTGAAATACTTGTTAATACGACTTGCCTGCATTTGCATAATGACAATATAAAAACACAGGCTGGAGATTTGAGAATTACGAACATTTTATCAGCATGTATTCAAGAAGCCCTTGAAAAATCAAGAGAGGAATAGCTAAGCTGTAAACTATAAAAATTTCAACAATCGTTTCGTGAAAATGACAGTAACGCATGATCTGCTCGATTTACTTTATATATTTGAACAACTGATAACATGAAAGGACTATTTCGTATATGAATGTGTAACAATAAGTAGATATGACATTTATACTTAATCATGAACTACACTAAATCTCAATGATTTCATAAAAGAAAACTCACAATGAACAAACATAAAATTAAGAAGACAGTTCAGAAGTGGAGAATTTTCAAGATTTATCTGCTCAGTGACTTCTTCATACTAAATATTTTTAATTTCTAGTTTAGTTTTTTTTTTGTCATCGGCTTCAACTGCTAAGGTTATTTCGCCTCGTGTTCTGTATAGGCTTTGTCACTGTTTCCCAGCGCCACTTTATGAACAGCACTGTTAATTAGAACCCAACAGTGACTAGTTATTCCAAAAATTATGTCAGTTTGACAAAGATTGTTATTGCCTACTTAAAATTTATGTATATTTATAAGCATTTTCAATAAAGTACTCACAAGCAATTAATTTTATAGTCCTTGGCAATAATTTTATATGTTGTTTATTTTTTCACCTTGCAAGTTCAACTGTGACCACCCCATAGGGAAAGCGACTTAAAACAAATTGTATTGGGGGCTTTACCTAGGTGATGTGAAAAGAAGCTCACAATTTGATTTAAATATACAATAAAGAGGCACTTATATGGCAATGCTCGAACCAAATAAACCTGTAATCCGATCACAATTCATGTCTCTAGATCCTACGCAGACCTACCGTATAATGAACTTTTTCTAATGAAATACTGTATGACCCAATATGTGGAATTATAAGATTTTTTTAATGAACAACTCGCAACAATTAGTTTCTATTCTTTGGCAACAATTTCAACATTTCTCGTTGATTTTTTCACCTCATATATTCAACTGTGATCAACCTGAAAGTACGAAATGTTTTGTCTGTCTCCAAATAGTACAATTCCTAATCCAACACATACGGTGTCAAAATATTTAATATACGTTATTTCTCTTGAACATATCTACACCGTGTGCCTGACAATATTTTGATTATAGTAGTTAAGTATGTATATTGACTACACAGAATGAGCAAATAATTTCCAAAAATATTTAAGGGTGATTTTTGGTATCCATTTTAAAGAATTAGGGATTTCTAACTTCAACGTCCTGTATCTCAAAATCTAGTCATAGGATAGGATTGGGCCCATGGACACTTTTGATAAGGATATCAAGTAATTTGACATTTCAAAGTTGACCCAACTTTATATAAACAATCATTTTTTTAGTTCCAAGGAAATCCGCATAAAAAATATACAAGCGCTGATGTATTATTTGTATATATTGTTAAATTAACAAACCTAAACCTCTATTCGATTTTTTTGGGATTATTCTAATTATGAACACAAATAATTGCTATACAGATCTGTAAATGACATATTTAAATGACTCTGCCTTACAAATTAAACTTTAATAAATTTGGGTAACTGTAATTAGTACTGGTAGTAAAATATAACGTCTGATATTTTATACTTTTTCCGTTGAGCCTAGTTAAGTAAAATGCAGTTAAAAAAACATTAAACATTTTTCAAATTATTCTCCTCGACAGTGTCATTGCATTTTTACTTTCCTATCTGTATACAGATAAGGAAAGTATAGGAATCATGATTTTTTACATCTGCGAAAAACATTCTTGAAAACATTTTCTCCAATCTTCTGACTGAAGTTTATTTATTTCATTTTTAAAGGTATTAATCGTTTCTTCGTCCAATGTAAAACGTAAATCTCCTAATTTATCCTTTACCCGCGGAAATAAGAAGTCATTAGGTGATAGTTTATTTGTTCGAGCAGCAGTGTGATCTATTAGAAAGATTGTCCTTCTTTTTGGACGTTTTTTCCGAACCTTTTAAAGAATCTGAGACAAACAAACTGTAGTGTACCATTCTGAGTTAACAGTACGTCTAGCATCTAGTGCTACAGTGGAAACGTGCTCAGTAAAGAAAATTCTTCAAATAAAAGTTACTTATTATATTATTCTCTATAATTTTTGCCTTATACAAAATTTTTCTAAAATGGTTTGTATTTGAGAAATTTGACAAAATGTAAAAAATTCTAATTTTTAAGAAAATAAATTAAATAAAAGTTGTTTGTGATATCATTCTCTATAATTCTTATTCCATGCATATTTTTTCTAAAATGAGACTTATTCGAGATATTTGAGAAAAAGTGTAAATTTTGAATTTTGAAAACAACTAAAAAACGGATAAACAGAAAAACACCAAATTTTAAATTTAGGCTTCAATCTACATATATGAGTATATCTTGGTTCAGGACTGCACGATTCTACGATTGGCTCCAGATTGTATTATATTTTTTTTTGTGATATAAAATTCTTTTATTTACAAACTTATTTGTATATTTGTGGTTTTTAATTATGTCATATATAGCCTAATTCTAAATCTGACGGGAAAATTATTCTAAAGTTGACAGAAACCGATGGCTCTGTATATCACGTAAAGTCTAATGGCCTGACTTTGTTAGAAACATGTGTATTTTACCTTATCTCTAACTGATAATAGAAAAGCCCATATGGAGGCAGAAAATACAATCTTGGTGGGTTTTGCAATTTCAATGTCCAAAGTAGCGCTTTTTGTTAATCCTTTATCATATTTAAGAGTGAAAAATGCTGGAAAGATGCCTGTATTAGATGCCGGATATCCACTTCTTGTATCTAAGAGACACACTTCATAATCATCTTCATAAGGTATATCACCAATAGGTTGATGTTCTGTGACACCTACTTTAAATTTTAAGTCGAAGCAAGTTATCTGGATTTTTCTGGCTAGACTCTGCTTTGACATATATACGTTTGGTTGACGGATAGAAATAAATATCTGCAAAATAAAATTCATAATCTACAATGGAGAGGTGGAATATCTAAAAGAAATTTAAACAAAAATAAATAATGTATTGTTATTGATTTTAATAAAAAAAAAAATTGATTGTCCTGCACTGTTAATCAATGTCACCAAGTAGATTTTAAAAGAACTGCAGAAACTTCGGATCGTGTGTTGACACACAGTGGCTATACCTTATTAGTCAGCAAGAAAAAGAAGCAATAGATAAATAAAATACATTAGTCGCAATTTTAGACCTTCATCGTATGCATTCCAAGGCTACTTACCAGCGGCAGTAATTTTTTCCCTTCACTATCGTCCATGTCTTCCTCTTCAGCATCATACCCTATATCATAACTAAATGCAGCACTACTAACACTATTTCTTCTGAACCCTGTTAGCGATTTCTTAGTCGACCTTCTACGCCACCATTGTCTATTAAAATCTTCCACATCAACTTGGTAAATTCCGAAATTGATTTTACCGGCTGTTACAAGCATCTCGAGTGGAATATTGTTATGACTAATATGCAGAGGAAGAGATTTATTTTGATAGGGATATTTTTCGCTTTCTATTAGGATTTTATCCCTTTTCGAAGAAATTATGCTTTTCACGTCTGAAGTATCAATGCCAGAATCTTTGCAAATATCATTTATTTCGTTTTCGTCAATCTCGTAATTTATATCTTCAGACTTTGAGTACGGCAACGTTATTTTCGGTCGTAGTTCATCATCAAGCTGCAATGGTTCCACCAAAGCCTCAAGTTCCATTAAAAGGCATGATAGAAGTCTAATTTGTTGTAATGATAGATTTATTATAATGTCACTAACGAAATTTATTTCTATAGAATGTCCGCAAATGACGGTCATTTCCTTATAAACCATTGCAGGTGCCAATACTACCTGTAAAATAGATAATATCAAAAGGTAAAATATTAACTGCGGAAAGTTTTCTAACAGACGAGAGGTTTTTATTTGCAGAAATTGATTACGAAAAGTATTGAAATCAAATATAAGAAAATACAGGTATAAAGGCATGGCCACTCAAACTCCACCGCCTTTATTGGGCATGAGAAGGACGAAAGCTATATAATTATAAACCACAAGCCAGATAGGGACTATTTAAGGGGTGATTTTAATCACCATCAAACTATACCGGGTGTTCAAATTAAAGTGTTACAGTTAAATATCGCCGAAAATATGCATTTTAGAAAAAAAAGTTTTATAGTTTTTTGGGGGAAACATTTTAGCTAAATTCATTTTTTTACTTAGATAATATTTGTACAAGATAAGCTACCACTGCATAAATCTATACAATGTTGATGTCGCTCTAATAAAATCATTGTTTCTTTTTCTAATGCAGGCTTTCTCGCTCATATCTGAATCAGCAGTAGCGTATGTAAACGAATTGCGTTGGGTTATTATTTTAAATGTGAAAATAGTGACTGCAAATAGATGAAAAAATACTAAATAATGTTTTAAAAGATATGTACGTTTTTATTGAACTGAAATCAAAATATGACATTATTGTTATGTCAAAAAATATAATAATAATGCAAAAAATATTTTATTGCTTCTAAAACATTTAGTTTTACAGAAACCTACTGTTTTCACGTAGATCTACTGTTTTTGTCTCTAGCAAATTTTGTTCTTAATTTATTAAGTTTGCCTCATTCTTCAGCAAATGGTTAAAGAATATTTTCTCTAGTAAATGTTCTGCAGTAAAAGCAGCGTAATAAGCAGCCACTATTGTAGGTTTGTTTTTATTTAAACTGCAACAAAGAATTAATAGGATAACATAAAAAGAATATGCATGTACGTATTTGAATTATTTGATTCAAACTGATCTGAAAGAAATACCTATTATTTTTCATTAGTTTTTTTTTTGTTTCCTGACGTTAAGTATATAATAAAAATTTATTTTTCGTTTCTTATATAATAATAATAATAAAGCGTCTTTATTCATCAAGTTTCAGTATAAGTGTAAAAATATACATATATAAGGTAGATGAAAAGGTGAAGTTCAGCTTGTGCTGATTTACAACTTAACCTGTAAATAACATTAAAATATAATAATATAATATAATAGAGAGAAAAAAAAGTATAAAAAATAAACAGATTTTCAAAACCAAATTCGTTGCATTATATAATATATTTTTTTTATGACCATTGCTTATTGAACAAAGATTCTTTTAGGCGTTTCTTGAAATTAAGCAAGTTATATGATTTAAATTCATTTGTAAGTTTATTGTACTCTTTACATGCAATATACGAAAAACATCTTTTAAATAGAGCCGTGTTATGATTCGGTACCACCAAGGTCATTCGATACCGCGTAGGAAATTCATTAATATTGGAAAATGTCTTTAATTTGTTAACTAAATAATCAGGTTTCTGTATGAGTAAAACTTTGTGAACTTGGGTTAATAAATGCAAAAGGCGATAGTTATTGAAAGTCAACCAACCTGATTCTTTCATTTTCTTCGAGATATGATCAAATTTTCGAATTCCATAGGCAAAACGTAGGCAGCTATTCTGAATTTTTTGTAAACGAGCGGAATCGGATTGGAGTAGGGCTGGACCGTAGATAGAATCTCAATAACTGAGTTTGGAAAAAATGAGAGATTCACAAAGTTTAAGTTTGAGTTGTGTGAAAAGCAGGTCTCGGTTAGGGTACAACTGTCTTAAGGTGGAGGTATGTTTACTAAAACGAAGATCAGAATCTAACCAGAGACCTAGGTTTTTTCCTTCATTCGTGAATTGAAGAAGAGCATCGCCTAATTTAATTTGTAATGCGTTTATTGTTAATTGTCTTAATTTTTTGGGGCCAAATAACATGATGGATGATTTTTTAGAATTTATTTTAAGGTTGTGAGCTGTAGAAATATCAAGAAATGCATTTAAATCGTCGTTAATAAGATTTTGGGCAGTAAGTAAGCACTTATTATTAAACGAGTGATATAACTGGGTATCGTCTGCATAATGATGGATCACACAATTTTTAATAATTATTTGTTTTTTTTTTTATTTACTACACTGTAAATTATAATTATTTCCACCTGTACTAAAAATCTACTGTTAAGATTCAATGATCTATTGTTTTGTTTTTTTTTTGCTAATTTTCATCTGGCAACTCTGGCCGACAGATCGATAGAACTTGTATCATTATTCAGTTCGGAGAGAGTGGTTTTTGTGGAAACATATTATTAGGAGTTATTTCTAAAAAAATTATCAAAAGACGAATATTAAAAATGTTACTCGAGGAGGAAGAGGATGATGAAAACTTGTTGTATTTTTTATATAAAAAAAGGCGATCAATTAATTCAATGTATAAAAATAGAAGTACAGAAGGAATTTATTCTGTGTTAATAAACACTCATTTAGCTCTAAACGAAGACAAATTCAGACAATTTTTCAGGTTAAATAAAAATCAGTTTAATTATATATTAAGTTTGCCTCATTCTTCAGCAAATGGTTAAAGAATATTTTCTCTAGTAAATTTTCTGCAGTAAAAGCAGCGTAATAAGCATCAACTACTGTAGGTTGGCTCCATAAAAAAAAACATCAAGATAATCATTGTTTTTATTTAAAATGAAACAAAGAATTAATAGGGCATCATAAAAAGAACATGCATATGCCAAACACTACGATTTTGAATTATCTGATTCAGACTGATCTAAAAGAAGTAGGTATTGATGTTTTCCAGTGGATACTGTTATTTTATCTACTATTTCGGAAAAAGAAAACTTGAATGACTTTTCGTAATACTTTTTAATCAAAAAAATTATTATCAATCAATAAGTTAAAAAACCTTAACTACCAGAACAAAAGCAAAATACAAATCAAAGTAATAGTCTGTAGATAATAAGGGTATGTAAATGTAGATACATCAACACCTTCCCTCATTGAATAATTTATTATCTTCTATTATTAGGCCAATGTTCTTCATTAAATATTCGAGCCTGGGTCCTGAAAGAGGTTTTGTCAGCATATCAGCTAACTGATGTTCTGAATCAACCTTTTCTACGTTAATGGAGCCTTCGGTTACCAATTCTCGAACAAAAAAATGTCTTGTTTGGATATGTTTTGTTCTTCTATGATATTCCGGATTTTTTGCTAACTTAATAGCTGCTTCATTATCAACTAGTAGATCCGGAATACACTGCAGATCAATTATCTCGTTATAAAGACGTTTTAGCCAAATTAGTTCTCGGGCTCCTTCGCTGGCGGCTACTATTTCTGCCTCTGTTGTAGAAAGAGCTACAGATGTCTGCTTTTGGCTTAGCCAGGAGATAGCACCATTGGCATACTTGCAGACAACACCCGTAGTTGACTTTCCTGTTTGATCATCTCCTCCATAGTCGGCATCACTGTACCCTTGTAGGTATCTCTTCTTACTATTAGCTGTGTACGTAATTCCAAGTTCCATTGTACCTTTAAGATATCTAAAAATCCTCTTCACTTGCATCCAGTCACTGTGAGTTGGTTTTTCTAGTGATCTTGATACAATTCCGATTGCATACGCTATATCTGGCCTAGTTCCTACCATAAGGTACATTAGGGCTCCAACCGCTTGCCTATAAGGAAATTTTTCTTCTTCATTTTGATCTACCTTCCCTGGTTGGTTAGTTCCTTTGACAATTGGTGTAGACACAGCTTTACAGTTTTGCATTCCAAAGTGCTCTAAAATTTTCTTTATGTAAGCTGTCTGACTGACACGAATAGAACCATTTTTGTCAGTGTCAATTTCTAACCCCAAAAAATAGGAAGCTGCCTTCGCTGTAATTTTGAATTCTTTCTCCAAATTCATATAAAATTCCTTTTCCAAAATTTTATTACTGGTTGCCAGAAGTCCGTCATCAACATATAGACCTAAGAGAAGAATATCTGTCCCCTCTTTTTTGATAAACAAGCATGGATCGGCATCAGATTGCTTAAAATGTTGTTTTAGAAGGAAGTCTACGATTCTCTTATTCCAACATCTTGGTGCCTGCTTGAGTCCATAAAGGCTGCGTTGAAGGCGACATACTTTACTTGTACCATCTTGATATCCCTCCGGCTGTTTCATGTACACTTCTTCTAAGTGTCCATAGAGAAATGCGGTGGAGACATCAAACTGACTTAGGCTCATTTGTTCACTCGCAGCAATACTTAGAAGAGCTCTTATAGTCCCCGATTTAGCAACAGGACTGAATGTTTGATCGTAGTCTTCGCCGTATTTCTGAGAGAATCCTTTTATCACCAATCGGGCTTTGAATTTTTCGACAGAACCATTCGGGTTTGTTTTAATTTTGTAAACCCATTTACAGGGAATGGCTTTTTTTCCATGAGGCAGATTTTGCAGAACCCAAGTGCCATTTTCTGACAAGGAGCTTATCTCTTTGTCCATTGCATCTTTCCACTTATGACTAAAATCGCTTTGTATAGCTTCTTGAAAGTTTTGTGGTGGTTCTTTGTATTCTACAAATGTTGCATAGGCCTCCATTACAAAATTTTCAAACCTGGTTGGTGGTTTTATCTCTTCACGCTTCCTCAACTGTCTTTTTTCAATCAAAGGTCTTTGTTTTGAACTTTCTACGTCTATATCGTCTTCCTCTATTTCTTCGGTGCTTAATGTAATTGAGTTTTCATCGTTTTCGAAGCAACTTTCTAAGTTTGATTGTTCATCTTCAACACCTTCAATTTCTGTTTCTCTTCGGATCTTCGAGAATTCATTAAATCCGACTAAAGGTTGTTCTTCGAAGATGACATCTCTTGATCTTATGAGTTGCTTAGTTTCTTTACACCATACGCGATATCCATCATCGTTGTCATAGCCGAGCAATATGCCTTTTACAGCTTTCTTGTCCATTTTCTTACGACGTGGTTTTGGTATATGTGCATAGCAGGTACACCCTATAACTCTTAAGTGCTTCAGGTTCGGTTTCTTTTTCATCCAAACTTCAAAGGGAGATTCGTTACTTTTACTAGAGACACCTGATCTGTTTAGGATATATGCGGCAGTATTTATCATTTCAGCCCAAAGAAATTGTGGTATGTTATCTCTAGCGTGCATAAGAGCCCTTGCTGTCTCTACAACAGTGCGGTTTTCTCTTTCAGAACACCCATTTTGCTCAGGTGTATAGGGCATGACTAACCTTTGCTTGATTCCATTCTGCTGTAAGACATCTCGAACTTCTCTGCTGGTAAATTCACCTCCGTTATCGCAGAGCATTTCTTTGACTATGTGTCCTCGGACTTTGGCTTCAGCTAACATTATTTTTAGTTTGTCAACAACTTCAGATTTTTCTTTCATGAAGTAGATGTATCTAAATTTACTGAAGTCGTCTTTGAAAAGCACAAAATATCGATTTCCTGATTTCGATTCAATGAAAGGCCCACATACGTCGGAATGAACAAGTTCACCAGCTTCTTTTGCACGTTCTCGAGTACCAAATTTTAATCTATGTGCTTTTCCATAAATGCATCCTTCACATAATTCACTATCTAGTGGTACTTTTATATCTAATTCACGATCGATAAGAGATTTTACATGTCTCTTATTTTGGTGTCCAAATCTTTCATGATATAGCTGCAACAGGCTACCAGCCGACAACTCGTTTATTTCTTGATTTACAGGAGCTACGTTTTGAAGAGCTAATTTAAACAGTCCTCCGAATCGATTTCGAACACCTACTAATTTGACTGTTCCATCGATTAATAATTTGCAATCTTCTGTTCTTGAACGAAACTCGCTGTTGGGATGTTTGTCTTGTGCAGCTAATAGAGAAAAAAGGTTTTTCTTTATGCCAGGAACATACCAGACACTAGCTAGTTTAAGAAGTTCTGATTTGCCATATACAGTGGCTTTTACTATTATTGATCCTCTGCCAACTGCCTGTATTGCGTCACCATTGGCTGTGGTAACAGTATAACCAGAATCAAAGTGTTCAAATGTTTGAAAGATATCATATCTACTGGTGATGTGATTTGTAGCACCATTATCTACAAACCAGTTGTCTGGATCATTTTCTATACTTAAAACTTCAGAACTAAGTGCTACTAGTGTTAAATTTATGTCCTTGTCTTGATCCCTTCTATTGCTATTGTTTGTCTGGGGCTTTGGAGGACGTCCGTCGGCCTTCCATTTGGTACATTGACGAACTCTATGACCAGCTTGCTTGCAATAGTGGCAAATCAGATTCTTCTTAGGCTTAAACTTTTTGTTGACTTTACTTCTTTCTATAGCTAGAACTTCTTCGGTTTTGCTATCGCTTCTGTTACATAATGCTTTTTCGTAGGCGCATAACTGATTTGTGAGATTGTCTACAGATCTCTCGGATTTCGCCATCAGTAGCCAGCTAGACTTAAAGGAGAAATATTCTTCAGGTAATGTACCAAGTATTTTGCAAATAAGTAACAATTCGGGTAAATCACATGTACACTGATTCTGTAGCGTTAATTTATCTTTAGCGATCTCTTGTTGAAGTTCATTCCAAAGGTTTTTTAACTTAGATGTGTGAGTAGCTATATCATCGCTCTGTTGTCTTTTATAACTGAAGAATTCTGTACACAAATCGTAAGTTTTGTCTTCTGTTTTACCGTCGAACAACCTATGCAGCTCTAACCACACTTCTCGTGCTGTATTAAACCTCATAATTTTTTGAAGAGTATCTTCTGTCATATTTGTTGTAAGTACTAGGAGTGTGTTGGTTTCTGCTTTGGTAAAATACGCCAACTGTGTATCATAGTTTTTACGGTGATCTTCAGTAGCCTGAGCAGGTAAAGGTGCTGGTTTTACTAGCTTGCCTTCTATTACATCAGTTGCACCTGGTATTCCACGTAGCAAAATATACAACTTATATTTCCATGTACTCCAGTTTGTTTTTCCTTCTAGCAAACCAATCTGAACTTTAGTTACTTCCATAATTGTTCTTTTTAAAAGAAACTACTTGCGCCGGAACAAATATTACTTATTGTAACGTTAGGTACAGATTTAAACAATACGGTAAGCCTGGGCCCATAACCTATTGATGTTTTCCAGTGGATACTGTTATTTTATCTACTATTTCGGAAAAAGAAAACTTGAATGACTTTTCGTAATACTTTTTAATCAAAAAAATTATTATCAATCAATAAGTTAAAAAACCTTAACTACCAGAACAAAAGCAAAATACAAATCAAAGTAATAGTCTGTAGATAATAAGGGTATGTAAATGTAGATACATCAACAGTAGGTACTTATTATTTTTCATTGGTTTTTTTCCCGTACGTTAAGTATATAATAAAAATGTTTTTATTTGTTTTTATTCTTTTACTTTCTAATTTGGGTAGAAAAAAGTTTATTTTTCGTTTCTTATATACTTGTTTTTTTATTTACTACACTGCAAATTATAATTATTTCCCCCTGTATTAAAATCTACTGTTCAAATCTACGGTTTTTTTTTACCCATACTGTTCCAAAATCTGGCAACGCTGCCTAAATCGAAAGAAATTTCCATCCTAATCACCCTCAAAATGAACCGATGCTCGAGGACAGTGACCCCGAGTGCGACATGCAGCAAACCTTTGCCCCGAGGCAGATTCAGAAGTGTCTCCAGGAAGTGTCGTCTTGACGACACTTCTCGTGTCGCGCCATGCGAAATGTGTTTCATATAATTGTATGTATTTTAGATGTGAAGCGACACTTCTCGGTCGCGCCGGCGGTCGTCTGTCGCGCCTACCGAAATGGTACCTTTACTTGAACATTTTGCTGCACAAAACAAAAGTTGGACATATTATGGTTAGCTATAAAAAACGAATTTGGCCAAAATGTTTTTCCTAAAAAAATATAAAACTTTTGTCTGAAACGTTTTTTTATAATAGTCCAGGATCCGTAAGTAAGGTCGACCTTCGCCCCTCTGTTTAATGGATAAAAGTTTTTTTTTATTAGATAAAATATAATAATAATAATAATATTAATAATAATAATAATAATATTAATAATAATAATAATAATAATAATAATAATAATAATAATAACAATAATAATAATAAAAAACGAGTTGCAGTACTTAAAAGGCAATAGATAGGATAAGTAGCTAGGTAGAACAAAGATAGATGGATAGCAAAAATAACCTAGACAGACGAAATGTAGTGTAAAAACTAGTTTCAAGTACCTTAAAAATATAGTACCTTCATCAAAAGTAGATAACAACTAAATATTACCGATATATCGAATTTTTCGCCGATGTGCCATAGGTGTAACATTTGTTGATCAGTTTGCGGCTGCCCTTGTTCTATACTATTCCATTCGAGGGCTGGATTTTCACTTACACTCTTGAAAGTCGATCTAGTGCTTAAGTCATCACTAAAAATGGCGTGGGCATCATCCCATATGCTTGTACAGATAGAGATTCCTAGAATATTAAGCTCATATTGTCTGTCTTCAACATCGCTTCCTAAAAAAAAAGAGTTCTATTTGGAAACCATAGTTTTAGAATAAAGTACCGTAAATAGGAGGATTTGTGAATTTTAACTGATTAATAAGAAAAGCTAAATATAATTTTCCTGTAAACGTCCCACTTTTCATTCTACAGGGTGATAAAGTAAATTTCTTAAATACATAATTTTCTAAATATCTTCCCTTATGGTAAAGATTTTAACTTAAAAAATGTAAATGTTAATCGCTATTATTACTTAACACGCTCTAATTTGATAAATTAGGATAATCCATTGGCATAGAATCAAGGACTAAGAACCCAAACTTTTAGAACACCCTATATTTCATAAAAGTTAAGAGTAATTAATATTTATGCCTCATGTAATTTGTCATTCCTTTTCCGATTTTTATCAGTTTTAGTCCTACTCAAACATGAAATCTATGTCTGATTTCATAATGAATATTAAAAAGTCCATAACTAATGGGACCAAGATATTATGGACTCAAAGGCACCATTAGTTAATGGATTTTTTAATATTGATTATGAAATTGGTCCTAATAAAAATTAGCTTCTATGGAATTTCATAATGTACATAAATATCATGTTTGAGTAGGACTAAAACTGAAAAATCTCGGAATTGGAATGTTCAGTTTATTGAGTGAAGTAACAAAAAATTACATCAAGAACGTACCAGGTCTTCAACAATAGAGCATGGTGGAAAAATACAGGTGAAGCGGTAAGCGGTACAAAATTCGGTCAGTCTTGCGCATGACGTCACTTTCGAAGCAGATTTTTATTATGCCTATGCGCTAGTTCAGTGTGGTGTCATTTTGGTTCCACTGACATTTAATTCTAACCAAACTTTTAACAAAAACATCAATAAATTTGACATATACGTTTTTACTGTTTTTAGTTTATTTCTAAATATTTTTTACAGGTCATAAAAAATAGTTTAAAGGTATGTAATTGGTAACTAAACGATTGTATATTTGACGCATGTTATCTACTTACTTTAGGAATATATTTATAAAAGTGAAAAAACGATATAATTTAGGTAAACAAAACGAACAAATCGCACTCAAAAAATCTACTATCACTTTAATTGTCAGTGGAACCATAATTACATCATCACTGAACTAGCGCAATTGCACTAGGTGTAAGTTTTCTGCACTAATCGCATTTGAGTTGTTCAGTGTAGCTTCAAATGTTTGACTGCAGCACACCGTATAGCATATATTTTTGACGAGTATGACAGTTCGAATACAGTGTTGAGTGTGACACTAGTGCAACAAATAAAATACACTATATGTCTTCAATGTGAAAAAGCGAGTTTTTAAGTTATTTCAGTATTTTCTTGATAGTGCTTAGAACTTTATAGTTGTATTTGTCTTAAAATTTGATATTATTTTTATATATCAAGATGTCTTTTTAGTAATTATTGGTACGTATTATTCAATTAATTTCTAATTAAATTGATAGTGTAATTGATATAAAGTTAGGTTGTCCTATTTTTGCTGTATTATTAGATAAAAAAAAATAGTTTCTAATTATATTATTTTTACCTGGTGATGTCCATAAAAGATTAGGTTCTAGACGTTTTGACTATCATATTGTTCTCAATAAATCAGATAGCGATGCCTAGGTATGATGATTTAAATCCTAGACGTATCTAGTATACTCTTCATGTTTTGTGTCGGAAGAATTCAGTTTCAGATGAACACTATCTTGTTTATCCTCAAGAAAAATGCATATCAACTAATTAACTTAAATATATTATGCTAAATTGGAAATAAATTCTCGTTTTTGTATAAAAAAGCGCACAAAATATATTTTAATTAGAATTTCTTTCCACAAGGGTCCAATACCCAGACAACACACCAAATCGCAGAGATATCCACAGAATATCTTTTGTGGATATCCAATATATCCACAGGATATCAGAAATATTCCGTGGATCTAAATATGGATATCCAAATGTCCGTCTATATCCAGAATATAGAAGATATCCTATGGATATTCAGCAAAATAGCTAATGAGTATCTTCCAGACAATACAAGAAATCCCAGAGATATCCACAGAATATATTTTGTGGATATCCAATATGGATATAGAATTCAGATATTCAGCAAAATATTTTATAGGTATCTTTAGTAGAGGTTCATAAGTAACCAATGATTATTGAATAACCTCGAAAGAAAATAGAGATAAAAAATATTTCCAACAATCTGCCTTTGATTTTGCCCACTATAAGGGCATTAAGGAGAAAGTCATCCTTATTAGGACTCTTTAGCAATAAATGGAAATTCTCGACTCCAATCTCTAATAGAGTGTGATTGCCAAAAAAATTCGATCGAACTCATTTACGGCGGGTTGAGCATGAGTAGATACGAAAGTGGTATCGCCATCTATACTTAGGAAGCAAAATCAAAAATTACATCTAGTAGATATCCACGATGGTTTGCGTCCGCGCTTAGACTTTGATATATTTATATTTATAGTGGATGTCCATGGGATATAGAATACACCTTAAAAAAATTAATTTTAAATATCTGAACGGTACTATTAGCCACAATGGCGAGCACAATGGCGTAATTTTTTAATAATTTGCTATATAATTACTATTATTTATGGACATTTGCATGTCTATAAATTACATTTCATGGATATAAAATAGATATCCACCATGGACTGGACATTCAGTGGATATTGGTATGTTCATTAGATATCCAAAGGATTTGGTGTGCTGTCTGGGTATCTGCCTATAATGAGTTTTCTTTGAATTTTCTTGTATTATTGAGCATTACTTGATGTGATTTATCAGTTGTTATTTTCATCTAAATATATATTTTCAGTTTTACAATGATTATAGAACTAGGAAATAAAAGAATAACATCTTGACCACATCTTGACAATCATTAAAAAATGTAAACAAAGCCAGTGCAGTTTGTAGGCGCCCTGACAATACCGATGTTGACGTCATAAAACCTGCGCACCGCTTCACCTATATTCTTAAAGGTCAGTCACTATGCGCTGGTTCAGTGTGATGTCATTTTGGTTCCACTGACATTTAATTCTAACCAAACTTTTAACAAAAACATCAATAAATTTGACATATACGTTTTTACTGTTTTTAGTTTATTTCTAAATATTGTTTACATGTCATAAAAAATAGTTTAACGGTATGTAATTGGTAACTAAACGATTGTATATTTGATGCATGTTATCTACTTACTTTAGGAATATATTTATAAAAGTGAAAAAACGATTTAATTTAGGTAAACAAAACGAATAAAACGCACTCATAAAATCTACTGTCAGTTTAATTGTCAGTGGAACCATAATTACATCATCACTGAACTAGCGCATTAGTGCCGCTCTTATTTTGACATCTGAGCATGCGCAGATCACTTATATTGTAGAAATGACTTTAATTATGATTGTGCCTATCCTTAATTAAGGATGCTTAAGGACAGCAGTTAGTGGCGACCTTATAGTTTTCGGGTGCACTCGCCAACATTCGTATCAGTACGAAGTTTTTTAATATTAAATATTTATATCATCGTCATCTAAACTTTCTAAAATGGTAATTTCTAATGTCTCTTCCATATTATGTACTATTATAAACAACAAAAAAGATGTACTGTAATTTAAATTTTTTTAAATAAGGTTACATATATGTATAAGGACAAAATGTCAAAATTTCAGGTTTGCAATAAGTCTTATTTTAGCATGGAATTTATTTGCCTCTAATTACGTTGTCACTATTAGTGGCTGACGTTATAGACATTTGAAAAAACTCTCTAATACCCGAAACCCACGTGATCTGATAACCATCAAAACCCATCGAAAGGGCCTGATTTAACATAAAAGGAACTAAACTGAACTGTCAGTCCTGTCAGAAATGTTATTAGGCATTCCAACGACCTGTCAAACAATAAGTGCCAGTGGGAAATTCTTGTATATCTAAGGGGGTAGCGACATAGTCTTGCAACTTGGACGCTATTTTTATTCAAAGTAGTAGTCCCCAAGCCTGCCAATTTATGAAGAAATGTATAGGCGGGTTTTTTAAATATTATTTTTATTGTGTTTGACCAAAAATATTTAAATATAATCCATTATTCATGATTTTACGTAAAGTAGATAGAATACACCATATGTCGCCACCCTTAGATATACCAAACCTGCCCACTGGTAATTCATTTGTTTGGAATGCCTAATTGGCGTTCATTTGGGGACTGACAATGCGCTAGTTCAGTATGATGTCATTTTGGTTCCACTGACATTTAATTCTAACCAAACTTTTAACAAAAACATCAATAAATTTGACATATACGTTTTTACAGTTTTCAGTTTATTTGTAAATATTGCTTACAGGTCATAAAAAATAGTTTAAAGGTATGTAATTGATAACTCAACGATTGTATATTTTATGCATGTTATCTACTTACTTTAGGAATATATTTATAAAAGGGAAAAAATGATATAATTAAGGTAAACAAAACGAACAAAACGCACTCAAAAAATCTACTGTCACTTTAATTGTCAGTGGAACCATAATTACATCATCACTGAACTAGCGCATATTTATATTATATTTGTTTACATTTTATAAACACCTTTATTCCGTTTTTCATTTAATATTAATAAAGCAATTAGTTATTTTTAGAGATTATTGGTGGCTTAATTCTTTTTGTTGGTAAGTACAAATTTATTTACTGTAACTCGTAAAAGTTAATGACTGTATATAATTTATTTCAGGTAATGTTACACAGGAATAAAATTATTTTATATTCGTAATTGTATTCGAAAATTTGTGGAACGTTTTCCAGGGTGAATAAATGGAATGTGATTCTTATATGTCGTCATAAACAAATACTTGTTCAAAATAAAAAAAAAGGAAAAAGCTCTAAAAGGCCCACAGTAATAACAAAAGCTGCTGAAGATGTGCAAGTTAACATGGTGCAAATTCCCAATAAATTAGTAAAAAAAAAAACAGCACCTCAAACAGGTATAAACGGTGTTTCAAAGACTGACGAGTGAAATTCAAAACATTTTTTTTTAGGTTTGTCGCTACGAACTAGCCATGAAGTATTGAAAACATTTCTAATAATGCATCCCCTATAAAGTTTCGGTATTGCACCTTAATTTTGTTAAACCTACCTATGGCATATTACAGATCGCTCAATTCAAAATCGTTTGTGTGACGTTTATGAACTGGAGCACCTATATTAAATGAAATACAAAATATAACTGAGGAGAAACTGCATAATGTGTTTAAAAAGAAAAAGAAAGCTGGTTTTATAGATTTTGAACAGATAGATAGGTACTGTGAATTAGTATCGTTTGTGCACCACCAATTACTACTCAATGTCCTTTTAAATAAAATAGTTGTTAATAGGTATGCCTTTATAATTTAAAGTGAGAGCTGTAAGGTAAAACTAATATGTGCTTGTTTCATTAATAATATTAATATTTTTTGTATACATATAAGTAACATAATGTATCTTATATATGGTTTAAACCCTGTAACAAATAAATAATAGAACAAACTTAAAAAATATTTGTTTATTACTTCCCATTGCCCACGTACAATTCCAGTAAGTTTTAAATTTGTTTACTTAGACTGCAATAATTACCAAATACTGCCATTGTATTCACCCTATCGTATTTAAAGTTTCAGCTGTAGCTAAATATCTTAGAGTCAATCTAAAGTAAATAATTTTTAATTTTATTCATATTTTAATGCATAACATTTTTTGTCCATAACTTTCTTGTGCCCTGTTCTGGTAAAGGTTTTTTTTTGTAATAGTGGCAATAACTAGTACGAACCATATTTCAGTTTATTATTCTTTTCGTTAAATACGAACTAGATATAAATAAATAAATAGCTCAGTTTTTAAGGTTATGTTATATATCATAATTTTAAAGGTTAGATTATTGCATTTGACTAAATCTAATTAAAATATCGAATTCTAACATTAAAATACAATAATGTAAATTATTTTATAATCGTAATATTAATATTATGATTGTGTGTTGTAATTCTAACAGTTACCTAACAGAATTTTGTTCTCGTAGTTGCAGACCATAAAAAAAGAAGAAAATCTATTTTGTAATAAAATACCTACGGCACTGACTCACTTCTAGGGATTTTTACTTTTATTTTCACCAATCACTGTCATGACAATTTGGTCACGTGGGTTTTCGGTATTGCTTAAAGACCCAGTATAAGAATTAGATATTTTTTAGTTAGGGGGGGATTAAAAATATAATAAAAATCAATGATCAACAAACTTTAGTCTATAGCAAACAGGGTAAAAAAGAATAATTTTCTGACTACCCTAGTACTACAGAAACTGAATGGCATATATTTAACTGGTTTGCAATAAAATAAAGTGGCAAAAATGTCTAGAAAAATTTAGGATTGTTCTACCTTTATTCTTTCTTTAAGATCAGCTAACTTTACTCTTTCTATAAGAACAGTTATTTCTAATATAAAAAATATATATCTGACGTGTCCAAAACGCGACTCTCCAGTAAAGTTATCAAATATATTGAGTATGCCACATCTAATCAATAAGTGTATTATTGAAGATAAAAATTTTCTACAAATATTTTATTCAAAATATTTTTCATATCTACATTGTCAACGAAAATATTGAAAAAAAAATTGAATTTTACACTTTCCCTCAATTTTCTACAGTCTATTTTAGAGAAATCATGTATGGAACAAAAATTATAAAAATAGCAGAAATATACACTAAAGTAGAGTATAATATATCCCCAGATGATCCGACAATGCCCAAAATGTAATCAACTTAGCGCAGAATGGATTAAAGATTGTTTAAAATTGTGTGATTCCTATACTTTCATTAGTGGTCTCTGGAAAGTAAAAACTAAAATTCCAATTATTCTATAACTTATAATTTACCTGGAATATTCAAAATTCTAGAATGTGCAGCTTGTTCATAAATGTCAGGCCTCAATGGCGTCCTGCAAATTGGATTAACAGCGGAAGGAGTTAAACTAATTCTACTAATTTGAAAAACGATCGCGTCCTGTAGATAAAGACTGTCAACTAGATCAACTGAAGGAATTATCATCCTGATATCCTGACATTCCAAATATGCCAGCGGCATATTTTGATTATTCAAAGTCATGAAAGAAGAGGCATCATTTGATGTTTTCGGTCCTGATTTGTTGACTGGAATTTGAATAAATGGCACCAAAACTTGATAGAAACTTCGTAGAGTATTCAGCGATATTACAAAATCTAAAAATGTAAAAAAAAAGAAATGCTATAGTATAGAAGAAGTAATCAAATTATTATAACATCTTCAATCAAGTGTTAAAATTCGTTCCTATCTACGTCAATGATAAAACTATTAAAGGAAATTAAAAAATATATGCATTTAACAAATTAATAATATCGAATTTTTATTATTCATTAATAATATTTTCTAGTAATTTATTTGTTACGATGGTATAAATTAAAATATAATAGATATCTTGAATTATAAGTTCTTCTGTCTTCTTCTTTTGAGCCATATTGCTCCCTCATATTCGCAGGCAAGAAGGGCTACTAAAAGAGCAACAATTCACAACTACCGATCCATGCAAATACTACTTTTAGCGTATTTTCGAAAATCTTAATAAATTACAAAATTGCGAATTAATAAAGTATACTGATTTTATAACATGAAACATTACAAGATAAATTTCACTTGATGGAAGATACTAGAATTATTGATCAAATTGCAACTAACCTATCGGTTGTATATTAATAACAATCTCTGTGATATATCTCGATTGAGACAACAACTGGGGATTCACAGCGGTGTTTCGTTTCGGTTCTGTATTGTACCTCTTCTGGACCGCACCCCACAAAGTGTGGGTATGTTGACAACTAGCTCGCGTTATAGTTACACTTATAAAACCACTATCTTCATGTCGTTCGCTAGTAACGACGTCTTCTCTGAGTCTCATGACTATACCAGAAAATGCACCTGGATTCCAATTTGAATTTGGTGTTGATCTACGAAAGATGATTGAACTTTAGGCGATTTTACACAAGTTTTGTCAGCTAAATCCGTTGCAAAGATATTTCCTGATGCCCCTCATTTGAAACTGCTGTTTGAAACGTAATTAATTTTATGTTTATTTTATTAACAGATCTTATAACTTTATGAAAAAAAGAATGAGAGCTAATTATTAGTTCTACAGAATTGTTGGATTTATTACTATGTTGTTGTTCTAAAGGATACATAAAATTCAATTCGAAATAACCAGGAGGGATTATAAATAAAACTTAAAGAGGGAGGTAAAAGATGTGTATTTCATTCTTCCAGTTGAGAGTGGGCCGTATAGGCTTTCCTAGCCTCTTCAGCCGCACTGAAGGAATCAGAGATCGGGTCTGAGGCGATGGGGTGGAAAGAATGGTGGTAGATATCAGAGAGGATGTTACTGATTCATCATTTGTCTATTACTATGAGAAAACTTCTGAAAAACTCATAGCAGGTCAGGCGGCAGTGGGGCTCGAACCCACGACCTTTTTCCGAATGCTAGGGAGATGGGTTATCACAGAGCCACCTCGCTTGATTAAACTTGAAGCTGCTTGAAGATCTTTTTTGGTTTCTTTTATACCGTAGTCCCGAAAATTTGAAAACTGCAGTCAAACAAGGAAAGGGAAATAATTGAGGCCCTTGATGAGTCACTTCTTTAAAATTTTACAGGAAAAGCGAAAAATAAAATAAAAAAAATATTGTTTTTTCTATTTTCTTTTTATACAGAACATCTTGTATTTGCATAAAAATAAGACCTAAGCCAATTTCCTATTTTCATACAACAAACCAAAAATAAAAATTTAAGAAAAAACATGATGCTAAAAATGGCACGTCGTGTTTTTGCTTGCTATTTGCAGCTGTAGAGCATGAATCAACATGCCCGTGCCAGGACAGATCTGGACAAGTACATTTGATACTTTTGTGGACATCTCTTAATTTTTCAAATAATGATCCCTATTAATACCAAACAGATATCGAATAATGAAAATAGATTTTTTGGTTTACTGAAATATAGAGTGGTCCTCCAGTAATGCCTCGGTCTGTAGAGCCAAGACTATTTGATTTTTAAATCTGATTTCACAACGAGATGTACAACATAAAAGGCAACAATAATTGATCACCCTGTATTTTATATTAGACATAAATGTATCAGAAATTTTGAATCTAAAATTTTATTGAAAGAACTGGAGTAATAAACATGGGATTTTTTTTTATTAATTTTTTTTTAAATTATTCAAACTAATAAATATCAAATATTTATTAGACCAGTCCTTTCAATAAAATTTTAGATTCAAAATTTCTGATATATCATTTATCTCTAATTCACAAACAAATGACAGTCCAAAGTAGTGATTGGTCGCTTTGAAAAGTCCATGGACAAGTCCGACGGAGTAGTCTGAGTCCAAACACACTTTACAAAAGTGGAAAAGTGTATTGCACATGCGCGAAATTAAATTAACTAATTCGTCTGAATTACTTACAAACAAAGGCAAAATTTAGTTTAAAAAAGAAGAAACGACAAATGTTTATTGGCTTTTATAATGTGTTAACGATGTTTTTGAATTTTCGTTTCATATCTTATTAAGATACATAAACTCGTGCAAAAATTACCAAAAAATCCAAAGGTTGGAAGTATTTTACAAATGATTTGCTTAAAAAATCCAAAATACAAATGCAAAAATTGTTACCAAAGCGTTAAAAAACACATCCAGGATGGAGCTTTAACTGTGTGTATTTTATGCTCAAGGTCGACTACTTTTCATTGTAACTTTTCATTACTTTTCACTGCCTTTCCGGACATGTTCGTCGGAATGGTCCAAAAATTACTTTTCATGAAAAGTCCCATCTCTAGTCCAAAGTAATACTTATAGTCTACAAGTATTACATTAATGGGAAATTAAAAAATGAAGAGAAAAATGCTCTAGTTAAAAAAAAATCGATGATGCAGTTAAAAATAAAAATTGACCTGTGAAAGTTTATTAAAACGCATAAGAAATGAGAAGTTACTTACCTTTTGTAATGCATAATCGACACAGATCCTATTTTACTTTTAATCTTCAGATAAACACTTTGAAAGTCCAAAGAACTCACAATATCTTCAGCATCAACTACAAGTTTCAATCTAGGCTGCAATGATTCAGTGTCATCTCTTAAACTATTCTTGTTTGATAGCAAGTCTAAGGTAAATCGAGTAATAGTCCATTGCACCCAAGCTGTCAATTTTATATTATCATCAACCACGTTTTCTTTACTTAACAAATTGACAGGTGGCGTATGTTCACTGATAGAATCTATTGATTTTTCTCTTATAACATGTTCAGGACCTGACATGTTAGAATTATGTTTGGCTATCATAGGAACAACTTCCGGTGTTTTAAGTGATTCACTAGTCTGCTCTGGCGCTATATTTTTAGCGACCTCCATTAATCCATATAAAATACTAGCAAATAAGTAAACTTGTACTTCTGAAGTAGATATAAGAATCGGAGTCATATCTATATGAATATAAATTCCTAAAGAGCCTATATCAGATTTATTCGGGTCAACTGAAGTATCACTATTAGGTTTAGTTGAAAGCCCTACAGTGGCGCTTAATGAAACTGGCTTTAAGAAAATCAACTTATTCCCGAACTGGATAGTATAGCAACTCAATTCGGATATCGATATGGTCCAGGGAAAACTAGATTTATCTGGAGACCATATTGCGCTGGGTAATGTGACAGGAAGATTTTTTAGGTATTTTTTTATACTGTGTCGGTGCGCGCTACGAATATTTGAGAAGGGCAGAACTATGATCATGATGTCCGGGGGGTGTTCCTTATTCACAGCTGATTCTACCGCTTCCTGGATACCTAAAAATAATAATTTGACTTCAAATACTATTACTACTGTGAAAAACATACATTTTTGTATATACCTTGTGAACCAATTGCAGATAGTGACACTAGAGGAAAGTAGATAGTGCACTGAGATACATCCCCGCAAATAAACATGCCTTTCCAAACATGAAACCATTTCTTCAACAAATTATAGATCTTCTCTTGTAAATCGACAGTTTCCTGTCTTGTTGCTTCGACTTTTCGAGGAATATTTTGGGGATCTCGATCAGAACTACTATGTACCGATTCTAGTTGGCTACTTAATTTGCGTTGTGTTTCTGAGAGACTTCCACTGGCATCTGATATAGTCTTTGCCGCGTTGTCTGCAAGAAAAACAAATTATCGTAAACAAAAAAAGAATACACTTACATCTTAATTCATTTATAATCTTTAAATTTACCAACATGTCAAATCTTAAAGATAGAAATATAATTATGATGAATATCCAATAGATTTGTAAAATATATTAAATAAGAAAAAAGTATTAATCGGCTTTAAATATGTACATGATGTTGCCTTTTCCAATTTAAAATTACAGTTAAATTTATTTTGTAAAGTTTATTTATTATTTTTGAATATAGTTGTTTTAATTTATACCCAGTCCTGCTCTAATCCATTAAATCCCTCTCTGCCGTATTTGAGTATTTTACATCTTCCATTTTTTAAACATACTGGCTAACCGACCGCCGGCAGTGCTTGCATTTGCTGAAAAGAAAACCGTCTTCCGACGGCATGGTCTTCTTCATACAGGAAAGCCGCCGCAAATCTACACTGATTTGTTGATCAGGGCGGCATGCTATCAGTGAATTGAAAAATGCCGCCGGACGACGGTCTACTGTATTTAAAACATTGAATGCCGGTGGTAAGAAAAATACTTGTAAAATCGTCTACATTTTTGTGGCAAATGATTATATGTCGTACGCGTTTTATTTGTACATCGGTCTCCTTTTGACAGAGTAGATGAGCTGTGTCCAGGCCGTTGGTGTTTATGCCGGTCGGCGTAGCCAGGTATGGATTGAAGTCGTTACTTCGTCTTCTTGTTGCCACGGTATTATTATTATTATTTGTTCATGTATGTGAAATTTGCTTCTAAGATTTATAAAATACTACTGCTAGTCACGGCGTAAATGAAAACAAACAAAACGCATTCACACAAACACCTCCCACCACAGCAATTACAAATGATTAGTGTTGTCCCCGATACGCCAGTTTTTTCCGGCGGCATTTAATGTTTCAAATACAGTAAAACATCTTTACGTCAGAAGTTGGAGCTTTAACAGGAACAGAACTTACAGTTGCTTCCAATTTCGTCTTTCACTCCACCTCATAGCAATTTATTTTATCATTCTTGGCCTCTTTCGTTTTTTCCACAACTTGCCTTTCTATTTTCTTTAATTTCTTTTCCATCTTTTATTTTCTCCTCCATAGAAGAAATAAGTATCAGAAGAAACTGTATTTTTCAAATAGATATCAGAAGAAATTTAATGTCTTCTAGAAAACATTTTACTTTCCAAATCAGAAGAATTTTCGTTTTTTTTTTACAGAAGTCATGTCAGTTGACATACACGTAATTTTTAAAAGGAAAAAAATATTAGAAGAAACTTTATTTTCTAAGGAAGAAATATCAACAGAAACGTTATTCTCTAAGGAAGAAATATCAGCTGTAACTTTATTTTCTAAGAAAAAAATTGAAGTCATCCAAAAATAGAAACTTTTCCGGATCCAAACCATCGCTTTAAATCGCTCTGCCAACTTTGGTTTCTTTCCTGTCATTTTCAGTTCACAATATTCTAGTTCCCAAGGCAACTCCGTCACTCTTAAGTCACTCTTTTTTTTAGACATTATCACCTACTATTTATTGACAGTATCCCCCTTCTGACACCAATGTAACGTTTATTTATTTAAACGATTTTTGTTTGTTTTCAAAAAGTATGTAAGCTTGAAATCTGGAAATATATGAACGACATCGTGTCAAGGTGTTCTATTTAATGAAAACATTGTCAATTTCAAATAAGTAGGTTCTTAACATTATACCGGGTGTTCAAATTTAAGTGTTACAGTTAAATACTGCCTTTTATAAAAAAACGTTTCAGACGAAAGTTTTATAGTTTTTTAGGGAAAAAATTTTGGCAAAATCTTTTTTCATAGCTAACCATAATATGGCCAACTTTTTTTTCGCGCAGCAAAATTTTCAAGCGGTGTTACTCAATAAGTAAAAGCCCAATAAAAAAAAATGTTTCCTTTAAAAATTACTTATTATTTTATGAACTTTAAGAATATGTAAAAAAAAATGGGTTCCAATTTGAAAAAAAAAGTTTACCTCGATATGGTCAGCTATAAAAAAATGAATTTAGCCAAAATGTTTCCCCCAAAAACTATAAAACTTTTGTCTGAAACTTTTTTTTATAAAATGTATATTTTCGGCGTTATTTAACTGTAACACTTTAATTTGAACACCCGGTATAGTGCTGGCAAAATCAAATCTTTGGGTATGCTTTGTCTGTGTTGGAGTGAATAATAAATCACACTTGAACACAAGAAAAAACTTATACATTATCAATGTTGCAATTTACAACTGGAGTGACGGGTTGGTAGCGAATACTGACCAGTAAATGACGACCACGTCATTAACTATGTTTAAGCCATTTACTATTCGCTCTGACACAAGCAAAGAGGGACTGAAGGTTTGATCTTGCCAACACTTTATATGAAACATTAGCAACAAAATTTTATTTATTTTCAATTAATAGTGCAAATTTACCTGTAGTGATTTTAGTGCGATATTGTTTCGGACTGTACAGCAACCATCGACACAGCATTGGATCTATACAAATTCTAATTTCTTGAATATTGAACAACAAAATTGGTGGATGATTTTGACTTTCAGGAGTAAGGGGAAATTGAAGTGTAGCAGTAAAAAGTGGTTCATTAGGATCTTTTAGTATTGGTCTAAAAAAATAGATTAAAAACTTAAAATCTATATTAGGTCTATAAGATATTCAGAAATATTTCAATGTCACTAGTAGAAACACACAAAATAAACAGTGACTTTGTGTTTAACTTACGAGTTTTCCGTTTTCCCTGATTTCGTTAAATCTGATGGTTTGGGATCTGGACCAGAGATAAACAAAATTTGTTGAATATCATTCGGTAGATTTGTGCCTGATTTTTGTTTAATAGGTTCAAATATGAATCCTTTGATAGAACCTAAACTCATGTCAATAGACATGGTTGTTTTCGTTTTTACACTTTTAAAGCGAATCATCTCAATACAAAGTTCCATAAATGCCAAATCTAAAAATATTACAAAAACCAACTATTATTGTAAAGAGTGAAATTGAAACAAGCTAATAATATCTATTTATCAAGCAAATTCGGATGTCTGTATAATACATGACAAAAGTTACTCACTATTATCCTTTGAAGCATCAGACAAAATTGAAGAACAATTTATGATCTTGACAGCTCCTTCTGCGTCCATTTTCAGCATTTTATCCAAAATTAAAGACACAACCATCATTTTAGCATTAGTCCCATTCAAAGTAATAGTCTCAGATTCAAAAGTCTGCTCCGTATGGGAAATATCCGGATGAATCCAAAATTCTGGCTTTGCAATGCTCTTAGTGGTGAAAGACAAACTAGATGGTGTTATTATTGTGGTATGTTCTTGTGCATTGAGAATCAACCGGCTGGACAGTCCCACTACTTTAATATTTTGGCGAGCGAAACATGCATCGAATAGTTTCGCCGGTGGATCTGGCAGTTGACAAGTAGTGTGTACTAAACGGTTAACATACATTGGCGAAGTAGAGCTTATATCGAGAAATTGGCATTCCACCGTGAGTTTCGGCAATGGAGATAATTTTGACCTCTGAGATGGCTTCGATAATACAATTTTCTAAAAACAAACAGAAATAAAAGAAAATTATACGCTATGACATTTCGGAAGAACTACATTCAGTAGTGGCCATGGAGCAAATATTTTTAGCATTTTTTGAGTATTTATTATAAAAGTAAAGTAACAAAAACTACAGGAAAAAACTTATTTACATTATCAAAAAGGAGGCCAGATTTGGATCAAAAAGATATAATTATTAAGTATGGAGATTTTCAATAATGAATATAATAAAAATCAAACTATAGTCTATAGTAAATATTTTGAGAAAATACATTTACATTTGTCAATTGCATTCTAAAAATGAGTACAATTGAAAAATACCAAAGAAAGTTCAGTTGTTTATGTTTATTTATTTATTATTTATTTTATTATTACATTACTCAACAGGTCAAGACCCAATTACAGAGTAAGAGTACAAGAATATATAAATACAATTAATTTAGAAATAATATACTAATTGATTGAACAGCAGGTGAGAAAAAAAGCTAAGAGAATTATTTTCTAGCATTTCATGAATATATGCAAAACTAAAGATTTCAGACAACATTATTATAGAAATAACACCTAATAATATGAATTGAACTATAAAACAAATCAAGCTGGCAACTTATTGATTCATAATTATTACACATGGTGTACATAGGGGATTATAAGAGAACATTTGTTCTGGCTGTATTCAAGTAAAATGTACGGGTGTTCCTGGAAGCTATTCGAGGAACTGCAAAATTAAGACTATGAATCAAATATGTATTGTATTGCATCAAGACTCCGAAACTTATGTCTAAGTAGCAGATCATGATGAGGTGTACCTATAGGGGGATAAACTCCATCTTGTTTAAAACTAAAAGTTTAAATAATCTCCGTTGGACTGCCTCAATTCTATCAATATGTAACTGATAGGGCTCCACACAACTGAGGCATATTCAAGTTTAGATCTGACAAATGAATAATACAATAATTTTAGTGTGTTCAGTTCCTTAAAGTCACGACTGTAACGAACGATAAATCCATACATTTTGTACGATGCTAATACTATTGATTCTATATAGTTGTTCATTGATAAAGTGGGATCAAATGTAATTCCAAGATCTGTGATGGTAACCGGTCTTTGAAGAATCGTATTGTTAACGCTATAGTTAAAAGTTAAAGGGAATTGATTCAAGGTATAAGACATTACAAAACACTTAGAGGAGTTAAGAGGAAGGTTTTTATTGAGACACCAATCCTTAACACGTCGCAGATTATCTGAAAGCCTTTCACAGTCCTCAAACGTTTCGACACGACAGAACAACTTTAAATCATCGGCGTATAGAAGAAAATTTATATCTGTATCTAAAATATTGCTTATATCATTTACAAATATGTTAAAAAACAAAGGACCTAAATTAGAACCTTGCGGAACACCGGAAGTTGCCAAATATTGAGTCGGCTTGAAACCGTTGATCTGAACATATTGCTTTCTGTCGGAAAAGTAAGACATAAATAAATTTAACAGTGATTGTGAAAAACCACAGCATGAAAGTTTATTTAACATGATACCATGATCAAGCCGATCGACCGCTTTGGAAAAGTCGGTGTATATTACATCCGTCTGGATTCTCTTGTCGATATTTTCTGCAATGTACTGTGTTACAGCTATAAGATTGGTAATGGTGGAACGGCCTTTCATGAATCCATGTTGATATCATATTACTGACATGATGATAAATCTTGTTTTGAAGTAACATCTCAAACACTTTACAGAAATTACTAATAATTGAGATTGGACGATATTGTGTAATGTCTGATGTATCATCCTTTTTAAGTATCGGGCAGATCTTAGAGCATTTCCAGATAGATGGGATAGAACAAAATTTGAGACAAATATTTAAGAGAACTTTTGGGCGAGAATTAAAAGCGCAGTCTTTCAAAACAAAGGATAGAATATTATCTGTTCCCATAGTCATTTTAGATTTCATTGATGTTAACGTATTTCTAACTTCATCTTCGGCAAAGGAATTTATGTTTAAATTTGATACATTTAATGGATTAACCTCGGAATTTGGCTCAGTAGAATCAGTGTAAGACTTACAAAAAAAGGTCAGCAAATCTATTAATAATTTCAGTGGGATTTTCAAAATAATTTTCATTGTAGCGCATTCTGGTGGGCAAACGAGTCGAGTGTGTTTTATTTGAAATAAATGACCAAAATTTGTCGGAATTGGATATTTCATCTTCAGATTTTTTTAATAAATTGTTTATTGACCAGAAGACAATTTATGATGGAACGTCGACATTTAACTCGAGACGAAATGTTACGTATCGTAGGAGCATTCATATATTCTGGTAGTGGCCGAATTCGGAGTATCGTAAAATACCAGGACATCAGGATATTGGCGATGTGGCTGATAGATACGAAGGTCGTGAAGAGCAACAACACCTGTCCAAGAGCGAATTTTTTGTGTAGCACATCAATAACAGTACATGAGCAAATCTCGTCTTGTATGGACTGAATAGCATGATGAATGGGGTGAAGCAGCATAGTCCAACGCCCAAAAATATGATTTCGAATGTCACAATTTCAGTGACAAAGGTAAACAGCCGTAACTGTTATACGGAAATTTTAACTTGACCTGTTGGTTCAAAATTCTATTATACACAAATTAATTGCTATGACAACACTGTAAGCTACGGTTTGTTAGAACAGTGCGCGTCGCAAAACTCACAGTCTGCTGAGCGCCGCACACGTCCGCTGAAATCAAACAATGTTAATACTATCGGAATGGTTTGTTAGAGTCAGCACAGTTCGACAGATAGCAGTGTACGTCGACTGATTACGTCGAAATCAATTTGAGTTTGATTTGGAGGCACTCGTTCAGCTGAGCATATCAAGTGACTATCAAGTGAAATGAGGTTTGAATAATTTGTGATAAAAAATCGTCAAAATTTTCGTCTGAAAAGAAAAAAATATTAATTGATATGGGAATGCCTTCAGACGAAATGCTTCCAAAGTATAGCTTTCAAAAGCAATATAAAGTAAGTATACCAGACAGGGAAGCGTGGACGGGAGGACCTCCTATTCATGCAGATCTCACCTGGTATACAGACGGCTCCAAAACCCATGAAGGTTCAGGAGTAGGTACCAAGCCAAAGACAGGAATCTCACTGAGCTTAGGTAAACATGCGACAGTATTCCAGGCAGAAATAGCAGCAATACATCACTGCGCAAAAGAAGTATTAAGACAGAAGGTAAATGGAAAAACCATTGTCATATACTCAGACAGTCAAGCGACGTTAAAAGCACTCAGTTCCATGCAGGTACACTCAAAGCTTGTGTGGGACTGTTTGGAAGCCTTAACAGAGCTGGGTAGTCAAAACAGACTAACCTTAGCCTGGGTACCAGGCCACAGGGGACACAAAGGCAATGAAGAGGCTGATTTACTAGCCCGAGAAGGAGCATCAAATGCTCTTATTGGCCCAGAACCCTTCTGTGGTGTAACAAAAACAACTATCAGAACATGCACAAAGCAGTGGATGTTTAAAAAATCTCAGGAGTGGTGGGAAAACTCACCAGGACAGAGACAGGCCAAAAAGTTCTTAAAAGGACCATCGTCTAAACTCACCGAGCATCTACTAAGCCTTAATAGGAAAAATACTAGAATACTAGTAGGTCTATTAACAGGGCATTGTAGGCTTAACAAACATATGTTCAATATCGGTCTGACAGAAGAGGCCTTGTGCCGATTCTGTCAAGAAGAAGAGGAAACGGCAGAACACGTATTGTGCTACTGCGAAGGTCTAGTAAGACTGAGATTCCTTACACTTGGAGAAGAAAAACCAAGGGCAACTAGCTATACCGGAGAACTACTTCCCAGTCTATGGAGTCTACTACAAAAGACCGCATTAGGCAAGGTACTCTAAACAATGATTAAAGGATATCCACAATAGATCTGAAAAGGTCGAGGTGGGGGAGGCCACATGGCCCATAGTCCTAATTAAATCTAATCTAATGGTAAAGAAGCATCCCGCACTTTATCAAGTGAAAATCAGAAGTTGCAGAGACAATATAATTAAAAATATTGCTAAAAATTTTCCTTGGTTTTATCTGTCAAATGTTTTTATTTTTATTGTTTAGCACACTAAATATGTTTCGGAAAGTACACCTTTTTCCATCTTCAGGTGCAGTCAATTTATAAAAATTATAGAGACGAATACAAAGTTTAAAATTTTTTAAAATAAAAGAACATTCTTTTATTTAAAAAAAATTGTGAGGTAAACAATAAAAATAAAAACATTTGACCGATAAAACCAAGGAAAACTTTGATTTATATAAAATTCTGCTACGGTCAGGAAATTATCCTTATTTAAAAATATTGCTTTATTTTGGTTATTACTACTTAAAAACTAACAATTCTTCTTAGTCTTCTTCTTCCACTGATATAATCGCTACTAGCGCGTTATTTAATTCATGGAAACTCATTTTTACTGTCATGTATCAACAGAATAAGTTGAACAGATTTATATTCTAACAAATTACTTCTACTAAAACCGACGTGAGTCGAACGCGACAGATTCTGCCGTACGCGTACGTCGAGCATCGCTCACTATCCTAACAAACCGTAGCTGTAGTGTGTTTTGCCTTCTTACACACCGCGGAATTATTTTTTTCAATCATGAATAACTTCTAAAAATATTATTTAGTGTTAAAATTATCTTAATATTTTACAGTGAAATGTGTCAAATTTCCATATGCATACACGACAAAAAAATCTGAACGGTATAATAGTAGATTTCTTAGTGACAGAAGGGAAAACAATAGATCATTTAGGTCGCAGTGTATCAATGACCCATGCATATTATAGTAAATATGTTTTGATTATTCAGACAGTAAAAATTTAAACATGAATATTAATTAAATAAAAAAACGAACCTTTCGTCTTTTAAAAAGCATATCCTTAGTAGGTTGAAAGTAAGGATGGTCCATGAGTTCAAGTTCAATAATAGGCGCGAAAAAAGTAATTCTCATACTTCTGGTAGGTATAAATTCATTGAGGGCATCAAAATCTTCTGAGGAAGCCGGATGGAGATCTTGTAGGGATTTTTCTATTTTTGGAACTCCATAAGGCTGGTAATCGTAATAGGAAGCTGAAAAGTAAAACTATCTAGTACTCAATTTTCAAAATGGTTCTTGAATATAATACCTGCAGCCTGTACAGAACCGAGTCTATGAAAAAGTCCAGAACAAAGACGTAATTTAAAAGGGCCAATGCACATTCTCATACTAGCATTTTCCAGAAAATTACTAAAAATAAATTTAAGTAAAATAAATAATTATTTGAACAAATAGTTTTGTGACATAATTGTTATTGTGATAGCAAGTATTCTAGATCCTGCAGATGTTTGTCACATCAAAAGTTATAAGATTAGGTATTCAAATAGTTATTTTTGCATTAAATTCCGAAATCAGTATTTTTCAACGGCACATGAGATTGTCAACTTTTGGCCAGGATCGTAGGTCGAGGAGAAAAATTTAATCGAATGCATCTTAAAATATTAATTCCGGCACGAAATAAATACAAGATTTTTTTTCCATCTATACAAACAATAATGTTAATAAATAAATATTGGTTCCATTTCGATATATTACAGTAAATTTCATGTAAAAATTCAGACAGACATCGCAATTGCTTTGTCTTTCGTAATCTTGGAAAAGTCTTCATAATTTTTATGCAGTCGTTTTGAAGTTTGAATTGTCAAACAATTACTTCAGTTTTACCGATGTCCAATAATTTAACAACTCATTTAAAATGGATTAAAAAATGTGGCACATGCTGCAATTTCAAAAAAATAGCCTATTTTACGTATTATTAACAACCAATAAATGCTAGTTGGACAAAAAATATATTTGAAATAAAATAAGATCTGGTATATAAAAAATATAATTAAATCATGTTATGTTTAGATATTAATTGCTTAATTTTGGATCCACCAAAACATAAAGATCAGTTTGTAATAATTCAAAATTCAATGTTTATATAATTAAAAAAGAAATTGTTGCAAATTTTCTGTGACCATATTGTTGCAAGTTTGCATTTTAATATAATCATAAAAAGTGGCTAATAAATCTTTTTTTTAATTAGCTTAAACTGTTTGAAGACCCTAGAGTATAAAAACAAAATTTTCACTTTGTATAAAAATTATTAAAAAAAATACCTGAATTCGAAATCGCTTTCTAATTCTGACAATACTTCACTAGAAGTATCACTCGGTATTTCCATTTGGTACAAATAATCAAATGCAAATGCAGGAGTACGTTCTAATAAAACAGATTCAGTATAAACAGTCATATGGTAATCCCAAGAAGTGTTATATTGTCTTCGTTTTCCATTATTTTCAACCGCCTCGGCATCAAAAAGAGAATCGGACTTATGACTATTACTTTCAGAACCTAAAATTGTAGATAAATTTTAAAATGGATATTAGGAATTGCCTTTTTTATGATAAATAAAATAAATCTATTGCAGATCAAATAAATATTTTTTAAATATTTGAATATTTTGAGACATTTTCTGCTAATGAATAGGAAAACTGTTTAACCACAATAATTGTCACATTTAATCATTGTATAGTGCTAGCAAGATCAAAACTTCAGTATTCAAACTATTCCCTTCTTCTGAAAGCCTAACAAGAGGCTAGGCCAACCAACTCTAAAACTGAACCAGAAAACTGAAGTCCGAATTATTAGAAGCCAGTGGTAATAACAAAATATGCAACTTAAAACAAAAAGACTAAATTAAAACAAAATTTTTAAGACCGACAATGGCAACTTTAAATACTCAATAATTATATTGCTGAAATTGGCATTAATCTTGATAAACTTATCTAATTATCAAACACCAGAAAATGTTATCACAAAATTGTATTTTTCGTTTTTTAGTCAGTATTGGAGACAATATTTTGTAAACAAAAAAAAAGCAGCAACTAGGATTAATAAAACAAATTGTGAAACATTTCAAAATTAATTTAATTTTGACTGGATACCGGATATCAAATTCGATAAATATGGCAAAAGTTATACCACTTTTCAATAAGTGGGATATTAGACTTCCAAATCTTATCTGTCCTATGAAACATTATTGAAACCTACATAAACAACTCGAAGATTTTTTTAATAATCTAATTCTTTTTTCAGCAGAAAGTGTCGATTCAAACAAGTAAAATATCATCTACTACATATTTCGCCACCGACATTAATACTAAGATATGACGATGGGTATCAACCATAAGTACCACATCTATGCTGGAACAAAACTGTGTAAAGGGTATGGTATTGAATAATACTTTTGAGTCCTGCAGCTGATATTAATAATTGTGGATTGTCCTAAGGCTCTTTATTATTTCTTCCACCCTGCAGACCCCTGTGCTATCACCATAATTCGTCTGCAGCCCTCAAGGCTTATTGTGTCACCATTTGAAGACCCTGCCATATTCATTAGTCGGCATTCATTCTACCGGAACACTGACTACTGAGGCTGACAGCCAAGGCTCTATATTAAACCAGTTTTGTTTTTAATCTAGACTAGATGATCTCTAAATCATTAAGATCATATCTTTAAACTATTTTTTTACGACTAGTAAAATGTATGTAAAATTCAATGGTAGAATAGTTTGTTTTTGTCAAAATTAACTAATGGAAATACTAAAATGTAGTTAAATTATTTCCAACTGTGAAATATGGTATGTTGTCATATGTTCCACCAAACTATTCTTCATACCCAACATTTCGTGTTTGGTAAATAAATATTTTGCTTCACAGTTATTTATTAATTACATAAAACTTACCTATTTTTAAATAATTTATGGAATGAGAACCTTCAGGAACTTCTGCATGTGAGCAACTGCAGGGTCCCATTGGAAGTAAGATTGCTTGGCAAACACCTCCCATGGAGTTCAGCCATTTCAAACCATGTATTATGGTTTCGCAATATATTCCTTGTAATTGCAAACAAATCATAGGATTATAACGCATTTTTTTTGGGTTACTGTAATAAACACTGCGATCCACACTTGTCTCAGATACCTTAAAAATAAACAGTATTGTAATACTGTGGAGGTTCAATTAGATAGAAGATTAAGTATTACAGTTATGATTGGTCCAGCTGTTCTTTGAATGTGCACTAGACCTAATTTGCATATGATTAAGGAAATTTTATTTAAAACAAAGTATGTCTGGATATTAAACATAATGTGATTACTGCTCCGACCAGTATTTAAACAGCTGGTTTATTTTAATTCAGATAACATTTGTTTTCCATTATCAACTAAGGAATTAATGAGTCAATAAAAACAATTATCTTTTTAATATTATTTGAAGGAAAACTATTACATAAGATATTCCATATATTATCCAATTACTAATAAGTGTAAATATTGACTGAAAAGACAGCATTTCTCTGTTAAAAAATTTTAGTGCAATCGATCCTTACCAACATCATTTATGCAAAACTAAAATATTGCTTTCAATTATCTTCTTTTTTTTAATATCCTTGTAATACTGGCCTTAATAATAAAATTTCCAATAAAAGAACAGTTGGTCAGATATTTAGATCAAGTTTCTGGTTCACAGTTGATATCCCGATTATGCAGATTATCAGAAAATTAATTTAGCCAGAAAACAAATGTATGCCGATAACCAGGATAACAAACAACAATGATGTTTGAAAGTGTAATACACTAGTCAAGTTAATGTATCCATCATTCAATGACTATCCTTTGTAAATAATTTTTCTGGTTATTTGTCCAAATGTTATTTCATGTTGTATAATGCTTTTCAGCTTACGCCTTCTTCTAATACATAGGATAATATGTATGTATGTTAGCGGTGAGCATCTGCTTACATTCTCGAAGTCCAAACACATGTGTGTCAGGATAGACGTGCGAGAGAAGGAAGACCAGCGCAGTAGGCAGTACGCGAAAAGACAGTGGCAATACCACACCAACATTATATTTTGGGAATACATGATCGTAAATTAAATAATTTAAAAAGAAGTTTAGACCTTTCTATTAGGGATGAAACATCACTTCTGTTGATATGTATTGTATGTATTATAAAACAGCAGAAAATTATTGGAGTTTTATATTAGGTATCTGATATTAATGGGCAAAGAACCACTACTGGCCCAAGTATTTTTAAATATTACATAAAAAATTAATTATAACAAGACAAAAATATGGAAATTCTTTATTCTGGTAAAATGCCCAATGAGAAACAGCTAAAATTAGTTATCAGAAATGCAAGTAAATAACTACTTGTTGATTGCAGGTTTATGACTAGCTGTTTACAAATTTTTGTATATTTTGTACCACCTAGTCTATATAATGTATGTGTTCTTTTATTCCTGCTCTGTAATTGGGATTGCCTGTAGAGCATTGTAATAAATAAATAAAATAAATAAATAAATGACTAAATCGAAGTCGGTGACCTAGATTTATACATGCCCTATGTCAATTTCAGTGACGTACGCCTGATTTAACATACATTTTCAAAATTTAATTATTTTTTTTAAATAATACTTTTGAATGTTCTATCAGTCAAAATATTAATCTATTTTAATATGTACATGTATTTAAATAACACCATGTATTAGTAGAATAAAATCTATTAAAACATAATTTTGCTGCTTGCCATAACATGCTGTTTTTTACAATTTAATAATAAAATTTTAATCTACTGTATAATTTAGTATTTACCTTAAAAGTAATAGATAGATTGTCAATAAAGGTTCCAAAATGTACAATGTGTCCCTCAAAGCCCTCAACTTCATCAAATTGCAGTTCATCGTCCCAAGGTGCTGGTAAAACAGAAGATACATATGACCAAGCCCAACTACCCCATGAATCTTGGCCAGCTTCATTGCCTGAAAGAGAAGGTTTAGAAAAAATGAAGTACAAGAAATTCTAATTCTAATCATTTTATTTGTGAATTTCAATAAAACTATAATGTCAACTGGGCAGGTCGTTTAGGTAACATTCACATACATACGTAACGTCACAGACCATCAAAATGTATCACAAACAATAGTTTGACGTGCCTGTCCATGCCGTTGCCTCTCCATTCGGTCAATGTGAATGTATCAAACAGAAAGGCAAAGTAAAAAATGTTCAATGTTTCAGTTATTATTGATACAAAAATTTGAATTTTGAATATTTTTTTTTTATTATGCGTGACGAAAAACTGTTAAAATAAGTGCGTCAATATATCTTACTTCAAACAAACCAAGTTTATCCTTTGCACTAATTGCTTCAAGAAAAGTTGTGTTATTCTTTAGAATTGTATCTTCAATTCTAATAAAAAGTTAAAAAAAATTTTAAGTCATTCTTAGATATTTATAAAAACATACTTCATCATCTAATTATTTGAACAGTATCTAGTATTATTCTTCTTTTTGTTTTCTTCCATTAAATATCTTGCACACCTATTTTCTTTGTTAACCTTCCTACCAACCCATAAAAATTGCAATCACTCCAAAATTCAAATTTGAGATAACACGGTTTGGGGTCCCAGGATCCCAAAAAAAAAAATATTGGGTGACGTTTTTGTGCACGATACAGCACAAACAATTTGGCCGATTTCGATAGGATTTGGAAAAGAGTTTTTATGGGCCCCTGAAGAGTTAATTAGATTTTGGGCATAGTCGGACCAACTGTGGGAGTACTTTATAGAGGGTCGTTTTTGTATTTTTTGAAACATTTCTGTTGCTTATGATTTGGGAAGAAATTTCTTTGGATAATAGTTTTTTGTGATGTTATTTTCTATGATTTTTGTTAAATACATAATGTCCTTAAAATGGACCGTATTAAAGATATCAGATGAAATGTACAAATTCATTTTTTGTTTTGACCAGGATCTTACTTTAGTGGAAATTCATGTGTTGGGACACATCAGATATAAATGCGAGAACAATCAAAATCCTACAATTAAACTATTTTAAAATTTTAATTGCCGCCGACTTTGAGGTTTAGGTGAGAAAATTGCTGCTGCTTTATGATGCAGCAGTTTTTTCAGTTTGTTTCTTCATTATCCAAAATTAATTATTACAATCAGTACACATGTTCTTTTTTTTAATTTCTGTATTGTGCAAATCGCGATGGTGACGTGACGTTACCGTTCCGTTACATGACGCTGATGTTCCGTATAGAGCGAATTGACCTTTAAGGTGAATTCAATTGCAAGTTTAGATATTTTTGGTTATCTATGTGTATAAACAAGGGACTACATGAATATAATTTTAAAGATTAATATCACAAAAATGTAGTGAAATACTGTTTTTTTGCTAAAAATTGATAATAAAATACCTCTGGGTTCACGTGAAGTAACAGATGCGTCATCTGAGGGAATATTTTCAGTTCCTATCTGTTTTTGTTTTAAAGCGTATATTAGCATCAAAAGTCTCATGAACATAGGGACTTGTTGTTCCGTCATACTAAACTCCATGCTAAAAAAAATGTAATCTATAAATTACTGACAACTAATTCGAACTAACATAAAAAATAGTAAAACAGAAGCTAAATGGTATAAAGTAACATGATGGACTTATAAACAATTTAAAATCTTGAACAAATCTTACTTACAGATGTTGAGAATATCAGTACTTACTTATTGCAGTATATGTCAAATCTTGTAATAGATGCTCTACCTGAATGTGCAGAGTGATAAGTTTTGAATAAATGCATAGTCATTGAACACTTGTAAAGCATAGGTTCCATATAAATTTCAATTTTACCAGAAGCATTTCGTTTATCCAAACATAATGTTAAATCATTAATAGTTATCACTTTTCTTAATATAACTTCTGCAGGAGATATATCTAAAAATAAAAAAAAGCTCTATTACTAAATAAACTAACTTTAATAATTAAATTCAGTGTTGTGTTTCCATTGGTTTTCTTTTAATCAATATAAATATTGTCTACCTATATAAGCTGGTTCCCATTTGTCATCTGCTGATTCAAACTTTAAATGTTTCACATTCATAGATAATACTATGTCTTCTTCAACATATTTTAAAATCAAATTATTACAATAAATGCAAATATTGCTTACAATTTTATTTATTAGTAATTGTACATAACCTTGTGGAGCCTCTATTTCTTTACTAAAATCAAATCCAATGTAATTAATTACATAGAACAGTAATTTTTACTGGAATATATTTGAATTTTTGTATACCTGTCTCTATGAGGTTTTTCTGATTCTGTATTCTCTGGCCTTCCCTTATCTTCGTCTCCTCTTAAATTGAAAATACATTCTGGAAAACAATGTATTAGATTTTCAATTGACAAAGTATTAAATTCATATATTGCTTAAATAAGTTGTACTTGCCTATTGTATTTATAGTAATTGTAATTGGTTCTGAAGCTAACTTTGTCCATGGTACATGTATTAGAAGTTCCCTAATGCTACCAGAAACAAAACTAAAAGGTAAGTGAAGTTCTTCTTCTAAAACTTGCAAATTTAATTCTAAATTATTAAAAACTGCGTCACCGCCCCAAAATGATACCTGGAAGATATATTTACATCTAATACTTATTAATAAAGGAACATTACAAATTTATTGTAAAATTAGTTAATTAGTTTACCTGGGAGTCTTCCGTTCTGAAATTAGTTACATATTTATTAACGTAACTGAGCAAAATTGGAGTGATATATGATTCTAACTTGAACATATCTCTAGGAGTTAGTACTGGGGGCTAGAAAATAGATTTGTTTATAGAGTTTATAGGTTATATTTTTTAGTAGTATTTACCGACTACACATATCTACGTTAATGGAAATAAAATATGACCAAATTAATTTAATACAGACTATTAAAACACGTTAAACTAAGTTTTGTTGGCATATTTTTATAAAATTGGTGATGATAACACAAACATCTGATTTTTAAACGTCGCACGCAAAATAGCCACTACTAAATATTTAAAAATAAATATTCCTAAATTTGACCATTTCACAACAATACAACGTTGTCGGATTGAATAAATTTATATTTGAATTTTTTTGTTTAAATTGGATGGCACAAAATTGAACGAAAACATTTGATCGAATTGGAAATATTATCGAAAATAAATCTAAAATTCATTAGATCGAAAGGACAATATATCAAAAATCAACGATTCTGTCACGAAATTGCGCGCATAAAAAGAGTGCTTAAAATAGACTCTGGAGCAATCACGCGGACGGGGGCTACGTATTTTTTTTAAATAAAATTATAAAAAAAACTAAACTAGTTTAACTAACCTGTGCGGCCTCGAGCCATTGTGGGTTGCTTTACAAAAAAATATACACAATATGAGAAAAATTAAAAAACAACTAATTTACCTAAGAGATCGGCCTGGAGCCATCGCGGATTTCTTCGCCAAAAAAATATACAAAAATGGTAAAAATTAAAAAAAATTAACCAATTAACTAATCTGTGCGGCCTGAAGCCATTTAAATTTGACCGTTCGTTCACGCATAAGTTTGGTAAATTAGTTAGGTTTTTTTTTTAATTTTTTTCTCACTTTATGTATATTTTGTTATTTACTCAACTGCTTTTTCTATAAATCTATTTTCGATCAATTTTCAATTCGATCATTGCTTTTTTAATCATTTTCTTTTCCACCAATTGTTATTCAACATATTGTTTTTTCGGTCAAATATATTTAATCAAATGTTTTCAATCAATTTTATGTTTTGGTCCTTATTTTCCATTCTAAATCAGCATAAAATAATTTAAAACACAATACACGACAAAATAACCCACTTTTTTGAAAACTAAATAACTTTAATAGGCAATACCCAGTAAACCACAAATAGTCGGCATTCGCTCGGCCTGACACCAGCAAGTACGGGAAGCCGAGTACTCAGATTGCCGTTGTCGGGGTTGCTTCTGAACCGGGAGGACTGTACCATATGTGACGTAATTTAGAAGTAGAAACCGCATGTGGTCAATATTTGGCTTTCCAGATATATATGGGAGGCATCCCTTACGGGCCGAACTATACATAGATATATGAACGCGGTCACAGTGTAGGGGGCTGCCGACATTCGGCTAGGTGGATATATCGGGCCGAGTCCGGCATCCGGCAAGCTCCCTTCGGCCCCGTTACTTACGGTGCAGTATAAACACACTACAACTCGTTCAGATTAAATAATAATATTAATATGATGTTCTATTTGTCAATAAAATGATGCATACGTAACAATACAAGAAAGTAATATCGGTTGCCTAGATGTCAGTAATGTTTTACCGAAACATAGTTTTATAAATAATCTAGTCAAAATCAAAAAAATATTGTATATAACATGTGACGAAATGCCATTTTATGTGCTCGTTCATGTTGCGGGATCTTGCTCTGTTGGTCCCGTTAATATTCACTTGTTACATAAAATAAGGCATTTCGTAACTGCATGGTTTTATAGCTATTAAAATAAAACACTTTTACTTCAATGCCACCATGCAAATAGCAAATTAATATTGATTAATGTCCAACACTTATTAAAAATGATAAATAATTACTCAAATCGAAAAGGTAGCCACGTCATTCTTTTGTTAAATCTTATTTGTGTCACTATATAATAATTATAAAGACAAAAGTTATTTTTCTTCTTCATAAATATAGATTACCTACAACAAAAGTACTAAATTTTTATGAAAGTCCCATAATTATACAGTAAGTTGACCGAAGCATGAGGAATAATAAAGATGAGGCGTCTAATTATATTTGGACGTAAAGCGATAAAGAGAGTAAGCCCTGTCAATGGTAAGCATGGGATATTGCGGTCCGCACTCGGTGACATATTATTCTATTTCTGACTATTCAATAGCATATTTTGTTTCAGTACCATTCTCTTGGGATCAGGAATGAAAAGTTAACATATTGTTATGTGAGCCATTTCATTATTCAGTCATGCTCTAATCATACAAGTCCCTCTCTGTCTTATTTTTAGCATTTGAGGCTCAACTTGTCCGATTATTATACATAATTAAACCCCTTAAGACCAAACCTATGTGACGACTATGGCGGAGGTACTTTCGCGAACTTTCCAGAGTCAACGGGATACTATTTCTAGTCTATTCTAAATATAACGTGATAGTGTTTCTAATTTTTGGTGAGAACGTTCTGGAACCTTCACTATAATTTTAAATTGGTATATAAATATTGGTGGAGAATAACGCTGTATCAGTTATTATATGGACAGTGAATAAGATAAATCGTGAACAGCTATTTTTTTTTCCTTTTAAGTGTCAGTTTGGATTTAATTCAGAGCCACGCATACTCCATCACGGATATGACTCGTATTTATGTCTTTGTCAAGCATGGCCTACTTTAGAAAAATATTTGTGAGTCACCCTTTATTAATTTATATGAATTAAACAAGTATTAGAAATTAAAAATTTAAAAAAACCGACTTCAAAAACGTGCAGATGCCATCACCACATCTTAACCAAATTTATATGGGACTACCCCCGAGGTACCCCCTTACTAACAAAAAAAGAATCATATAAATCGGACAAGGTGGTAAAGCATTATCGCTAAACATACATAAAAAATGAAGAGTTTGAGGATTTTCTCATGGATCCAATTATTAGATTTTGACCAAATGTATATGGGACCACCCCTGAAGTAGCCCCTTTCTAACAAAAAAAGAATTATTGAAATCGGACATTGTGTTAAAGAATTATCGCTGAACATACATACATACATACATACATACATACATACATACATACATACATACATACATACATACATACATACATACATACATACATACATACATACATACATACATACATACATACATACATACATACATACATACATACATACATACATACATACATACATACATACATACATACATACATACATACATACATACAAAAAAAATATCGCGACGAATTGATAATCTCCTCCTTTTTTGAAGTCGGTTAATAAATACTTGGCAACGTTGTGCGCAAACTGTAAATATATGTAAAGTAAATACGCACGTGTTATTAATGTTGGCTAACCTGAAAAATGATTGATAAACTTTGGATGATGAGGAGTGGAGGGAGGTACAGAAATGTCAGTTTTACAAAATGGCGAATGTGCGTGATAGTGATACTTCTTTGTGGCTTCACAATAAACTCGGAATATCAAACGATTCTTGGACTGGAGGTTCAATATGCTCACAACTAAATGCTGAAGTTTTAAGAAATATTAAAGACTGTTTCCCAGATCTACAAACACAAGTCAAACTGAAATTATTACTGAGTTTCTTTCATATCCCGCGCAGAAATTTGGAAGAAGTATGTTTATACCTATGTCAAAACATAAACAAATTTACTTTACTGAAGAATAAATTAAATTTAACTTGTTTTTTAGTGGAAAGCAGAGTTGGAACAAATTTTGGAAGTAGCTCTTGGAGATTCTGAGTTATGGGTTGCTATGCTAGCAGATGCGTTAAAAACGTACCCTTCCACTGGGTCTTTGAATACAGAAATTTCAGATGTAGACGAAGTTCGGCCTATTTTCAATGATTTAGTTACTGATTTACGAAGACTTGTACGCAAACAAAATGATCATACAATGCTTCCTATGGAGTGCCACTACTTAAATAAAGGAGCACTAGTCTCTGTTGTGAGTAGCAATTATTTTCTATTATTGCTTTTAAAACTTTGTTTATTAAATAGTATAAATTAAACATAGGAACTGTTTCTTTTTTAAATTGCACAATTTATAATATCAACCTGTTGCAGCCTTTCTAGTCAATGGCTAGCTGGTATATTTTAATTATAAATTAAATGTGTACTTAGTGTGTTACATAAGTTTTTATTTTAAATTCCTGTCATTCTCTTGTTTAAGCCACTTGAGACTTTTTATTGCACCTCACAGTAAAATATAATATGTATAACTGAAACATTTCATAAAAATTACACTATATTATGAACAATATTTCTAAAATCAGTTGAATATTAATTAAAAAATATTTAATTTTTGTATTTAAGGTTGGACATAAACCAGAACCATTAAAACATTTTACAATAAAGAAAAAGCCTAAATCAGCATTGTTGAGAATGGACCTTTTACAAAAATCTATGGATGCTGCATCAAATATGAATAAAAAATCATGTGCTCCTGTAATACCTGTTAGATCAAGGGGGATGCCTAGAAAAATGACAGATACAAGTAAGTTTATTTTAATTTTTAACAGGTGAAAAAAATGGGTACAGTTTCTATAATCTTGTTTATGTAAATAATACCTACTTATAAAGAGAAATATTTATCTACGTAAACTTTTCTAAAATTTACACTTCACAATTCTACTACCATTTGTCTCCAAATGAACAAATCAGTACTACAGAATGTATTACATTTATAATAGAGGTGAACAGTTTACAATATAACTACCCAATATTGTGGGTGAGGTATTCCTTACTTGTATCAACAATCCTAATAAGTCACCTCAGAACACCACTGAAAATAGTAACAAAATAGCTCTCCCTTTCTGACGCTAGCTTTTCTTTTAGAGGTTCATTCATAAGGGAGTGAATTATAGGAAGAATATTATTGTAATTTAATATCTTTAAATTAGTAGGTGTTATTATATCTTAAAAATCTGATGTGTCCAACACATGACTTTCCTATCTGAACAATTTTAAGAAAATTATGTTTATATCAAAAATTATAGGGAATAACATTACAAGTAGTGATGAGCGATATCGTGATAAGAATATTGATCCTCAAAGTAAACCATCACTTAATCACATTTCTATATCTAACTATGTTATTCATATATCAACCATTTATAAATAGATGGCTAGTATTGACATTACCAAGGGACCAGGACCTGATGGTATCCCCTCTTCTGTTCTCATATTTTCTAGTTTTGTTCTCTCAGGGCCACTTCACATTATATTTAATAAGTCTCTTGCTTCAGGAATATTCCCAGATTTCTGAAAAGTGAGCTATCTTACACCTATTTTCAAGTCTGGTAACAGAGCAGACATATCCAACTATAGAGCCATCTGTAATCTTAGTTCCATTACAAAGTTGTTTGAGAAGATAGTAGCTGATTACTTAAGATCTAAATTAAGTTTATCAATAATAGAAGAACAATTTGGGTTTCTTAACAAAAAAATCTACCTAAAATGCTACCTAGCAGTTTCATCTCTTAAGGATTGTCTCAAACTTCAGTCTTATCTGGCTAGGCTTGATGAATGGTGTGTGAATAATGCTATGGACCTAAACATCACTAAGTTACAATCGATATCCTTTACTAGGAAGATCAACAAGATTGATTATCAATATAATATCAAGGGTACACCAGTGTCCCAAGTTGCATCCATTCGAGATCTGGGTGTTATGGACTCCACGCTCCCATTTGTCAAGCAGATTGACAGAATAGTACCCAGACCACTTGTTATGCATGTGTTTATAAGGAGAAAGTATTAATGCTATCAGGTTATTGTACTGTAGTCTTGTTAGGCCTCTGCTAGAATATTGCTCTTCAGTCTGGAACCCCTAGTATACTTGTCACATTCATAGATTAGAACAGGTTAAGAGAAAATTTCTTCGCTACTTATCATTTAAGTCAAATATTCCACAGATAGATGACTATTCCTATGATTTTGCGGCATTGCAATAGACATTCTCCTTACCAACTTTGAGAATAAGAAGAGATCAGGCAGATCTGAAATTATTTTTTAAGCTCATTAATTATATGGGACTGCCCTACATTGATTTCAAGCATGTTGTTGGCAGCCCCAACTAAAGCACAAGATCAATAAACAGTTTTCATCAGTCCTACATGAGAACTAATGCTAGCCTCAATTCATTCATGCCTAGAGTTTCACGAAGCGCTAATGCTTGTGCTGATAGCCTAGAATTTTGTAATTCAATTTTTTCTAATTTTTTGAGGGTGTTAAAACTTACTGTGACATACATTCCTTAGTCTTAATAATAGTTGTTTTGATTTTGTACATGTTAATATATTTATGATTTTTGTTGTTAGTTTATTAGTTTATCATTATTATGTCATATTATTTAGATCGACTCTATTTGAGGGTTTTTTTTGTTTTTATTTGTAACTTTGTACTGAAAGTGGGCAAGACCCGTGAATAAATAAATAAAAACACTCACACACTCAGACATCATCACGAAAATAGTCAAAACGGATTCAGGGACCCAAAACGTAAAAATCCGTCGAAAAAATCATGATTCCTATACTTTCCTTATCTGTATAGAGATAGGAAAGTAGAAAAACACCAGCTAGAAGAAAAAATGTACATGCTTAGTGCAAAATAGTAACATAATTTTCCCAATATACAGTGTCAGCCATTGAACGTTTTCAAATACATGCTGCACAAGTGTATATGAAAACTGCAGAGTTTGCATTAGAGCCAGTAGGAAACGAATAATTTCAGCATTGTCAGTTTATATGGCATGACCACATTGTAAAGTTGGCCAGGGCGTATAAACTGACAGATGATATTTTTTGTTTCCTGCTCGGTTAATGTCAACTCTTTGGCACTTTGATATATTTATTAGTGTTTTTTTGTCATAATTTTTTTTGGTAATAGCTTTCCTCAGAAATATCCTTTTCTTACCTATCTCAAGATTAGTATGTGTTTTTATTACTGAATGAAAAATCATGAGAAGTTTTATGCTATATACTTGCTTGCCAGATGATTGTGGTTGTATCTACTGGAACATAGGCATAATTAATGTTTATAAATGTATCACATTCCAGTGAATTTACTGCTACCAATTTTTTTCATTTTATTAATTCAAATAATTTTAGAACTAAAAAGACAATAATAATCATATGTAACTATATCAGAATCACTTGAAGGCAACATACTACTTAAATCTTAATACTTATTCTTTGGCTTGAGACAGGTGATTGATGCAAATGACTTTTTTGATAAATTTTATTTCTTTGATTTTAGCTCCATTGAAAGGTATTCCGAGCAGAGTGCCCACTTCAGGCTTTAGGTCAGCTTTGAATAGCAATGCAAATAGACCTCCCCTATCAAGAGCACCAGCGGGCAGAAAGGAAGGTGGCGTAAAGTTACTAGATATAGCAGATCAACCACTCGGATATGCTGCAGCTAAGAAAAGGAAGAAGATGCAAGGTAAATTAATATTCTTTAATTATTAACTATCACATATTTATTGCATAAAATAAACTAACTAGTAATAAAAAACTTGAAGAACAATGTACTTAACCCTTGACATTTGGTGTTTATTGTTTGTATAAGATGTGAAAATCGAATATTGTTTTTAGAAATCGAGGAAGCTAAGAAAGCAACAGAAACAGCAGCTTTACAGAGTCCTCCACCTGCAGCTGGTGCAACACCAGATTATGCTGCTGGTTTGGCTCCAACTCCTACATATGCTCCAGCTACCCCACAACCTGTAGTGGTTTCTTCTGCAGGTAATTATATTTATATTAAACCCCTTTTAAGAGAAGTACATACATATTTTTTGTTCAAATTAATAACTTTAAATTTTATGGTAAAATATGAACAAAAAAATTTAAAAATCACATATTATTCAACTGGCAATAATTTACTGCTGATAATAAACGTTAATTGCCTTAATATTTTGAACAGTTAACTTGGACATGTTTGCTATTGTTAATTTGTTCAAAAAAACCAACAGATTTAGTGGACTGTTTTGGTTTTTTAAATTACATAGATTAAACAGTGAATTAATCTTAGTGCAAATCCGCTAATTTGTATATTATAAAAAACGCAAAAATTCCATTAACTCGTGAACAAGTAAGTAAAGTGAATCAGGATAAAGTCTTCATAAAAACATAAGATAATGGCAGGTTTTCTTTCTTTGCTGATAAGATTAGTTGGTTCCAAAATAGCTTGCACTCTTGAAAACACAATAGGGGATAGAAACACAAATAAAATGCTGAAAATGCTTTCATTAAAATATGTAAGAAATTTAATTGCAAAGATGGATCAAACATAAAAACAATGCTGCATTTAGGGTATAGTTGATTAAAATCTTTAATCTTATGAAGTTAATAACCTTTTATTATTGCTGTTTCAGCTATCTGGCAACAATAACAATAAATAAAAATGTTTATTTGCTGATGATACAAAAATTTATATTAAAACGAATTTTTCTGATTGCCTTCTCATGCAAAGGGCTTTTCAATCATATTTATTTATAATACAATACCTGAAATATTCTTTAGACCACCTAATAATGTTCCGCTATTTATATTGGCATGCAATACAGGAAAAAATAAATACTGTAAAAACACAGAAACCAAACTTATATTCATTAAATGAAATATATTGGTTTATCTTACTTCAATAAAGTATCTAATAATACATGAAAACAATAACAGTACATAAATGGCGAAACACAAAAATAGTCACTGGATCTAGTGAAGCCTAACTGTCGCCCTCCACACTTTACATATACATCTGCAGTCTTGGAAATTGAAAGCTCAATTTTGACCAAAATTAAGCTAAGAATCTGTTCAAATCGCTTTTAAACCTAGAATAAACAATTTTTTTTTTGTAACACCTATCTTTTTAATACTTTCTTGCTTAATAAAGTCGATCTGGGTTCTTTTTTCTGAATAGATTCCTTAATTATGTAGTACTTTCTACTTTAGAGTAATACTTGAGGTGTGAAAGTTCCATTAATATTTCCATAACTACTAACAAACTTACTCTAACAGAATTTAATTTATAAAAACACAACTACCACTAAATTGTAAAGTTAAAAAAAGTCACAAAATGAAAACTCAAATTTGATCTTAGTAGTTGTTTAGGACAGCAAAGCTGGAATATGCTGCATTAGTGTGAGGTCAGTGAGAACATACAAAAATAAACCACTCTGCCATTGATTTTAACATAAAAGTTTCTAGTTTTTTTTTTTAATAAATATTGTCTGAAGGTTGTAAAAAGTACCTTTAAGGTATATTGTTTAATGAGCAAGAAATGGTACTCTTCCTATGAGTACCTTAATTTATTCATTTGTTTATCGTTTTGCATGATTACTAAATATTTAACTACAATGTTATCTACTTACTTTAGAAATATATCTGGACCTTAGATCCAAAGAGCATTGTTGAAACTTTTGACTGTCTGTATTTTTAATTGGACTTAATATTGGTTTTAAAAATATATCTGGAAAACTTAAAATAATAGGCTTAATACTTAGCACCAATGGAAGGAGCAGGAAAAATTATGTAGGAGTAACGAAAAACTTAAAAATGAAAAAAAAAAAAGGTAGACTTAATACTGTTTGGCTCTGAGGTCCAGAATATTTTAAAATAAAGTAACAGTTTAATAACTACATATTTGGTGTATAAACAAATTTGTTTGGCTCATTTTTTACAACATCCCTAATGCACTGCATATGATTATATAATGTCTGGTTATAGGGAATATTTTTTCGCTGTCAAATAGTTAAAAGAATTCCTGAATCTGCTAGTTGCGCCTTTCATTTCTTACTATTTGTACTTTATATTTCATTTGTTTACAAAAAATATTTTTACAGTAATAACGGCGCCGCCTACGCCAGCACCTCAACCAACGATAGTACAACTTCCACCAACGCCAGCGCCTCCCACCCCAGCACCCCCGCCAACCCCTCAACAGATCTCACCGCCCGTTCCTGTACCTACACCTCAACCAGCAGTTGCGGTGGCACAGCAATTTATCCATACAATGCGACCTGTACCTCCTCTTTTGGCTACTACACCTTCCGGACAAAGGACGATCATATCTACAGAGCAGAATATTCAGCCTGTACAACAACAGGTACTTACTATCTCTAATATTTTTTAATTTTCATAAATGTGTATTAAAACAGTTCACAACTTTTAAAAAATATAAACGGCTATTAAATGTATACTTGTTACAGGTACAAACTCAGATTATTGGTACACCAGTTGTGGTGGCTCAACGACCCATGCAACAACCTCAACAGACTGTGACCCACATCAGAATCCAACCTCAACCCACCACAAATGTTTTGCAGAGGAGAGGGCTTGCTCTTACAGTATGTATATTATTCCTTTATTAACTTTTAAAATTTGGAAGATAGCTCATTGTTTTTTAATTAATTTGTTTTTTAGAGAGAACAAATGTTGGAAGCTCAAGACATGTTCCGTACAGCCAACAAAGTCACTCGACCCGAAAAAGCTCTTATTCTTGGTTTTATGGCTGGTTCGCGAGACAACCCGTGTCCACACCTCGGCAACATAGTCACCATCAAACTGTCGGAAGACCAAGAGAATGTGCTTCAACCAGACGACACTTACCTCACCATGTTAGTAGAAACCCACTTCCAGATGAACTACAACAACGGCGAATGGAAGAGGATAAAAAAATACAGGCATGTAGAAAATATGGTAGAGCAAATCGCCCAGAGTACACCGACGGCAGCTTTAGTGTGACAAAAGCAGGGTTTTATTCGATAGCCGACAGAATGTGGTTAGGACAAGTAATTGAAGTTGGTAAGGTACATCTTGTTAACTCAGAATGTTAATTGAATTTGAGATTATATAGATGTGAGTTCAAAAAGTACATATATTTTAAGTATATATTTGTGTGTTACTAAAAAAGTACTGAGGGTAATGCAATCAGACTGGTTCGAATATTATTTTTTACAAAAGTTGTGAGTCATATTTGTGCAGGAAAAGATTGTAGCAGCTAATTAAATATTATGAAAAATACCACTTTTCTCACAGATATGGTTGAAACTATTACAAACACCAACTATGTTAACTATTTACATTATTTTTTTGTCAATTTTTAAAAGTAATATTTCTTACGGATTTTTCCTGATATCCCTAACCTTATAAATATATTAGGTCAAAAACGATGAAAGTAGGGACTAAGCGAAATGAGATTACCTTTACAGCATTCTCATTGGGAGAACGATACAAAAAAGATTGAGCAGTTTCATTGCACTGCAACATTTTTCGATTTTCTGAAAATATAAATAAAAAGTTTTCCCTAATAAATAGTATTTTCTCTTTTTGAATATCGCCAGTGTAAATCGCAAAGTACATAGCTCCATTTAGAAATTCTCTGCAGGAGAGTCAAAAAACTAATTTAAATATTTGATCTAAGAATAACTATATCCTTGATTCTTACCTAAAATATCAAAAAGCAGAAATTACTAAAACATTAAATTTATTTTAAACACACAATACAACTTGCTCCAAATAAAAAAATTACTTTTTAAACACACAACAAAAGTTAAATAGTAAATTGCGAAAATAGAGGGATCGCTATTATTATTTTTATTTGCCGTAGTGCTCTCCTTATGATCGATGGTCCCACTTGACTTACAGGTGAGGAAAATCCCACCCTCCATAATCGACACGATAGTCCGCCGAGATTGAAATATGGATGTAGCATCAACAGAAATTAAATTAACGCAAAAATCAAATGGTATGCTGTGGGATTGGCTGCTAGTAATTTATTACTTAGTCATGCGACAAATTAATTATCAGGAAATATGCCTCACATTGAAAAATTGACAAGTATAAAGTTTAAAATATTTTGAAGGTTACTTAAGGCTATTTGTCATGACACTAAATTAAGTTATTAATTTAGAACTTAATTTTCCACCTGCAAGGATACCAATTTTCAGTACTAAATTAAGTCTACATGCAATTGCATAATCTCTTATGAAATTAGACAAGAAAGGCGTTTTTATTATGAAGTTGAAAGATTTAAGATAAAGTATTATTTGTTTTTAGTATTGTGTTATTATTATTTAGTTGTCTATTGTGTTATTTAAGGTGTAGAAAAAACATTTTTATTGAAGAAGAAGAAGAAGAAGAAAAAAAGAATCATACTTAAATGATAATCAATTTGTGATAACCAATGTGTTTTTTTTAATGGATAAATTTCAGATATGTCTATAAATTATAGTTGAATATTTTACAGAAAAGGGAAAATATGTTTCTTGTTTGATGTTTTTTATAACTTTCAAACTGATAAACTTTTAAAAGGTATCTATCTTTAGAAATTATATTCTGGCTTGGTCTAATATATGATTTTACAATGCAATTAGTTTCTTAATAAAGGTATTTATAATGGACAAATTCCTTTTCCTGAATCTGTTAAGAACTACACATATAATATGTAGTTGAATTCAAAATATTTTCAAAACTATCATCTAAAAATCCGCTTTTTATTTCATACAGTAGAACTTATTTTTAAAAAATATTTAGTAATTTAGTAGAAAATGGGACAAGTTTTAATTAATATATTTATTTAGTAACTAAATTTAGTACTGAATTTGCTGTTTCTAACGTGAAATATTTTAAAACTTAAAAAATTATATTAATTTAGTGTCGCCTTTAAATAAATGTTTGAACATTAATGTGTATTCATCAGAACATTAATTTTTATCAGGATTTGAAAATTGGATTTTGAAGAAGTGGTTTTTGAATGTACCTCTGCCAAAAGAGTATCGGATGCATAACTATATTGAAACATTTTTGTTAATTTTTCAATTTGATGTGTTTTTATTAAATTTATTGAGATATTGTTGCTCACTTTTTTTTTGACCTAAAGTACTTGTACTATTTTTACTCTATCTATAATTTCTTAAATAAATAGAATGTGGAGAGACCTTTAATGAAATAGTTTCGTTTTTGAGAATAGAAAAGGCATTATAATGTAAATAGTGAGTAGTGACTTAAATTATTCTATAGGCTGTATCTGTTATTCTAACCTAAATTACTTTGATTCATTTTTAAAATAAATTTCTTTATATTTTGTTTAAATATTTTTTAGTTTGCAGTTTACTATAATTGCCTTATTTGGTATAAATCTAAATTATATCGAATTGATTTCTTTGATAGATACGAAAAATACCAGTTATTGCTAATTATAAGAAAATGGCTATGGGGTAGCCGTCTCAAAAAAAGTAATTTGGGTGAAGAAAGTCAATCTTTTTGGTATTTTGAAAGTTACTTTTTTCAATTCCATTTTGAATATTCTTAATCGGCTTTGTTAAGCTATATTAGCGATTTATATATTTAGAATGCCTTTGCAATAGCTTGCATATTTGGTATTTAAATTACATTAGCTTGACATTTGTAAAAATAGCTTATCCTTTCAAATACCAAAATTAAAACTATTATCTTTTGTCCAAATTTCTAGATCATTTTGTATTACTCATTGTTACAAACTATATCACTCTCATATTTAAAAAAATAATGTCTTCTAACGTCACTAACCCAACCAATGTGGAGAAAACAAATTAATTGCCAAATAAAATAAAGTTGTAGATTTTGATATTAAAAAATTATTGCTTAAAATAATGTGACCAATTAAAAATTATTTTTTACATCTACCTCAAAAATGTTTTTTGTGGTACGTGGTAAAATAGAAAAACATATTTTTGTGTTTCGAATTAAATGTATCATTTTTATTTTGCAGTTTTTCTGAAGCGTTATTTTCTTCAGATCGCTGCACGTATATTTTAAAGGTGTACCATAAGAGTAATTGTTTATTTTTGAGTGTGACTGAAATATTTGCTACATACATATAGTTTTATATATTGAAAAGTTTAACATTTATACTATGAAATTTTAAAACCTAATGGAATTGTAAATAACTATTTATTGTTTTTTTTTTCTCTGAAAAATAGTTGTAATAGTATTCAGTTTTTATTTGAAGTTGTTAATTTTTGTGAAAGACAGTTGTAAATATTGTTAAAAATATATTAAACGGATGTTTTTAAAATGATCTTTTATGCAGCAGTTTCCTTTAGTTTTTATCATGATCCCAATATGTGCTCCAAAAATCCTATGTGTCTTAGATCTTCCAGCAGTAGCGTACCTTGACACAGGGGGCATCGGTGCAAGATATTTTCGGGGTCTCCTGGGTAAAAAAATGCACATAAATAATATATAAAAAAAAAAGCAAAAGTACTTAAAAAAGTAATAGGAATATATTCGCAAGTTTAATAAAAACTAAAAATAAATAGTAAAATAAAATAGAGCGACCTCGGTCGTGTATTTTATATATTAAAATAGTCCTATAACTTTAAAAAAACATTTGCAAGTCTGACAAATAAAAAATAAATTAGGGGAGTGTGGTATATATTGGGACATTTTTTAGGCCATATTTGGATGCGTTTCAGCTAGGACAGTTCAGGTCGATATATTGAGACCAAACTTGGGTATATGGCCTGTATTATCCAATAAATATGAAAACCGCAAAACAAATTCGTCTTCCCATCCTGTAGCTGATATGGAGGGGGTCACCTTTAAAAAATAAAGTTACAAGTTTTTCAAGAAAACAATTTGAGCTACGATTTTTTTCTACATACAAACCAAACATTTTTTTTTTATATATTTTTCCAAAAAATTTTTTGGACCATAGTTCGAATGTGGGGGCTGGCATTTGAAAATAGTTACAGAAGAGAAAAATCTAATTTTCGACACTTTTATAATAGACTTTTTCTACACCCGTATTATAATAATGCACTTATATGCCCATAATCCGTTTCATAATGATACCCATTATGATACAGATTTTTCATTATGATACAGATTTTTAATCAATAGAAACCTACAATTTTTCAATCAAGCATGATGTTTGACGTTTGTCCTAAATTCCTATGTAATTGTTTTAGTTGTCAAAACGTATTACATTTTCGTAGATAGCTAAACTTCGATAATTATAATATTAAAATGTCTGATATCAGCGATATAGAAGACTCCTCCACACATATCGGAGAAAGGAGAAAATGCAGTACAAAATATTTTGCCCCAAAAATCTGTGGTAATACCAATACCCAAGGTAATAATTAATTACAATTTTGTAGAATTTTTTATAGAAATACGAGTAATTACTGTTATTGTGTTCAATGCCAATATAAATAGAATATTTATAGGTCTTGATTATTTATCGGGTGTAGAAAAAATAGCGTATGCAACTCTCATGTAATGGTTATTAAAACACTCGCATAAACCATACGAAACTCGCCTTTGGCTCGTTTCGTATCCCGGTTAATGCTCGTGTATTAATAACCATCATTACATGATCGTTGCATAATATACAATTATTTACAACGTTTCTGTATATCTTATCTCCACCGTCTCATAGAGGACGATATAGGGGTGGAAACCCAATTTTTTTTTTAACTTACTAAATACATATCTTAAAAACAGCTTAAACTCAATCACAGCTATTATTATTCTTCATTTTAACACTTCTAGCCAGTTTTATAAAAGCACAGAAGAAAAAACATCGAGCACCAAATCAGTATTAAAAAGAAATTTCGCCGTATGGCGGTATCGATGCAAAATCTGTGATTAATACATGCAGTGGCGTGCCGTGAAATTTTTGGAAGAGGAAATGATTGTATAAAAATACAGGGGGTCAGTAAGCAAAGCGCCGCAGGCAAAAATTTTTCGCGGCGCATTCACCATTTTGACAAAATCTTGCTTTTTTCTTAGTACTACGGATATTCGAGATTGAGATTTTTGAAGTATTACTATTACTTTATTGCCTAGGGTAGAACTAGAAACTATGAAAAAACTTACCATTGAAAAGCTTCCTTGGTTTATTTAAACGTAAAAAAAACATTTAACTGAAGTTTTTTTTATTTTTTCCAGCATTTTTCGTCCAGTGGACACAGCAGTTGACATTTATTTATACTTAAGATCTATTCGCCTATCCTCAATGGCTGCAAATTTATCTATAACATCGTCGTACAATTTTGGATATTCTGATAACTGTTTAACAAGCTGTTTTTCAATGGATATTAGGGCTAAATTAGAGTCTGTCTTCACTTGTTGAATTTCGTATAAAACTTTTAATGCGCTTTAAAGCTGAAAAACTTCGCTCAACTGACGCACTTGTGGCTGGGATGGTTAATACTAATTCACACAACTTGACGACTTCACAAAGGAACTTATTTAAACCAGTAATAAGAAAATTTAACACATTGATGGGCGTCTTTTTATTACTAATTTCAGTTGTTTCATAAACAACAATTAACTAGGACTTTAATGCTGGAATATCGAAAAAATTTCCATAATTTAATTTTGGTGAATTAAAAGCTTCCGATGGAAATTTTGATGAATGGGTAGTTACTAATATTAAAATTGCACAATTTAACAAATTTTAATTGGTCAAAGTTTTGAAATCGAGAGTTCATAACATATGCGTAAGGCGACGTAACGACCGCTGCCTCTCGGCCGTATTTCACGTTTACAGACTGACTACTGTCGCGGCAAAGCAGGGTCAATAACACGAAGCGAAACCACTTGGAAGATGAACCGTCTATTTTAAGACGTGCTTCCGCCGACGGACTCGAAGTATATGGTGTGTGCGTTTACACAATTAATTTTCTCATGGGTAGTACGTGCGTTTACACATTACACCAATGAATTGTTAGTACATTTACGAAGTTTACGTAATTTTTTAGAGAAAATATAGTACCTAATTTAATATTAATTCCTATGCATTATAAACTGAAAAATATTTTTAAATCTCAAAGTGTAGGGACCGCACGCCCCTTTTATGTCAACCAAATGATTTGGTTGACATAAAAGGTACACTGTAACCATAGGCGCCGGAACTCAAAAATTGCTTTGGGTGCCCGGCCTCTATGTTACCACTCCCCCCATTCTCCCCTCCATATCCAACTTAAAGGCATTACCGGTTTTTTAAAAGCACTT